GGCGCCTCGCGCGTCGGATCGCGTACGGCAGCGACGCGGTGTAGATGTTAAAGTCCGGGTCCGCCTTGGCCGCGATGCCCTCGAGCGTGAGAAAGGTTCGAACCAGGAGCACGATGTACGGCGGCGTGAGGAACTTGTACCGTCCGGACATGCTCCCCAACCCGGTCGCGAGCGCGCCGAAGCGCGACCGCCCGCCCTCCTCCGCGGTCAGCGCGGCCTCGATCGCGCCCGCCATCTCCTCCGCGCTGCACGGCACCGTCCGCTTCTTCTTCTCTCCCGGGAGCGCTTCTTTCCGGAAAAAACCCTCCGTAGGGCAAAACCCCACGTCCCTGAAGACATAAATCAACCCGAGCCAATCGCCGGCGATCATGCACTGAATCCCCTTCGCGAACCCCTCCATGACGTAATCCTCCACCGTCGACACGAGCCCAAAGTCCAAGAACACGAGCCCGCCGTTCTTCTTATCCAACAGCAAGTTGCCCTCGTGCGGATCCGCGTGCACGAAACCGGTGTACGTGAGCTGCGCCACGCACGCCTCCACCGCCATCTGCGCCATCTTCAAGCGCTCTTCCGCGGTTTCCAACTCGCTGATCTGACTCCCGTCGATCCACTCCGTGGTGAGCACCCTCGCGCTGCCGTCCGGGCCGGTGAAGTCCGGGTACCACCGCGGCGCGCGAACGAAGCCGAGCCAGTCGTGCCGCGCGTTGAACTCGTCCATGTTTCTTAAGGGTCGTTCCATACAAAGCGACGTCGGGGTGGAGTTGAAAGGCGTCAGTTGGAGTTGAAAGGCGTCGAGGACGGGGATTGAAAGCGAGGGGTGGGCGGAGAGATGCGCCGGGCAAAGTCCTTAAGGATCGGCGTTCACAACGCCAACGCGGTCGTATGGGAACCAGTGTAAGAACGCGCCTAGCCTCTTGGACGTAGTCGAGCTCTTTGAACACGCCGACGCCCACCTCGTCCGCGATGGCGCTGAGATCGGCTTTGCTGCCCCACACGCGCTTCAGCGCGGAGAGGCACAGCGACCACACGGTCCAATCCAGCGCGACTTGGCGCACCGCGCGCGGGCGTTGCACCTTCACCGCGACTTCGTCCCCGCTCCACGTCTTGGCCTTGTACACCTGCCCCAACGACGCCGCCGCGATGGGCGCGGCGGTCATCTCCGCGAACAGCGGCGCCGCGTCCGGGTCCACGCACGTCGCCGTCGACGCGTGCCCCGGCGCGAGCGGCCCGGGATGCCGCAGATCCTCCGCGATGACGCGGTACGCGACATCGTCGTCGAACGGCTCGTTATTTTGCTGCGGGGTTGAATTGACGTCGGGGCGCGGGGCCCAGTCGAAAGGCGTCAGTCGGGGCGCGGGGAGTCGAAAGGCGTCGCGGCGCGTCGGGATTGAAACCGAGAAAGTCCTTAAGGAATGAAGTTCACAACGCGAACGCGGTCGTATGGGGACCGGTGTGAGGAGAACAGTGCGCGCCTGCAACGCCTTGAGCGCGTCCGCGGCTTCGTCGCCGATGAGGTCGGGGCGCTGCGACAGCGTCTGTCCAATCTTCACGAACACCGGGCCGAGGCCGGAGAGCGCGTCTCTGAGCTGCGCGCTCCGCGTGCGCTCAATCGCGGGGAGCTTCTCCTCGCGGCGCCAGAGGCGGACGAGGCGCGTGCCGACGCGGAGGACGACGGCGAGGCGCGCGGCGATCTGGCCCGGGCGCGACTTGAAGAAGGCGCGCAGCTTCGCCTTGTCGAATTCGCCGCGGAGGGCGTCGTACGCGTCGCGCGGCGGCGTCAGCGACGTCGCGCGCTTGGGCGCCCTCTTCTTCTTCCTCCTCCTCTTCTCCTTCGCGTCCTCCTCGCGCCGCATCTCCGCGACGGTCAGCGCGGTGAGCTCCTCCGGCGACAGCGCGTCGAGGCCGCGCACGCGACGCAGCAGGTTCCGCAGGCGCAATCGACGACGCCGCGTCTTAAGGTTATCATCGTCGTCGTCGTCGAGCGACGCGGACGACGACGCCGCGTCGACGTCCGCCGCCTCGACCGCGGCCGCGCCGTCGTCGCCGCCGTCGCCGTCGCCGGTCTGGGCGCTCTCCGCGACGCCTCCTCCGCCTCTGGACGACGGCGACGCGGCGAGGCGCACGCGACGGCGCCTGCGTTCGTCCGCGTCGGATGACGACGGCAGATTTTGCGACGGCGTCGTCGCGACGACGACGAACGACGATATATTCTTCCGTCTCGCGGCGGGTCTCATCACGCGCCGCGGGCCGACCGCGCGCGACGCCCTCGCGGCGACGCGCGGCGGTCTGCACGACGCGCGCGCGGGCGTCTCCGCGAGCGCCGTCATGTCGCCGACGGTCGTGCCAGCAGACGGGACCTCGCGCGCGCTCGGAGAAGTGGTGACGAGGCATTTCGTTTGTCGTTGGTCCTTCCAGTGCGCGCCGCGGCATCGCACTCGAAAAAAAATAACGAAGTTTGGTCGGGCGCGATCTCGCATCGCGTCGCAGTAGTTCGAACGCGGCGTGTCGCGCGCGCGCCCGCGATGAAGCGAGGACGCGCCTCCTCCGCGGGAGGCGGCGGGAAAGGCGGCGGCGGCGGCAGCGCGCAGAAGTCGCTCACGAGCTTCTTCTTCACGAAGCCCTCGACCGGCGGCGCGACGACGACGAAGGCGACGACGACGACGACGACGACGACGCCCGCGTCGAAGAAGCGCGCGAGGACGGACGGGAGCCTGAGCGCGGCGAAGCCGCCGACGCCTTCGCAGTCCAAGGGCGGCAGCGGCGGCGGCGGTGATGACGAAGAAGACGCCGCCGGCAAGGGCGCCGCCGCCGCCACCGCCGCGACGGAGGACGGAGGAGGTGACGACGACGAAGACGACGATCGCGATGATCTCGCGCCGACGACCGAGCGGATGCCGCGGAGCGAAGTCGACGCGATCCTCGCTGCGCTGCCCGCGTCCAGACCCGACCGCCACGCGGCGTTCGTGAAGAAGCTCTCGAGGGACCCGCGACGCCGCGACGGCACGCGAGGAGGACGCGGCGGCGTGGACGGCGAGGGAGTCGAGGGAGGAGGAGGAGAGCGGGAGGGCGATGAGAAGGGAACGAACGACGACGCCGACGAAAACGCCGGCGGCGGTTCGAAGAAGAAGAAGCCGGCGAGCGCGGGGAAGATGACGCCGCTGGAGCTCCAAGTGAAGAAGCACAAGGCGGACCACCCCGGGGTGTTGCTCCTCATCGAGGTCGGGTACAAGTTCCACTTTTACGGCGAAGACGCGCACGTGGCGTCAAAGGCGCGTTCTATTCTACACACTGGTCCCCATACGACCCCGCACGCGCGGTGAACGCCGTTTCTTAAGGACTTTCTCTCCCGGCGGGCGTTTCTCTCCGCCCAGGGTCCCTCGCTTTCAATCCCGACACACCTCGACGCCTTTCAACTTCAACTGACGCCTTTCAACTCCACCCCGACGTCGGTCGCTTCGTGCGGAACGCCCCCAAGGCGCTCAACATTTTCGCGTACCAAAAGGGCAACTATCTCACCGCGTCCGTGCCCGTGCCTCGGTTGCACGTGTACGTCCGCAGGCTCGTGGAGCGCGGGCACAAGGTCGGGGTCATCCGTCAGACCGAAACCGCGGCGTTGAAAGCGGGCGGCGAGACCGACGCCGGTAAGGGCGGCCTGTTTGAAAGGAAGCTCGTCGGGCTCTACACCAAGAGCACGCTGGAGGCGGGCGTCGCCGTCGACGCGTCGGGCGGGACGAACGATAAAGGCGAGTCCGTAACCGCCGCTGACGGACGGTTTTCGTCGTACCTCCTCTGCATCGCGGAAGAGCCCGTCTCATCCTCATCATCGAGTGACGAAGGCGGCGGCAGGGCGAGGATCGGCGTCGCCGCCGTGGACGCGTCCACGGGGGACGTCCTCCACGACGAGTTCGTCGACTCGTCGCTTCGCGCGGAGCTCGAAGCGCGGTTGCTCCGCGTCGCCCCCGCGGAGATCCTCCTCGTGGAGCCGCTCTCGACCGCGACGACGAAGCTCGTGAAGACGATGTACGGCGACGACCCCCGCGGCGGCGGCGCGAGAGTGGAGGCGGTGGCGCGAGGGAGCGGGTACGGCGACGGCGGCGCGGCGGCGGCGGTGGCGGCGTCAATCGCGGAGTTTGGCCGCGACGGCGACGGCGACCGCGACCGCGGCGCGACCGCCTCCACGTCGGGTGGTTCGGGCGCCGCGGCGTCCGGCGCGGCGGTCGCCGCGATCGATCTCCCGTCGCAAACCTTGCGCGCGGTCGCGGTCGCGTTCGATTGGCTCCGGCAGTTTGGCCTCTGCGGCGTCCTCGCGTTGACGCCCGCGTTTCGACCGATGCGCGCGCGTCGAGAGATGAACCTTTCCCCGAACGTGATGCGTCAGCTCGAGCTGCTCCGTTCCATCGACGGCGCGCACAGAGGGTCGCTGCTGTGGCTCATGGGCTCGAACGCGCGCACGCCGTGCGGGAGCAGGCTCGTTCGACGGTGGGTCTCGCACCCACTGACGGACAAGAGAGACGTCGAGAGACGGCTGGACGCTGTGGACGAGTTGAGGACGAAGGCGGAGGACGGCGGCGGTCACGGCGGCGTGTTGTCCGACCTCGCGGCGTCGCTGAAGGCGGCGCACGGCGGCGGCGACTGCGAGAGGTACCTCGCGAGAGTGTTCCACGGCACCGCGACGCCCGCGGAGCTCGTCGCGGGGTTGTCCGCGGTGAGGGATTTCGCGCGTCTCGTCCGCAACGCGAAGGCGAAGGCGGCGGCGGGGCGGGGCGGCGAAATCGACGCCGCCGCCGCCGACGACGACGACGAGTGCGCGTCGCTCGCGTCGTCGGCGCTTCTTCGCGAGTACCTCGACGCCGCGTCGGACGCGTCCGTCGTGCACACGTGCGACAGGTTGCTCTCCATGGTGGACGTCGAGAACGCGACGAACGGCAAGGCGACGGCGGCGACGGCGCTGCTTCCGAACGCGACGAGATTTCCGCGGCTCGAGTCGACGCGCGCGGACATCGCGGACGCGGAGAAAGCCCTGGAGGACCTCCTTCCGACGCTGCGGCAGAAACTCATCGACGCGGGGAAGAAAGAGAAGGGCGGCGGCGGCGGCGGCCTCGCGCTCGTCCCGAGGCTCGCGTACGTCACCGTCGCGCTCGTGGAGTACCTGATCGAACTCCCGGACACGCTGCGCGGCGTCCCCGCGAATTGGGCGAGAATGTCCACGAACAAGTCGAAAAAAGTCGTGCGGTATCATCCCCCCGAGGTCGTCGCCGCCGCGGCCGCGCTCGAGCGCGCGAGGGAGCGCCACGTCGCGGAGTCCAAGGCGGCGTGGGCGTCCTTCTTGCGCGACGACGCCGCCGGGAACTTTCTCGAGCTGCGCGCGGCGGTCGCCGCGGCGGCGGGGCTCGACGCGCTCCTCTCCTTCGCCGCGCTCGCGCGCGGAAACGCCGGGTACGCCAGGCCGACGTTTCTTCCAGACGACGCGCCGCCGGCGCTGCGCGTCGACCGCGGACGACACCCGATCCTCGACGCGATGATGCCTCCCGGGAAGACGTACGTGCCCAACTCCGCGAGCCTCGCCGAGGACGGCGTTCGCGCGCTGGTCATCACGGGACCCAACATGGGCGGCAAGTCGTGCTTCATTCGTCAGACGGCGCTCATCGTCGTCATGGCGCAGTGCGGATCGTTCGTCCCCGCGGCGAGCGCGGAGATGACGGTCATGGACGGCGTGCACACGCGCATGGGCGCGAGCGATAACATGGCGATGGGCGCGTCCACGTTTCTCGAGGAGATGTCGGAGTGTTCCTCCATCTTAGCCGCGGCGTCGAAAAAATCGCTCGTGGTGTTGGACGAGCTCGGGCGAGGCACGGCGACCACGGACGGCACCGCGATCGCGCACGCGACGCTGGAACACCTCGTGTCGAACGCGAAGTGCCTCACGCTGTTCGTGACGCACTACCCGTCCGTCGCGAAGGAGATCACGGCGAAGTATCCGAAGCACTGCGCCGCGGCGTTTACGAGTTACGTGCGCGTGCGGAGGAACGGGCGCGTCGCGGCGAGAAACAAAAACGAAAACGTCGACGACGTCGAGGGAGGACCCGGCGCTGGCGCCGCCGCCGCCGCGGAGGAGGAGGAGGAGGAGGAGGAGGGCGAAGAGGGGGACCGGATCGAGTTCTTGTACTCGCTCACCCCCGGGGTCGCGCATCGAAGCTTCGGTCTGAACGTCGCGCGCATGGCGGGCGTTCCGGAGAACATCATCCGACTCGCGGGGCGGAAGGCGAAGGAGCTCGAGGAGGCGACGACGAGGAGAAGGTCGTCTGGTATGGCGTTGACGAACCACGAGGACGAGGACGTCACGCGGGCGAAGTTTAAGACGGTCGTCGACGCGATGCGCGCCGCGGAGGCGGCGGAGGACCCGGAGAAGGGCGTCGCGATCATCGCCGGCGCGCAGGCGGCGCTCAGGGGATGGGGAGGGTGATGAATCACGTTCGAAGTCAGTAAGGTCACGGAAGTACGTCGTACGTTCGCGTTACCAGTCTAGCTAGAGTGGCGGCCACTCACTCACTAGTCTGATGCATCATCGAAAAGAAAAGCGTTTCATCGTTCGTTCGTTCGTTCGTTCGCTCGTTCGTCGTCGTCGTCGCCGCCGCGTCACCACGTCAGCCTCGCGCTTCCCTCCGGCGACCCGGGATCCACGGCGAAGATTCTCATGACATCCGTGCACGTGCACACGCCGCGAGGGGGCGAGTACGGCGTGTCCGCGATGTACACCCTGTGAACCCTCGCCTCGGACATCTTGCGCATGACGCTCATCAGCGACGCGTCCGGCGTCGCCGTGACGACCCTCGAGCGCCATCTCGCGGCGTCGGTTGACGTTCCATCTTCCTCTTCCTCCTCCTGTACACTGGTTCCCATACGACCGCGTTCGCGAGGTGAACGCCGTTTCTTAAGGACTTTTCCCGGCGCATCTTCCTCTTCCTCCTCCTCCGCGTCGGCGTCCGCGCCCGGGGGTTTCTTCGGCGGCTTCCCGCGCGCCTCCGACCAGACGCGCGTCTTCAGGAATTCCAACGCTGTCTCCTCGAGCGCTCGCGCGAGATCGTCCGCGTCGACGACGCGTCGAACGTCCGACGCGGACAGCGAACCTACCAGGAATCGCCTCTCCTCGTCGAGCACGGCGACGCCGCTGACCTCGGCGTTGCGCATGATCGCGAGGCATCCTGCGACGGGGAAATCCGACGTAACGGCGGAAACGCCCCAGGTTTGGTCCCCGACGGTGGCGTTTGCGAATCCCAGCGTCCGCATCGTCGTCGCGTGCGGGTACGTCCCGAGCTGGTCCTCGTTCGCGACCATGAGGTCGACGACGTCGAGCTGCGCGACGACGGCGATCCACTTCGGACGCATGTCCGCCAGGGTGATATCCAGCGAGTCGTCGTCGTCGTCGTCGTCGCCGTCATCGTCGCCGTCGCCGCCGCCGCCGACGGCCGCGCCCTCCGCTTTCGCGTAAACGCCTCCGGCTTTGACGTTTTTTTGGTCCTCGCACGCGGCTCTCGCGTCTTCGCGCTCGGCGAACACGCCGATGCGGTGACACGGCTCGAAGTCGCCGATTCGCTTCCTGTCCGCCGCGCGAACGTCGAGTCCTCTGCTCACGAAATCTAACAGCGTCGTGTCCGCGAAGCCGACGTAGCACGTGTCGCCGTCGTCGCCCACGCGCGCGAGCTTCGACCACAATCCGCGGGCTTCCGCGCTCGCGCGCGACGCCGCGACGTCGAACGCCTCGCGAAAGCACATCGCGTTCGCGTCTTGGTCGTCGGCGGCGTCTTCCACCGCCGCCTCGACGTCGTCTTGCGCGAAGAGCGTCGGGTCCGTCAGCGCGGGGTACAGCTGTCGCAGGATCTGCGCGACGAGGCCGCCGCACGAGATCCACCCGGCGTAGTCCCCCGTCGCGGCGTCGATCGCGGGCGCGGCGAGGACGTCCGCGGCGGCGAGCTCGCGCAACGCTTGCCCCACGGTCGCGCAGGAAGGGATGGTCAAGACGCCTTTCGCGCGAGGGCGTCGTCTCGCGCGAGGGCGTCGGGCTCGGCCGCGCTGCGCGGGCGTCGTCGGCGGCCCCGCGGGCGTCCACCCGAACGCGCCGCCGCCGACGTCGACGTCGACGTCGAGCTCGACGTCGAGCTCGACGTCCGGCTCCGGCGGCGTCACGCCGTCGCCCTCGCGCGTCGAGCGCTCGAACCTCTCCGCGGGCGTCGTCGTCGTCGTCGTCGTCGTCGTCGTGGCGCGCTGCTCGCGTCGGTATCGCTCCGCGTAGCGCGTCAGCGTCCACCCGGAGAGAAAGAAGCGCGCCTCCGCGAGCTCCGCGTCGGGAGTCGCGAGGGTCGGGAGTCGCGCGTCGTCGCCCATCTCGCGTCGGGCGGCGTGCGGGGGAGAACGCGCGGCGTCGACGGCGACGCGCGACGGCGCGTCGTTGTCTCGAAGGGCGAACTCTCGGAAGAGCCAAACAGAAAGAAGGCGACGTCAGGTACAGTACTTACGCGCGCGTGTGTTATTCTTGAAGAAAGAGTAGCATGGTGTAATAACCTCCCGTTGACGTGCGTTTCGTTTCGCATCCATCACACGCCACCGCCGCCGACGCCGCCACCCCCTAGAACAGCGCCTCCCCGCCCCGAAACGCCTCCACGGCGATCAGAGAGACGATCCCCACCATCGCCGCCCGCCCGTTGAGCTGCTCCACTTGCGGCGAAAAAATCTTCCTCGCCTCCTCTGTCCACGGCGACCCCTTGAACACCTCCCGCCACGTCTTGCTCCCTTCCATCGTGAACGGGTCCGCGGTGTACCCCTCGTTCGACGAGAACGACGGCACGAGCGACGCGAACGCCCACAGCTGGACCTGCGCGGCGAAGACGCCGAAATTTTCGCCGAGCTGCGGGCCGTTCCATCGTTCAAAGCGACGTCGAGGTGGAGTTGAAAGGCGTCAGACGGAGGTGTTGAAAGGCGTCGCGGCGTGTTGGGATTGAAACCGAGGGGTGGACGGAGAGACACGCCGGGAAGAAAAGCCCTTAAGGATCGGCGTTCACCACGCCGACGCGGTCGTATGGGGACCAGTGTAAATAAAACGCGCCTGCGTCGCGAACGAGTGCCCCGTGGCTACCTCCTGGACGACCGCGGTGAGGAACCCGAGCATCGCGAGGCGGCCGTTGATCACCTCCGGCGCCCACCCCTCGAACGCGAGCACCTGCTGCGGCGTCAGCACCTTCGCGGGCGCGGACCACGGCGGGAAGATCACCTCGTCGACGACGTGGATCGTGAGATCGCCGACGACGCGATCCGTCTCGGAGATGCACGCGCCGGAGACGTTGAAGCACTCGCACGGCGGCCGCTCCTTGCACGTCAGGCCGGTGATGGTGAGCGGGAAGTTTTCGTTCAGCGACGCGAGCTGCCCGTCGACGAGGTCCTCGCCGGCGACGGCGCCGGGGACGACGTGATGGGTCAGGATGTCTACGAGGTTGGGCAACTGAGGAGGGCCGTTCCATACGAAGCGACGTCGGGGTGGAGTTCAAAGGCGTCAGAAGCGGAGTTGAAAGGCGTCGCGGTGTGTCGGGGATTGAAACCGAGGGGTGGGCGGAGAGAGACGCCGGCAGAAGTCCTTAAGGATCGGCGTTCACCACGCCGACGCGGTCGTACGGAGACCAGTGTCAGATAGAACGCACCTGAAGGATCTCCTCCTTGGACAGCTGGAGCTCCTCGCACGCCTTGGCGAACGCGGCGTCCGACGGCGCGAACACCGTCTTCGGCTCGCCCGTCGTGAGCGCGTCCACGAGCTCCGCGGCCTCGACCGCGGCGCTGAGGACGGAGAGATCGTCGCCCAGGAGCGCGGCCGCCCTGGCGACGACCGGGGACGTCGTCGTCGCGACCGCCGCCGCCGCCGCGCGGGGGGCGGCGACGCGCGCGGACGGCGGCGGCGACGCGCGGCGGGTCGAGACGGTGGGGGAGACGCGCGCGCGCAGCGCGGAGGACGTGGCCATCATCGCGTGGATGCGGCGCGGGTGCGTTACGGAGTGACGTCGTCGTCGCGGCGCCGATCGACGACACGGATAAGTCCGACGAAACGTTTTCTGTGGCCCGAGACGTCAGCGCCAATGGCGCGTAGAGTGGCGGGAGAAAAAATTCGACGACGCGAGTGCGCGCAACATGTGCGGTTTTTTTTTGAAATGATCGATCAGCAGCACCCCCCCGCCTGCTGCGCCCCGCGTCGGCCGTTCACGTCCACGGTGTCCGGCAGGTACACCTCCTCCTCCGTCTCGTTCTTCAGCGCGTTCCTCGCGATGCACTGGAACGCCGCCTCGACGTTGTAATCCTCCTTCGCGGACGTCTCGAAATACGGAATGTTCCCTTTCCCCGCGCACCAGCTCTTCGCCTTCTTCTCGCTCACGACCCTCGCCTTGCCCTCGTCCACGTCCACCTTGTTCCCCAACACGACGAACGGGAAGCTGTCCGCGTCCGCGGGGTTGGCCTGGATCAGGAACTCGTCCCTCCAGTTGTCGATGTTCTCGAACGTCTTGCCCGCGTTGACGTCGTAGGTGAGCACGCAGCAATCCGCGCCGCGATAAAACGCGACGCCGAGCGACTGGAAGCGCTCCTGCCCCGCGGTGTCCCAGATCTGCATCGTGACGAGTCGGTCGTCCACCTGTACCTCCTTCGTGAGGAAGTCCGCGCCGATCGTCGCCTTGTACTGCTTGCTGAACTTCCTGTTCACGTACTGGTTCATCAGCGACGTCTTTCCGACGCTGTGGACGGACGACGACGACGCGCGCGATGGGGTGGGTGGGGGGGGGGGCGTCAGAGGGGGGTGTTGCGCGGACGAATGAAATTATTCGCGTCGGATCCGACCGGCGGACGCGCGGGCGATCGCGTCGGGGTTCGGGTTCGCGGCGACGGGGACGCACCCAGAGTCGCCGAGGATGATGACCTTCAGGAGCGTGCGCTTACGAGACGCCATCGCGACCGATGTTTCGTGCCCGCGCGCGACCGCGCTTCGAAAAGTGAGCGAATTCGATCTTTTCGCGCGGGGGCTTTCAACGCGACGTTTGACGACTACGCTACGAGCGAACGAATGTGAGCGAACGAACGTGCGAGGCATGACACGGCCGCGATGACACGACGCGTCTGCTACTGAGCTAGTCGAACGTCCCCGGGTGTCTCAGCGCGCGCCGCCCCTCGCTCGTGAGCTCGAACGTCGGCAGGACGTCCCCTTCCCTGCGCCTCACGCGACAGAACGCGCTCGCGACCCAGATGGAAAAAGAGACGCACATCGCGAGCGAGAGGAACGACGCGACGCCGTGCGCGCGGCCGCTGATGACGTGCCCGTCCGAGGTCACCCCCTCCGCGGATGACCCGCCGTCCTCCTCCTCCTCCTCCTCGTCCTCCCTCGCGCTCTTCACCGAGAGACTCGCCATCCCCGCGCGGAGATCGCCCACTGCCTCGACGACCGTGCTGTTCGCGACGCGCGCGACGACGCGATCGCGCGCGGCTCTGACCGCGGGCGCGGCCGCCGCGCGCGCTTCCTTGGCTCTCGTCACGATGCTCGAGACGTGGTCCGCGATCGGCAGCGCGTCCGCGCCGCCGTCGGCGTGAAACGCGAGCGCGAGGACGAGCGCGAGGAGCGTCCACGCGCGCGGCGTCGGCATCGCGCCGCGCGCGACGACGAAATGGCGACGACCAGAAGAGAGTCGTCTTCGGACGAGCTCGACCAGACGCGTCGAGATGACCGCGTCAGCGTCGTCGTCCATCAGTCGCCCTCGCGCGCGCTTCGCGTCGCCGCCGCCGCGATGCCCCCCATGAAGCTCGTCTGCCGCGGGTCCGACCCGCGCGCGATGAAAGGCTTCGTCGCCGCGTCCCTGAGCGGCCGCGAGGTCGCCTTCGAGCCGATCCTCAAGGGCGCGGAGGGCCACGGCGGATCCCCAATCGCGCTCGAGCTCCCCGACGGCCGTCTTCGCCTCTCGGAGGGAAACGCGATCGCGCGCTACCTCGGCGGCGACGCGCTCGCGCCCGCGGACGCGACGACGCGATGGAAGAGCGAGCGGTGGCAGGAGTGGGAGTCGACGACGCTCTCGCCCGCGGTCGCGCTCGCGTGCGCGTCCAAGGACGTCGCGCCGCTCGCCGCGCTCCTCGCGTCGTCGCTCGACGTCGCGCTCGGCGCGGCGGGCGGCGGCGTCTCCGTCTCCATCTGCGGCGGCGACGACGTGACGCTCGCGGACGTCGTCGTCTTCGTCGCGCTGTATCCCGTCTTCGCGGACGGCGGCGCCGCGATTCCCGGCGCGGCGGACGCGCTGTCGACGGCATCCTCCCCGACCGCGGCGTGGCACGCGCGGACGGCCGCGAACGCCGAGGTGGCGGCGGCGTTGGAGCTCTCCAAGGCGTCCGCGGCGACGACGGCGGCGTTTTACGCCGCCGACGGCAGAGACGCGCAGCTGGCGCGAGCGGCGACGGCGCCGCCCGCGGACCCTTCGGCCGAGAAGTTTTGCATCACTACGGCGATCAACTACGCGAACGGCGCGCCGCACATGGGCCACGCGTACGAGGCGATCTCCACGGACTGCATCGCGCGGTATCACCGCGCGTACGGAAGAGACGTGCTCTATCAGACGGGCTCGGACGAGCACGGGCAAAAGATCGCGGAAGCCGCGGAGACCGCGGGGTGCGAGCCCATCGAACTGTGCGATAAGTACGTCGCCGCGTTCCAGGACTTGAACGCGAAGACGTCCGTGGCGAACGACGTGTACAACCGGACGACGAGCCCGGAGCATCACGAGGCGTGCGGGGAGTTGTTCCGACGGTCGAGAGACAACGGGGACATCTACCTCGACACGTACGAAGGGTGGTACAACGTGAGGGAGGAGATGTTCGTGACCGAGACGGACGCCGCGGCGGCGGATTACAAAGACCCGGTGAGCGGGAAGCCGCTGAAGAAGATGAGCGAGGAGAGCTACTTTTTCCGGATGAGCAAGTACCAGTCCCGGTTGATCGAGTACATCGAAGAGAACCCGGAGTTTATTCAGCCGACGCGCCGTCGCAACGAAATTCTCGCGCGGTTACGAGAGGACGAACTGAGAGATTTATCCGTCTCGAGGACGACGTTCGACTGGGGCATCCCCGTTCCGGACACGCCCGGGCACGTGCTGTACGTCTGGTTCGACGCGCTGACGAATTACCTCACCGGCGTGGGCTGGCCGAAGAAGGAGGTGACCGACGGCGGCAATCCGTTTTGGCCCCCCGCGGTGCAAATCATCGGAAAAGACATCACGTGGTTCCACTGCGTGATTTGGCCGTGCATGCTGTTCTCCGCGAAGATCCCGCTGCCGAAGACGGTGTTCGGGCACGGGTTCGTGACCGCATCGGACGGGCAGAAGATGAGCAAGTCCATCGGCAACGTCGTCGACCCGCTCGAGCAGCTCGCGAAGTATCCCAGCGACTCGTTTCGCTATTACCTCATGCGGAACGGCGTCTACGGAAGCGACATTCCCTTCTCCGAGGCGAACTTGGTGTACGTCCACAACGCGGACCTCGCGGACGTGCTTGGAAACTTAGTCCACAGGGCGACGAACCTCTGCGCGAAGAACTGCGCCGGCGTCGTCCCGGACGTCGCCCCGGAGCGCGTCTTCGACGTCGGCGCGTTGCGCGCGACGTCCGAGCACGCGATGAAAAACCTCGAGACGCAAAAATGCTGCGAGCTCGCCATCAACGCGATGAAGGACACGAACAAGTACCTCACGGACGCCGCGCCGTGGGCGGTCAAGGGCGACGGCGCGGCGGAGCGTAAGGCGGTGATCATTCGGTCCACGCTCGAGGCGGTGTACGCCGCCGCGCACTTCCTGTCGCCGTTCATCCCCGCGGCGTGCGACCACATTTTCGAAAAGCTCGGCGCCCCCGCGAAGCCGATCTGGAGGCTGAGCCGCGAATCGAACCTGACGCCCGGGACGACGGTCAGCGTGGGCGGGATTCTCTTCGCGAAGTTCGAGGTCGAGGGCGAAAACGCGGAGGGCGGCGCGAGCGGCGGCGGCGGCGACGGGAAGAAGAAGGGCAAAGCCGCCGCCGCGCCGCCGCCGCCGAAAAAGAAGGAGCCCCCCAAGGACGCCCCCGTCGACGTCTCGCGCCTGTGCATCCGCGTCGGGACGATCACCAAGGTCTGGCGGCACCCGGACGCGGAGAAGCTGTACTGCGAGCTCATCGATATCGGCGAGTCCGCGCCGCGGCAGGTGGTCTCCGGCCTCGTGGACCACGTCCCGGAGGACGAGATGCTGGGCGCGCGCGTCGTCGTCGTGGCCAACATGAAGGCGCGTTCGTATTCGCACTGGTACCCATACGACCGCGTTGGCGTTGTGAACTTCATTCCTTAAGGACTTTCTCTCCCGGCGTTCGTGTCTCTCCGCCCATCACCCCTCGCTTTTAATCCCGACGCATCTCGACGCCTTTCAACTCCGCTTCTGACGCCTTTCAACTCCACCCCGACGTCGCTTCGAATGATGGAACGACCCCTACAGCCGTCGAAGATGCGCGGGATCGAGTCCGCGGCGATGGTGCTGTGCGGGACCGGGCCGGACGGTAAGGTGGAGCTCGTGACCCCGCCGGAGGGGGCGCCGAACGGCGAGAGGGTAACGTTCGACGCGTTCGAGGGCGAGGCGGACGAGCAGTTGAACCCGAAGAAGAAGGTGTTTGAAGCCGTGGCGCCGGGGTTTTCAGGCGCGTTCTATACACTGGTTCCCATACGACCCCGTCGGCGTGGTGAACGCCGTTCCTTAAGGACTTTGCCCGGCGTTTCTCTCCACCCACCCCTCGCTTTCAATCCCCGCCATCGACGCCTTTCAACTCCAACTGACGCCTTTCAACTCCACCCCGACGTTCGCTCGTATGGAACGACCCTCAGTCGACGCGGCCGGCGTCGCGACGTACGAGGGGTGCGCGTTCAAGACGAGCGCGGGCGTCTGCGCGCTCGCGACGTTGAGAGCGGGGACGATAAAGTGACGGGGCGGGGGGGCGCGAGCGTCGCGACGCGCGCACGCGTAGAGTGATGTTAACGAGCCGAGCGACCACTCGATTCAAAGTCTCTCTCGTTCGTCTCGCCGTCATCTCCGGGCACGAAACTTCGACTTCCAGTCCGCTGCGCCTTTCGCATCGCAGCTGCAGAAAAATAGACCGATAAGATGATGCGCGTCGTCGTCACTCGCGATCGCGCAATGGCGAGCGCCGCCGCGGCCGCGCCGCTGCGCGCGATGCCGCGATGCCGCGCGCGACGCCGCGACGCCGCGACGCCGCCGTCGACGAGCGGCCGCGACGACGCGCGTCCGCGACGCGCCGCGTCGTCCGTCGTCGCGCCACGTCAGACGAAAAACGCGGGCGGCGCGACGACGACGCGCGGGACGACGATCTCCGCGCGCGGCGCGCGCGGAGGGTTCGACCCGTTCGCGTCCTCGCCCGCGATCGCGCGCGACGACCCGTTCGCGGACGCGGCGACGCCGGCCGCCGCGGACGACGACGCCGCCGCCGCCGCGCTGCCGCGCGTGGACTGGACCGTCGAGGTGCGCGTCACGGAGGGGAAGTTCGCGGGGTACACGCTGCTGTGCTCGGCGTTCATCGACGACGACGTCCCGCGCGTCGCGGACCTCCTCCTCGGCAGCGGCATGGCCGGGTTCCCGCTGGAGCGGCGGACGCTGGAGACGTACCTGCGAGGCGCGGTCCCGGCGTTTCCGTACGGGACGTACCTCGTCGGGCGGCTGCGCGCGCCGCGCGTCGGCGTCGGGGGGGGGGGCGAGGGCGAGAACTTCATCGGCGACGACGACGACGGATTCGACGACGGATCCCCGCCCGGCGGCCCGGCGTCGTCGTGGAGCGAGGAGAAATCGTCCGCGCACGGCCCGATCGTGTGCACCGTCGGCGTGTCCTTCAACGCCGCGACGCGACGGCGGTTCACGTCGCTGTCGCCGCCGACGGACCAGGCGTACCTCAGCGATCTCGTCGTCTTCGAGAGCGAACGCGGTGCGCGCGTCCTCCTTCCTCACACTGGTCCCCATACGACCGCGTTCGCGTGGTGAACGCCGATCCTTAAGGACTTTTGCCGGCGCATCTATCCGCCCACGCCACGCTTTCAATCCCCGCCCTCGGCGCCTTTCAACTCCGCTTCTGACGCCTTTCAACTCCACCCCGACAGGCGAAGGGCTCGGCCGCGCGATGCTGCGCGCGGCGGAGACGTTCGCGAGGGACATGAAGAGCGAGCACATGTACCTGCACGTCGCGACGAAGAAGCCCGGGGTCGTGAGGTTGTACCGCGGCGCGGGGTACACGATACGGGGCGTGGACCCGGGGTTGTTTGGGTGGCGAGGGCGGCTTCTCATGCGGAAGGAGATGGGGGCGGAGGACGCTCTCGTGGCGAGGCGAGAGTATAAGATGGTGAGACGCGAGATGAGGTAGGTGAGGCGGCGCGACGTGTCGTGTATTAACACAGATAGAAGAGAGTAGCTCGCGCGCGCGAGTGAGGTTGGCGATCGACGCGGCGCGCGGGCGTCACGGCCCGTCCCAGAGGTCTTCGAGGGTCTTGTACGGCCCGAGCGGCGAGAGCCAGAAACTCCCGTCCACCATGCGGCGCCGCGTCGGCAACTCGCTCAGCGCGCGCGCGTCTTCCTCGTCCAGAGACCAGTCCAACACGTCGAGGTTGCCCTCGATGCGCGCCGGGTCGGTGGACTTCGGGAGCACGCTGCAGTTCGGGCGCGTCTGTAACGCCCAGCGAACGAGCGTTTGTCCGACGTTCTTACCGGCGCGTTCCGCCGCGGCGATCACGACGGGGTCGGACATCAACGCCGGCGCGTCGCGCTTGAACATCGCCGCGCTGTCCGGTGACCCGAGCGGCGAGTACGCGGTCACGTGAATGTCGTTCGCTTCGCAGTACTTCACGAGCTCGGTCTGGCGCCAGTACGGGTGACACTCCACTTGGCACACGCTGATCGGATGCCGCGCGTACTTTGAAATCGCCTCCATCTTTTCGACGCTAAAGTTGGACACGCCGATGGCCCTGACGAGGCCCTCGTCCACGAGCGCTTCCATCGCTCTCCACGTCTCCTCGATGCTCGGCGTCACCGCCGCGCCGCGGTTGCCCGTGACGGGCCAGTGCACGAGGTATAAGTCGAGGTAGCGCACCTTGAGGAGGTCCATGGACTTTTTGCACGCGGGCTCCACGCGGTCGGCGGCGTGGTCAGAGTTCCACAGCTTGGACGTGATGAAGACGTCTTCGCGGAGTAGCGTCGTGCTGCGACGCGATGCGAACGAAGGGTACGATGCGATAATTCGTCAGTGAATGAATAGTGTGGAAAGAGTGCTTGCGTCAGAATCATCTGTGGATCATATTCGTTTGGATGCGCTGACGTGGATAAACGCGTGGCCGACGTCGCGCGAAGAGAAGCGAGACGAGACGACGGCGACGCGATCTCTCGCGCCGTCCGTCCGTAACTTCTCACCTGTCGAACACGCCTCGCAGCGCGTCGCCGACCTCGCCCTCGTTCTCGTACACGCTCGCGCAGTCGACGTGCGCGTACCCGCGCTTCAGCGCGTGCGTCACCGCGGCTCGAACCTTCCCGGGCTCGGACTTCCACGTCCCGAGACCGATCAACGGGATCGTCGCGCCCGTCCTCAGCGTCGCGCGCGGCTGGTTTATTTTCCGCGTCTCCTCGACGACGTTCGGCGAGTCTCTCTTCTTCGTCTCCGGAGTCGCTCCCTGCGATCGTCTCACCTCCTCCACGACGCGGATCTGGTGCGCGCGCTGGTCCTCGATCGCGCGCTTCTTCGCCGCGCGCACGATCGCCCCGCCGGTGAAGTCGAACCACTGCACGCGACCTTGGCGACTCGGCGTCGGGAGGTCTTCGGACGCGCGCTCCTTCCCGTGCGTCACGTGCTTCGCGCCCTCGCGCGCCGCGTCGAAGAGCGCGGGGAACGTGGCCGCGACGGCGGGGTCGCTCGCGTCCGGCGCGACGTCCGGTTTCGCGCGCCACGCGTCCTGAAACGCCGCCGGGTCGTTCGCGCCGAACGCCGCGCCGCGCGTTCGAAGCTTCGTCTCGTGCGACGCCCACGCCGCGGACCAGTCGCGCGTCCAGCCGTGGTCCGCCGCCTGCTGCGCGGTCGGCGGAGGGAGCGCGGCGAGCGCGGCGGCGATCGCGTCCGCGTCGAGCGAGTCACGCGGCGCGGGGAAGGGGTTCATGCGGACGGGGAGGGGGAGGGGGGGGGGACGCGGGCGCGCGAGGGAGAGTGCGCGGCGTGAGGGAGGGAGGGACGGACTTTGAGGCGACGTGCGCGCGACGCGTGTTCGCACATGTTCCTCGATTTTGACGACGACAGACGACGCAGCACCTGGCAGCCCGAAGCGAAGGTCGTCGAAGGCTCTGCTCGCGGTCACACGAGACGCCGCGACCGCACGTCCGCGGCGTATCGCGCTCGCGAGGACGGGCATGAGCGCGCCGTGGACCTCGCCGCCGCCGCGCGCGATCGTCGCCGCGGCGACGTCGACGGCGACGGCGTCGTCGCCGCGACGTCGTCCGCGCGTTTCGCCGATCGATCGCGCGACTCCTCGGAGGATGACGCCGACGCCGCGCGCGCTCCCTCTTCCTCTTCCTCTTCCCTCGCGCGGCGCGTCCATCGCGTCGTCGTCCGCGCCCGGCGCGCGCGGCGGCGGCGGCGGCGGCGGATATCGCGTCGGATATCGCGCCCCGCGCGCGCCGCGTCGCCTCGAGCGCCGCGCGATATCCGAGCCGTCGTCGTCCAAATCCTCGTCGGAAGTCTTCGTCGAAGAGGAGATGTCGCGCCGCGCGCAAAACGCCGCGGACGCCGCGACGGAGACCCCGGAGGAAGCGGTCGCCGCGCTCGAGGAAGACGTCGCGCGGCTCGACGCGCGGCGACTCGCGCTGACGACGGACTTGGACGCCGCGTACGACGCGTGCTTCGGAGGCGTCACCGTCGAGTTCGAGATCGTCGTTGACGAGATCGCCGCCGCCGACGCAGACGACGCCGAAGCGGAGAAGAAGCCGCCGAAGCCGTCGACGTCGAAGACGACGACGACGCGGACGTTCGACGTCATGGACGAGGAGACGTTCCGCGCGATCGGCGCCGACGAACCCGCCGTCGTGACCGCGCTCATCGACGTCGCGAAATCAGACGCGGAGCGATGGCTAACGTTTCAACGCGACGCGCATCGACACAAGCTGCAACGCGACCGCGTCGTCGCCGAGCTCGCCGCCGCGCGCGCGGAGCTGCGGGTCGCGCGTCGAGGCGGCGGCGCGGCCGCGGCGGCGAAGGCGGCGATGGACGCCGCCAGGCTCGCCGCGGCGGAGGCGAAGGGGGCATCCGAAGGGGGGATCTTATCGGACGCGGCGGCGGCGCGGAGAACGAAACGCGTCGTGCTCATCTCCGGGTTTGAGTCCTTCAACGTGGGGTTGTACAAAAAGGCGGCGAAGAAGGTCGCGAAGCGGTGCCCGGGCGTCGAGCTCGTCGTCTTCAGCGACCGCGATATCGAGTCCAAGCGCGAGGACGTCGCCGCCGCGCTCGAGGGCGCGGACGTGTTCTTCGGGTCTCTGCTCTTCGACTTCGATCAGGTGGAGTGGCTGAGACGCGCGATCGAGAAAATTCCGACGCGATTCGTCTTCGAGAGCGCGTTGGAGCTCATGTCTGAGACGTCCGTCGGGTCGTTCGAGATGAAGCCCGCGCCGGACGGGCAAAAGGCGGGCCCGCCGCCCGCGGTGAAGGCGATTCTGTCCAAGTTTGGCAGCGGCAAGGAGGAGGATAAGCTCGTGGGGTACCTGTCGTTCCTGAAGATTGGTCCGGCGTTGCTTCGATTCGTTCCCGGGAGAAAGGCGAAAGATTTACGGAACTGGCTCACGGTCTACGGGTACTGGAACCAAGGCGGCGTCGAGAACGTAGAAGAAGCGTTCGTGTACGTCGCGAAACAGTACCTCGCGGACGTCCTGAGCGAGTCCGGCGAGGACGCCGGCCCGGAAGACGAATCGCGCGGCGGCGGCGGCGGCGGTTTTCTCGAAGGGCTCCTCGGCCGCGGACCCCGAGCGAAACCGCCGAAAGAGACGCCGCCGTTCGGGTGTTACCACCCCGACCTCGAGCGCGCGGACGCGCCTTGGCCGACGTCCGTGACGGAGTACCTCGAGTGGTACGATAAAACGCCCGCGGGCGCGGCGTTACCTCCCGACGCCCCCTCCGTCGCGATTCTCCTCTACCGCAAGCACGTCATCACGAAACAGCCGTACCTCGCCGGCCTCGTCGAGGCGATGCAAGAGAAGGGCGTGCGTCCGATTCCGATGTTCATCAACGGCGTCGAGGCGCACACGATCGTGCGCGACCTCCTGACGAGCGACAGCGAGCAGGCCGCGCGCGCGGCCGGCGTCCTCGCGATCGACTCGCTGCGTCCGGACGCGACGAGGGTAGACGCGGTCGTGAGCACCGTGGGCTTCCCCCTCGTCGGCGGCCCCGCGGGAAGCATGGAGGCGGGGAGGCAAGCGGAGGTGGCGCAGAGCATCCTGCGCGCGAAGAATGTCCCGTACATCGTCGCCGCGCCTCTGTTGATTCAGGACATCGCGTCGTGGGAGCGAAGCGGCGTGGGGGGGCTGCAGTCTGTGATTTTGTACGCGCTTCCCGAGCTCGACGGCGCTGTCGACACCGTGCCGCTCGGCGGGCTGGTCGGCGACGACATCTTCCTCGCGAAAGAGCGCACGTACGCGCTCGCGGACAGGCTGAAGCGCTGGGTCTCGCTGCGCAAGAAACCACCGTCGCGGCGGAAAGTCGCGGTGATGCTGTACGGGTTCCCACCCGGCGTCGGCGCGACGGGCACCGCGGCGCTGTTGAACGTTCCCAAGGCGCGTTCTATACACTGGTCCCCATACGACCGCGTTCGCGTGGTGAACGCCGATCCTTAAGGACTTTGCCGGGCGATTCTCTCCGCCCACTCCTCGCTTTCAACGCCCGCCATCGACGCCTTTCAACTCCAACTGACGCCTTTCAACTCCACCCCGACATCGCTTCGTATGGAACGGCCCGAAGAGCCTCGAGGCGGCGTTGGCGTCGATGCGCGATCGAGGGTACGACCTCGGGATCAGGGACGGCGACGCGATCCCGTCCGGGGAGGCGATCGTCGACGTGCTGCGGCTGCTCGAGGACGGCGCGGTGATCGCCGGCGGCGTCCCCGCCGCGGAGGCTGCGCTGGAAAAGCTGCGGGCGAGCGGCAAATACGCGGACGACCCGAGCGCGCTGGCCGGCGTGTCGATCGAAGGCGCGTCCGTCTTTTCGCGCTACACTGGTCCCCATACGACCGCGTTCGCGTGGCGAACGCCGATCCTTAAGGGCTTTTCTTCCCGGCGTGTCTCTCCGCCCACCCCACGGTTTCAACGCTCGACGCGCCGCGTCGCCTTTCAACTCCTCCATCTGACGCCTTTCAACTCCGCCCCGACGTCGCTTCGCGCGGACCCTCGACCCTCAGCCGTCAACGTCGCGCCGAAGACGCTGAAACGATGGCTGTCGTTCCCGACCACCTGGGGCCCCACGGAGTGGGGCCCGATGCCGTACCTCCCCTCGCACGACGTCCTCGTCCGAAAGATGGAGCGCGCGTGGGGCCCGCTGGAGTCGTACGCGGGTCTGTGCACCACCCCCGGAGGAAAAGGGTCGTTCGTCGCGGGGGCGCGCGTGGGAAACGTCTTCGTCGGCGTCCAACCCGCGTTGGGCGTCGAAGGTGCGTTCTACCTCACACTGGTCCCCATACGACCGCGTTGGCGCGGTGGACGCCGTTCCTTAAGGAGTTTCTTTGCCCCGCGTTTCTCTCCGCCCAGGGTCCCTCGCTTACAATCCCCGACACACCGCGACGCCTTTCAACTCCCTTCTGACGCCTTTGAACTCCACCCCGACGTTCGCTCGTACGGACCCTCGACCCTAATCTTCTCGAAGGCGACCCGATGCGCCTCTTGTTCGAGCGCGACCTCACCCCGCACCCGCAGTACGCCGCGTATTACAAGTGGCTTCAGAGCGCGGCCGAAGACGGCGGGTACGGCGCGGACGCGGTCGTGCACATGGGCATGCACGGGACGGTGGAGTGGCTTCCGGGGACGCCGCTGGGGAACACCGGTCTGTCGTGGTCCGACGCGTTGCTCGGATCGATGCCGAACGTGTACGTGTACGCGGCGAATAACCCGTCGGAGAGCATCGTCGCGAAGCGACGGGGGTACGGCACGATCGTGTCGCACAACGTTCCGCCGTACGGCCGAGCCGGGTTGTATCGGCAGACGGCGGAGTTGCGCGAGCTGCTGAGCGACTACCGCGAGGATCCGGAGACGAACGCGGACGCGTTGCGAGGACCCATCTTCGATCTCGTGACGTCCGCGGGTCTCGACGCGGACTGCCCGTACGTCGACGCGGCGACCGGGGAGCGCGCGCGCGTGACGTCCGAGTCGCTCGAGAAGGGCGATGTAACGGTCACGAACGAGGCGTTTTCGGAGTACGCTTCGGAGCTGTACGCGTACCTCGGCGTCCTCGAGAACAGGCTCTTCAGCGAGGGGTTGCACGTCCTCGGCGCGGCGCCGACTCGCGAGACTTCCGCGGCGTATTTGGAGGCGTACTTTGGCGAGAGGCTCTCCGCGGAGGCGGTCGACGCCGTCGCGGGGATGGGGGAGAGCGACGGCGTGGACGACGTCCGCGCCGCTTTGGAACGCGCGCTGAAACTTCCGCCTCCGGCGGACGCCGCCGCCGCCGCCGACGCCGCGCTCGAGGAGGCGGTCGAGATCCGATCGCTGCTTCGTCGCAACGTCGAGGAACTCTCCGGGATGCTCACCGTCCTGAACGGCGAGTACCTCCCCCCCGCGGTCGGCGGCGACCTCCTTCGCGACGGCCCCGGGGTGTTACCCACCGGACGTAACATCCACGCGCTCGACCCGTACCGGATGCCGTCGCCCGCGGCGACGGACCGCGGCGCGCGCGTCGCGGCCGCGATCCTCGAGCAGCACGCGGCGGCGAACGCCGGCGCGTTCCCGGAGACGGTGTCCGTGAACCTTTGGGGGCTCGACGCGATCAAGACGAAGGGGGAGTCGGTCGCCATCGTCCTCGCGCTCGTCGGCGCGCGCGTCGTGAAAGAGGGCACCGGAAGAGTCGTGCGCTACGAGCTCGTCCCGCTCTCGGAGATGCCCGGAGGGCGGCCGCGCGTGGACGTGCTGTGTAACATGTCGGGCATCTTCCGCGACTCGTTCGCGAACGTCGTCGCGCTGCTGGACGACTTGTTCCAGCGCGCGGCGGACGCGCCGGAGGAGAGCGCGGAACAGAATTTCATAAAGAAGCACGCGACGGAGATGCGAAGCGAGGGAGTGGAAAACGCGGGCGCGCGTCTGTTCAGCAACCCCCCGGGGGATTACGGCTCGATGGTGAACGAGCGCGTCGGCACGGGCGAGTGGGAGGACGGGAGAGAGCTGGGAGACACGTGGGCGGCGAGGAACGCGTTCTCGTACGGAAAAGGCGACGAGAAGGGCGCCGCGCGACCGGAGGTGCTCCAGGCGCTTCTGAGGTCGACGGAACGCGTCGTCCAGGAGATCGACAGCGTGGAGTACGGCTTGACGGACATTCAGGAGTACTACGCGAACACCGGCGCGCTCGTCGCGGCGGCGAACGCCGCGAAAGAGGGCCTTCCGGAGGAGACGACGGACGCGAACGGTCGGAAGCGGTTTCCTCGGAAGAAGGTGGCGTGCTCCGTCGTCGAAACCTTCGGCGAGGACGTCGCCCCGCGCGACCTCGAGGAGACGCTCCGGCTCGAGTACCGAACGAAGCTTCTGAACCCGCGCTGGGCGGACGCGATGGCGGACCAGGGCTCCGGCGGCGCGTACGAGATATCGCAGCGGATGACCGCGCTCGTGGGCTGGGGCGCCACGAGCGGGTTCGCGGAGGACTGGGTCTTCGACGGCGCCAACGAGCGGTACGTGCGCGACGAGGCGATGCGCGAGAAGCTTCGAAAGGCGAACCCGCAGGCGTTTCGGAACGTGCTGCGGCGGATGCTGGAGGCGGCGGGACGGGGGATGTGGAACGCGGACGAGGAGACGCTCGCGGAACTGAAACAGTTGTACGCGGAGGCGGACGACGAGCTCGAAGGCGTCAAGACGCAAGCCTAGACGCGCAGCACGAAAACGCAGACGCGTAAACGCGCACAGAGTGATGAGAACGAGACGAGCCGAGCTCGCGTTCATTCGTACGACGAGAGAGGCATCACGGAAACACTTTTGCACTTCACGCGCGCCGCCGCGACCGCGACCGCTCCCACGTCGCCGCCGTGCCGATCGCCGCTACTGCCCGCACGGCATCGGCGCGCGGACGAACACCTCCAACCCGCGCGGGCCCCACACCCGCGCGTTCAATCGAGTCTCCCCCGAGCGTCCTTCTCGGCGCACGCGTATCCACCCGCCGAGACCGGAGACGCACGCGTCGCTCAACGCCCCGGGCGGGTCGCGATCGGCAGCCTCGACGAAGATCTCTTTCACGAGGCGCCGGTGGAATATCTCCGGGGCTAACTCCGGGTCCGGGTCCGAGTACGAGTCCGAGTACGAGTCCGAGTCCGAGTCCGAGTCCGAGTCCGTCGTCGTCGTCGTCGTCGTCGTCGTCGTCGTCGCTTCCGCGGCGGCTTCTCGGTGCGCTTCCACCGCCGCCGAGGCGGACGGCGCCAACGCGACTCCCCCGCCCGCGTCCTCCTCCTCCTCCGTCACCAGCGCTTTCAGATCATCCAAGCGCTTCGCCGCGGCGTCGGCTTCCCTCGCCTCGACCTCCCTCTCGATGTCCTCCCCGCTCGGCAGCGACGACGTCTCCGCGACGCGCACTCGGAGTCCTTTCGGTCCGTAAAACGCGAGACTCGCGCTCGGCGTCGCCTCCGTGATGTCCACCCTCAGTAACGGCCCCCAAAGAAGCGTTAACCCCTCAAATGACGCCCGATCTACCTCCTCGCCGTCCACCCTCGGACGCGGGACGTACTTCACGAGCGTCGACCCGAGCTTGAACCGCTTGATGTCCTCCCCGGAGAGGATCGAGTTCATTCGGTGATGCAAAAACACCCCGGGCGTGTCGTACAGCGTCCCCTTCCCTTCGAACGCTCGCAACGGAATAACCCCAAGCGTCGTCCCGGGCATCGCGCTCGCGGTCGGCAGCCTCTTCCCGGGCACCCCGAAGTTCCCGCCCTCGCGCATCGCCCTCAGCGCGGCGCGTATGAACGTCGACTTCCCGACGTTCGCGGAGCCCAACACGTAGACGTCCCGCCCTTTCCTCTCGGAGAACATCGCGCCGACGGCGTCCCTCACGCCGTCGCCCTTCCGGCTCGAGACGCACACGACGCCCGCGAGCGTCAGACGGCGCTTCTCCACGACCTCGTCGAAGACCCAGTCTTTGAGCTTCTCCGCGTCCGTCCCGCGCGGAAGAAGATCGATCTTCGTGAGGACGAGGAGGATCGGATTCGCGCCGACGACGTCTCGCACGCGGTTGAGAAACGACCCGTGAAAGTCCGTCGCGTCCACCACCTTCCATACGAGCGATTGTCGGGGTGGAGTTCAAAGGCGTCAGTTGGCGTTGAAAGGCGCCGAGGGCGGGGATTGAAAGCGAGGGACCCTGGGCGGAGAGACGCGCCCGGAAAAGTCCTTAAGGATCGGCGTTCACCACGGCGACGCGGTCGTATGGGAACCAGTGCGAGATAGAACGCGCCTTGACGACCAGCGCCTTTTTCGCGCGTATCACCGCGAGCGACTCGCGCAGTTGCTCCGGGGTGATCAAGCCCGAGAAATCGTCCGCGCGCGCGCCGCCCTGGCCCGCGACGGCGTTGATCATCCTCCCGTTGGAGAGCGCGGAACATCGCGAGCACAGCATGGACGCGTACAGCTGTCTGTGAACGCGCTTGGTCTCGTACTCCTCCGGCGGGACGTACCCGGAGACGTCGGGGTGGTCCGTCTGCAGCGCGACGCCGCAGCCGTAGCACTCGCCCTGGGGATGGTCGTCGGTTCGAGAGAGCGATGAGGAGATGAGTCGGAGGAGGAGAGCGAACGCGCGCCGCGAGCGACGGACGAGCGACGGCGCGTTTCGGAATTCACGCCGCGGGTGGCGGGCGAATCGGCGGAGGAGCGAGGCGCGCGACGACGGCGGCGGCGGGAGGCGCGCACCCTCTTTCGCGTCACCTCCACGACGCGTTTCGACGTCTCGTCGCTCTTCTTCTTCTCCGCGAGGAGGTCGCCGTCCGCGGACGACGCCGCGGCGAGCGCGGTCGGTCCGCGCGACGACGGAGACGCGCGCGAAGACGCGGCGGCGGCGACGCGCGACGCGATGCGTTCGACGCCGCCGCGCGAGGCGGCGGCGCGACGCGCGACGACGCGCGCGCGGTCGCGGACCCGCCGCGCCGCGACGGCGGCGACGCGGGAAAGCCCCGCGCGGGATGCCCCGGCGTGAGACGTCATCTCGCGGGACGCGCCGAGGAGTGCGCGTCGACGAGGGAATTGCGCTCGCGATGAAGCCGACTTTCGCTTTTTCTCATCAGCAAATATATTTTCTCGGTGCTCGCGGTGCGATCCGCACGCCGCCGCCCGCGCGCGGCCGTCGTCGTCGCGTGATTTTGCGCTTCTGTTGTACATCGTCTAGTGGTAGTCTATCGCGTCTCCGGTGCCCTCGCGTCGTCTCTCGTCTGCGCTCGCGTCGTCGTCTTCCCCCTGCCGCGCTTCCGCGCGCCTCCCCCGCCGCGCCGGATGCGGCGTCGCGCGCGTCGAATCGAATCGAATCGAATCGTTCGAATCGTTCTATACACTGGTCCCCATACGACCGCGTTCGCGTGGTGAACGCCGATCCTTAAGGACTTTTGCGGGCGATTCTCTCCGCCCACTCCTCGCTTTCAACGCCCGCCCTCGACGCCTTTCAACTCCAACTGACGCCTTTCAACTCCACCCCGACGACGCGTCCCTCGTCATCACGCGGCGGTGTTCCTCTTGTACTTTTTCATCCGCGCCTCCATCGCGCGCTTCTTCTTGATCCCGTCCACGAGCTTCCTGTACTCCTGCAGCGACGCGCTCTGCGCGTCCGAGTCGACGTCGATCCCGAGGTCGTCCAGAAGCTTCTTCTTCGCGCCCTTGACGCCGCCGGCCATCGAGTCTGATGCGGGCGTTCATCGGTCAGTTGAAAGAGGACGCGATCAAATGTTGAAACCGACGACGGGAGGTACTACTGTATGTACGGGTGGAAAACGTTTGCAGAGTGCGAAGGGAGAACGCACCCACGATGACCTCGAACACGTCGTTGAACCCGCGCTTCCGCTTCCCCCACAGCTCGACGAGGTTCACGAACGCGTCCTCCGCCTTCTTCATCTCCGCCGGGGAGATCTCCGCGCCCTTGCTCGCGCGCAACGGCGCGAGTTTCGTCTCCAGATCCCCGTTCTCGGTCGCGAGTTGCGTCGTCCGCGCCTTCATCTGCTTCACCGTGAGCTGCGTCGCGTACGCCGAGAGGCGCGCGCGCTTCCTCGCCGCCTCCGCGCGCGAATTCGCGAGCTCCTCCGTCCTTCGCTTGATCGCGCACTCCGCCTCCGCGACCTCCTCCGGGGTCATCACAGACGCGGTCTGCGGCGCGAAGTACACCTTGCTCTTCCCAGCCTCTTTCACCGCGATCGTCCCGCGCTCGCTGAGCGTGTCGAGGTACTTTTGCGCGAGGCCCTTCTTTATTCCGTGCCGCCCGAGCGCGTCCGCGACGTTCTGCGCGTTCAGCGGGCGGTTCTGCGCGAGCATGTACTCCGCGACGACGTCCGCCATGACGCCAGTCTCGAGGAGGGGAGCGCGTTTCGCTCGAGGTGCCCAGATTTGTGAACGTCGGTTTTCGTCGTCGGACGGGTGAACGAATAATTTTCAAACCGTTCGCGCGCGCCTCGATCGGCGCGCCCGATCGGCGGTCCGGGGTTCATCGTTCGTTCGACACGCTCATCGCATCGCTCAAACCAGTGCGGTCGGGGTCGCGGTCGTTTCAGTTTTTCGCGTCGAGGTCGCGGTTTCCCGTTTGTCGCACGAGCGCAGTAAAAAGCGCGCCTGGCGGGGCGCACGGACTCGGTCCAGGGCCATCATGGCGACCCTCAACGCCGTCGTCGAGCGCGGGTGCACGATGCTCGTGCACTTCGACAAAGGAGTGAGCGCGTCGGAGATCAAGGAGGCGCTCGAGACGGGCGGCGAGCACGAGAAAGCGGACGCGCTGAAGAAAGCCATCGCGATCCTCCTCAGCGGGGAACAAATGCCGCAGCTCTTCATCACCGTAATCCGCTACGTCCTCACCACGGACTCGAAGCTCGTGCAGAAGCTGCTGCTGTTGTACATCGAGATCATCGAGAAGACGGACTCCGCGGGGAAGCTCCTCCCGGAGATGATCCTGATCTGCCAGAACCTGCGCAACAACCTGCAGCATCCGAACGAGTTCCTTCGCGGGTCCACGCTCAGGTTCTTGTGCAGGATAACCGAGCCGGAGATCATCGAGCCGCTGATCCCGAGCATACTCGCGTGCTTGGAACACAGGCACGCGTTCGTGCGAAGGAACGCGGTGCTCGCGATCGACAGGATCTACCAGCTCCCGGGCGGCGATCTCCTCCTGCAGGACGCCCCGGAGACGATCGAGCGCTTCTTAGAGCAAGAGGCGGATCTGAGCGCGCGAAGGAACGCGTTCCTGATGCTGTACAACAACGCGCAGGATCGCGCGGTGTCGTTCCTCATGGCGAACCTCGAGCAGGTGGCGAACTGGGGGGACATCCTGCAGAACGTCGTCCTCGATCTCATCCGCAAGGTGCGCGATGGCGACGAGAGCGCTCCTCGCCCCCCGTCGCGGTCGCGCGCCCGTTCGGTTTTTCATCTCTCTCCATCGTCGCCGGGCGAACATCCCTAGAGACGTCGAACGCGCGCGAGGGCGCGCGTCCGCGCGCGCGATCGATCGCGACGCGGCGACGCGCGCGCTCGCGGCGACGCGCGATCGCGGCGACGCGCGCGCGGGGGGTCGAACGAACCCGGCGGCGACGCGGCCCGCGCGACGTCCCGCGGCCTCCCCCCCCGTCGTCGCTAAAGATCGAACGCGCGAGCGAACGGAAGAAAAACGCGAACGAAACGAAATGATCGACGACGTTTTTCGCCGACCCGACCTGACCGCCTCCCTCCCGCCTCCCTCCCGCCTCCCTCTCATATGCCCCCCGCCCATCCCCAGGTCTGCCGCACGGACCCGACGCAGAAGGGCAAGTACATCAAGATCATCCTGATGCTCCTCGGCACGAACAACACGTCCGTGATCTACGAGTGCGCGAACACCCTGACGGCGCTGTCGTCGGCGCCGACGGCGGTGAAGGCGGCGGCGAACTGCTACTGCCAGCTCCTCGCGTCCCAGAGCGACAACAACGTCAAGCTGATCGTCCTCGATAGGCTCGCGGAGCTGAAGAACGACCACAGGCACGTCATGCAGGAGCTCGTGATGGATATTCTGCGCGCGGTGTCCACGCCGGATCTGGACATTCGAAAGAAGACGTTGGACCTCGTGCTCGACTTGGTGTCGAACCGAAACATCGACGAGGTCGTCCTGACGCTCAAGAAGGAGATCACGAAGTCGCAGGGCGACGCCGGGGAGAAGAGCGGCGAGTACAGGCAGATGCTCGTGCAGGCGACGCACGCGTGCGCGGTCAAGTTCCCGGCGGTGGCGGGGTCCGTGGTGCACCTGTTGATGGATTTTTTAGGCGACGTCAACTCCGCCGCGGCGTTCGACGTCGCGATGTTCGTCCGCGAGATTGCCCAGACGAACGACGCGCTGCGGGACTCGATCCTCCAGAGGCTCCTGGACTCGTTCTACACGATTCGCTCGTCGCGCGTGTGCGGGACGTGCCTGTGGATCATCGGCGAATACTCGCAGAGCGCGACGCAAGTCGAGGAGGCGTTCGCGTGCGCCAAGGCGTCGCTCGGCGCGACGCCCTTCTTCGAGCCGCCGCACGCCAAGGCGAAGCGAGAGCGCGTGCACGACGACGGGTCGGACCGCGACGACGACGACGGCAGCTCGCGCAGGGGCAGCCTGGAGAGTCCCGGGGGGGGTAATTCGAAGATCGCGGCGGTCACCGCGGGGGTGAAGAACGTCGTCTTGGCGGACGGCACGTACGCGACGCAGACGGTCGTGGCGGACCATCCGTCTGCCGCGGTCGGTAACGCCGTCGGCGCGGTCGCGCCGAACCTCCGTTCGCTTCTGCTCGCGGGCGATTTCTTCCTCGGGAGCGTCGTCTCCACGACGCTCACGAAGCTCGCGCTGAGGTACGTAGAGACGGCGCCGGCTGCGGGGATCGAACCGGAGGCGATCAACAAGCTTCACGCGGAGTGCATGCTGTACATCGTGTGCATGCTGCGGCTCGGGAAGGAGGGCGGCCTACCGACGACGATCGACGACGACTCCTACGACCGCATGATGCTGTGCGTGAAGACGCTCGCGGAGCCGGAGACGCAGGACCGCGACGTGTGGCTGCGGTCGTGCAAAGCCGCGTACGAGGGTCTCATCGTCGATCGCAAGCGGCAGGCGGAGGCGCTGGACGGGGATAAGCTCGGCGAGAAGATCGACGCGCAGGCGGACGACCTCATCGACTTCACGCATCTGAAGTCGCGAAAGGGTTTGTCGCAGGTGGAGATCGAGGACGCGGTGGCGACGGATCTCAAGCGCGCGACCGGGTTTCGAACGGATTCGGACGCGCCCGAGGAGAAGAAGCTCAACCGCGTCGTGCAGCTCACCGGGTTCAGCGATCCCGTCTACGCCGAGGCGTACGTCACCGTGCATCAGTACGACATCGTCATGGACGTCACGGTCGTGAACCGCACGCAGGAGACGTTGCAGAACGTGTGCTTAGAGCTCGCGACGATGGGGGACTTGAAGCTCGTGGAGCGGCCGCAGAATCACACGCTGGCGGTGGGCGAGACGAAACAGATTCGCGCCAACATCAAGGTGTCTTCCACGGAGACGGGCGTCATCTTCGGGAACGTCGTGTACGAGAGCGCCAAGTCCGACCGCGAGGTTGTCGTCCTGAACGACGTGCACATCGACATCATGGACTACATCTCCCCGGCGTCGTGCGGGGACACGGAGTTCAGGTCGATGTGGGCGGAGTTTGAGTGGGAGAATAAAGTCGCGGTGAACACGTCCATCACGGACGTGCGAGAGTTTCTCGATCACGTCGTCGCGTCGACGAACATGCGGTGTCTGACGCCGCCGAGCGCGCTGGAAGGGGACTGCGGCTTCCTCGCCGCGAATCTGTACGCGAAGAGCGTGTTTGGCGAGGACGCGCTCGTGAACGTGAGCGTGGAGAAGGACCTGAACGACGGGAAGGTTGGGGGGTACATTCGGATTCGGAGCAAGACGCAGGGCATCGCGCTGAGCTTGGGAGACAAGATCACGCTGAAGCAGCGCGGTCCGGATCCCAAGGACGGGAAGTAGCAGAGTACTGTAGCGACCGGATTCGATTTCTCACACGTTGCCGTATAGTGCGCAAGCGACTTTCAAGCCAAGCCCTGGGGTCAAAGTCGCACCCCTTAAGCGTACGAACTTAGGGCACCCCACTGTACTCTAGCCCAAGAAGACGTTCACTTGCTCGTGATCTTGATGTTCCCCGTGAGCTCCGGGACGCCGAAGTTGCGCTCGCGGTACTCGGGAAAGACGTCGAGGCACTCCCCGACGCACTTGGGCGCGAACCGCACGTACCCGCACACGCGATCTGCGCAGAACTGCACGAACCCCCACAGGTCTTTAAACGCCGCGTCGCGCGTCTTCTGCTCCTTCTCGAAGAGCTTCGGATTCTTCGCGAGCTTGCCGAAGTCCTCCGCCGGCGCCGGCGCGAACGACGGCGGCGGCGTGTTGAGGATCGGAATCGCGATCGCTGCGGTCGCCTCCCCCCTATTACCGCCGTACACGCCGCTGGCCGCGAGCCGCCTCGCGTTCGTCTCCACCTCCGCGCGCTCCTCCGCGTTCGAGACCCAGATCGCGGGGCGGTACCTCGCGCCGTTCTCCTTGAACTGCCCGTCCGTCCGCGTCGGGTCCGCGCGCTTCCAGTACACGCGCATCAGAACCTCGTGCGCGGACGTGACCTGCGTCCGCCCCGCCTCTCTCTTCGCGAGCCTGTCCGCGTCGTACGTCACCGCGACCGCCTCCACGGGCGTCCCGTCGTCGTTCACGCCCGTCGCGAGCCCGGGGACGACGTCCAACACGCCCGCGTATCGCAGGTCGTTGAACTCCTTCTCGAGGAAGACGTTGGCTCCGCCGGCGACGTACATGGTCTGCGGCGTGGCCGCGAGCGACGGCGACGCGAGCGTCACCGCGGCGGAGAGCGCGACCGCCGCCGCGACGCCGCCGCCGCGCGACGATCGCGGCGGCGGCGCGGCGGGAGGGGTCTTCTCGACGCGCGCGGGGGTCGACGCGCGCGCCGTCGCGGGCGCGCGGAGCGCGAGGACCGCGCGCATCGTGCCGCGCGCGCGCGATATCTGCCACTTCTGTTGTCGCGGTGCGGTCAGGTGATGTCAGAGGTGACGAGGCAAGATGAAGCGCCCACTCCCTCGCGCCGCCGCGCCGCGCCGACGCGAAGGACGTCGTCGCGATGCCGCTGCTTGAACGACGATGGGGTCTATACTCCCTCGCGTTCGCGCTGACGTCCCTCGTCGCGGGCACGGGTGCGTCGCGTCGCCGCGTCCTCCGCCCGTCGCTTTCTGTTCGTGCCGCGATGTCGCGTCACCATCTTAGTCTACTTTATCTTCGCCGCTGACCTCCCTCTCCCCTCTGTCATCTCTCCTCTCTCCTCCTCCTCCTCCTCCTCCTCCTCCTCCTCGTCCGTCCGTCCGTCGCAGTGTACGGCTGGCCCGCGCTGCGAAGGGATCTCGTCCGCGAGGGCGGCCTCACCGAGAAAGAGCTCGGCGCGGTGTTCCTCGCGGGATCCTGGAGCGTGAACGGGTGCCGCCTCTTCAGCGGCCTCGCGCGCGATCGATTCGGCACGCGCGTTACCGCGTGCGGCGTCCTCCTCCTGTGCCTCGTCGGCGTCCTCCTCGTCGCGTTCTCCTCCAGCGGCAGCTTCTGGGGTCTGTTCTTCGGGATGCTGCTCCTCGGCGTCGGCAGCGGGTGCCAGCTGTGCGTGCAGCCGGTGACCGCGCTGTTTCGCGAGGCGTCCTCCACGGCGATGGCGACGCTGAGCGGCGCGTTTCAGATCAGCGGCGTCGTGTTCCTGTGGCTGAGCGCGATGTCGACCGCGGGCGCGGGGAGGTCGGGCGCGTACGGGTTCCACGCGTGCTGCGTCGCCGTGTTGTTCGCGCTGAGCGCGGCGTTCTTGCCCTCGGGCGGGACGTTCGCACGGAGGAAGAAAAATTATGAGCCGGGGGGGGCGGGAGAGAAGGAGGGCGGCGGCGACGACGTGGAGAAAAACGGCGACCTCGCCCCGGCGTCGGCGGCGTCGGCGACGGCGGCGACGACCGGCGGCCTGACGCTCGCGAAGATCGAGCTCGTGAACCGCGACGAGAAGCGCGCCGCGCCGCGCGACGACGCCTCCGACGACGCCTCCGACGCCTCCGACGCCTCCGACGCCCCATCCCCCTCCCCCTCCGCGCCGGCGTCGCCCGGTCGAGGACGCGCGCGGCGCGAGCTCATGACGAGCGGCGAATACATCCTCCTCCTAGCGTGGTTCTCCGTGATCATGCCTCCGATGCAGTACTACATCATGAGCATCGGGTACCAGCTCGAGCGTAAGGGCGACGACGACGGCTTGTACACGAGTCTGTTCGCGGTGCTGTACGGGCTCGCAGCGGCGCTCGCGCCGCCGGCAGGGATGATCGCGGATCGATTCGGCGTCGGCGTCGGCCAGGGCGTCGCGACGTCGACGCTCGCGATCTCATTCCTGATTCTCCTGTCACCGTCGCTCCCCGCGCAGGTGGTCGGGATGGCGTTTTACAGCGTGGGGAGACTCTTCGTGTTCGCGATGTACTTTAGTAACCTGGGGAGACGATTCGGGTTCGAGCACTACGGCGCGCTGGCGGGGACCGGGATGCTGTGCGCGTCCTTCGCGTCGCTGCTGCAGTACCCGATGTTCACCGCGGCGGTGGACGGAGGGACGGAGGGAGAGAATGCGGTGAACGCGGGGTGCGCCGCCGCCGTCGCGGCGGTGTTTCCGTACACCGCGTGGCTCGCGGCGAGGGAGCGGAGGAAGCTACTGTAGTAGTCTAGAAAAAGTTGGCATCAGAACTTGGAGAGCTGCGAGTGACGACGGAAGAGAGACGGCGGGGGGGGGCGGGAGGGTTATGGGTTCTTTTCTTTTCTTTCGTCCGCACGGTATCATACAGTAGATGCGTTAGAAGGCTGGCGTTGTTGTCAAAAATGTCGTAAACATTAGAAATCGATCGCGTTCGGTCGCCGCCTCGAACGTATCTCGAGGCGGCGACCGTCCGCGCGCTACATCGTTCTGGAAATTTGCGTGAGCACACCAGACGCGTCGCCCGCGTCAGTCGACGCCGCCCACACTTCCTCGCCCGCCGCAACTCTTCTCTTCATCACTCAACAAACTCAAACAAACGCCGCTCGAGCCCCCTACGCGAGGAGGGAGTTCACCGCCGACTGCTCGGTGTTGGAGGAGCCGCCCTCGCCCGCGAGGACGGCGCCGTCGAGGTACGCGTCCGCGAGCTGCACGCGCTTCACGTTTTCCTGCTCGCCCTCGAGCGCCTTGCCGTGCTGGAGGAGCACCTCCAGGGACATCACGGGCGGCTCGAACTCGAGCTTGCCCTTGTCGCGGCTCGGGTTCACGAGATAGGAGCCGATGTTCTCCTGGCCGACCGTTTGCACCCATTCGCGGACCTTTTGGTCGTACACGCGCGCGCGGAGGGCGCCGAAAAAGTCGATGGACTGGCCGTCGAAGGTTCGCACGAGCACCTCGACGTCCTTCTCGTTCACGCCGTCCGCTTTGAAGATGCCGCACGCGACGCCGCAGCGGTCTTCGAACGTGGGGGACCAGTAGAACTTGTCCATGCGTCCATCGCGAATGAGCGGCGCGTACAGCGTGGAGAAATCGTTACCCGTGGCGATGATGGGCACACGCGGGATCTCCTCCACTTGGTACTGCCCCGGGAGCTGCACGTTCGTCGGGTTGTCCGCGAGGTTCATGAGCGTCGCGTTCACCATCTGGTTGTTCACGGTGTACTGCGTGGAGCCGCCCATGCGCCCAGCGCCGGCGTCGAGATCGTTGATGAACAGCGTGGACATCTTACCCTTCTTGATGATGTCGGAGGCTTCGCGGTAACGCTGGCGAATGAGCTTGGCGGGCTCGCCCGCGTTGCCGGATTCGAGCTCGCCCGCGGACATGATGATCGGCGCGATCCCGAGGCGCTTGAAGATGAGCGTGGACTGGAACGTCTTACCCTGGCCCTTACCACCCCAGATGCCGAGGATGAGCGGCACCTTGATCTTCGGGAGGTCCATGAAGTTCTTCGCGACGTGCACGGTGATCTTGTCCATGTACGATTTGGAGATGTAGTAGCCCTCATCCGACATGTTCGAGAGATCCTTGAACCCGTCGGAGACGTAATCGGAGCCCTGCATGATCGCGTTCTGTGGGACGGCGGAGGTTCGGGGGTGATGGGGGCGACGATATCGTCAGCGAGGGGGCGCGATCGCGGGGGCGACGGCGGGGAGGGCGGTGCGCGCGATCGATCGCTCCGTCGACCGAGATCGATCGTGACAGCTGTCGCGGTTTATCCACTTCCAGCTGGCGGGGGACGAATTCGCCGTGCGAAAATGCGCGACGGGCGCGCGGAGAAGCGCGCGTGCGGTCGCCCCGCGCGGATCCGACGCCAATCGCGGATGGAAAAACGCGCTCAAAGTACGAACCTGGGTGCCGCCGAGACCGAAGCCGCCCTGGAACTTGGAGTCGACCATGCCGCGGCCGCGCGCGATGTCTTGCTGGTCGTCCGAGATGTCCTCGTCCATGCCTTTCCAGCGGGACATCTGCACCTTCATGCCGTTGCCCTTGCCGAGCTGGTTCGGGACGGAGCCGAGCTGGTGCCTGGCGACCTTGCCGACGGCGCCGATCTGAGCGAGGGAAGCGGAGTGCGCGGGGAGATCGTCAGCGCGCGCGATGGCGCGGGGGGAGATTCCGGAGACGCGCGGGTTTCGTCGTCTTCGCGAGTGTGGGAAAAAAAACAACAAAAGCGGGGCGAGATCGACGCGCGGAGAACGCGACGTCGCGAGCGCGCGATCGCGTAAACGTCTCGCACCTTGGCGACCGGGGCGATCATGGAGCTCATGGTGACGGCGGACATCGTGCGAGAGCTGAACAGGGAGGTACGTGCGTACGCGCCGAGTGTTCTGGGCTGCGCGATCGCCCGAGAAACGATTGTTGGTGTTTTGCCCTAAGCCTATCTGCTATCTGCTAAAAAATGCTGACGACCGCGCACAACGTGGTCCAGGCAGGGTGACACCTCAGCACGCGTGATTATCGCGTGTGTCACATTTTGTACGCACGCATCGCGTACGCTTCTTACTGAAACACGTACGCGATATGTGCGTACATAATGTGACACACACGATAATTACGCGATGGGCACCCGCGGCGATCGCGCGCGTGAACCGTGACGCGTGAAGCCGTGACGCGCGCTCCTAAAAACCCAGGGTTTGTTACTTCGTCGCGCGCGTCGGACCGCGCGCGTCATGGCCGCGCCCGCGACGTCCCATCACGTGATGCGCGCGTGCCCCGTCGCGCGAAGGCGCGCGTCGTCGTCGTCGTCGAGCGCGACGACGACGACGGCGCGACCCCGCCGGACGACGACGACGCCGCCGCCGCGCGCGTCGTCGTCGTCGTCGTCGTCGTCGTCGACCGATCCGTCCGCCGCGAGCCTCGCGCTCGCGATCGAGTACCCCGCGTCCGCGCCCGGCGACGGCGACCGCGGCCGCGGCCTGTTCACGACGTCCTCGGACGTCTCCGCGCCGCTCGTGCGCACGCCGCTGAGCGTCGTCCTGTGCGTCCCGGAGGCGACCGGACCCGCCGCGAACGCCGCGTGCGCGGACGCCGTGCGCGCGATGTACGCGGGCTGGACCGACGTCCTCGGGCGATCGCCGCCGCCGGCGGTCGTCGACTTCGTCGTCGCCGCGGAGGCGCCGAAAGATCTCCGCATCGCGATCGCGCTGATGTACGCGAAGCGGCACGTCCCCGCGTGGGCGGCGTACGCCTCCGACGTCATGCCGCGCGCGTACGAGTCCCTGTACCTCGCGACCGAGGACGAGCTGCGCGAGCTGCAAGACGAAGGCGTCGCGCGCATGGCGGCGGGAAGCAAGGCGAACTACGCCGCGGGGTGGACGCACGTGTTGGAGAATCACCCGGACGTCGTCGACGCGCTGAACGCGGAGGGCGGCGGGAGCGTCGGGTGCGACGCGACGCAGGAGGAGTTCGACTGGGCGAGGGCGACGGCGCACACGCGCGCGATGGGCGCGCCCGTGAAGAATCAGCCGTGCGCGTTCATCGGTGCGCGCGGCGCCGCGACGACGATCGACGTCCCCCACGCGAAACCCTACCCCCGCACCCCGCCGCTCGCGCGCCGTACCCCCACACCCCCAACCCCCTAACCCTAACCCTAACCCTAACCCTAACCCTAACCCTAAACGTCCTCGCAGTCCCCGGCGTGGACCTCGCGAACCATTCCTTCTGGCCGAACACGCGATACGGCGTCTCCCAAGACGGGACGCGCTTCGAACTCCGGTGGGACCCGGCGTCGCCTCCGCCGGAGCCGAACTCGGAGGTGCTCATATGCTACGGCGAGCGCATGCCGAACGCGCTGCTCATGCTGCACTACGGCTTTCTGGACCCGAAGAACCCGAACGACGCGCTCGACGTCCAGCTCATGATCCCGGGCGCGCGGCGACTCCGCGCGATCGTCGTCGCCGACGCGGGGCGCGCGTTGGAGGAGGCGCGTTCTATCTCACACTGGTTCCCATACGACCGCGTCGGCGTGGTGGACGCCGATCCTTAAGGACTTTGCCCGTCGTTTCTCTCCGCCCAGTCCTCGCTTTCAATCCCCGCCCTCGACGCCTTTCAACTTCAACTGACGCCTTTGAACTCCACCCCGACTTCGCTTTGAATGATGGAACGACCCGGAGGCGGGCGACGAGCGCGCGACGTGGGCGGCGCGGTGCATGATGACGATGGCAGACCCGACCGACGCGGGCGACGCCGCGACGGATTTGGCGTGCGTGAGGGAGATGAGGGAGAGCGCGAGCGAGAGGCTGAGGGGGTGGCCGACGACGGCGGAGGAGGACGAGGACGCGTTGGCGGGCGGCGGCGGCGCACAGCTGTCGCCGCGCGCCGAGTTGTGCGTGCGGTACCGGCTCGCGCAGAAGCGAAACGTGCTCGGGTGGGCGCGGTTCTTGGATCGCGTCGAGAGCGACCTCGTCGCGTCGGGCGGCGGCGACGGCGGGGGGGGGACGTGAGGCGCGGGCGCGGAGGGGCGAGGAAGAGGCTAAGAGGCGAGCGAGCGAGCGAGAAACGCACACTTGGCGCAATTTTTCGACGCGAGCGACCCGTCGTCTTCTCCAGCGGTATAAATTCGATGTCAGCATGCGTCCTCCTCTCGTCACAACACGCGACGCCGCCGGCCGTCACGCGCGCGTTTCGTCGCCGCGCGCGCGCACGGAGACCGCCGCGCGCCCACCGCGCTCGACGCCGTCCGCCGCGAGGTCGCCCGAGCTCGCGCGTCTCGTGAACCCGCGGACGGATCTGGGAGACCGCGGGTGCCGGTAATTCGTTCACTCATCATTCGCTCCTCGCGCCGTCGCCTCGCGTCCACCTCGCCCACTTCGACATGAAGCGCCTGTTCGGAAAGAAGAAAGAGGTCGCGCCGCCGCCGACGCTGGACGACGCGACCGGGTCGCTCGAGAAGCGCGGCGACGGCGTCGACGCGAAGATCAAGAAGCTCGACCTCGAGCTCGCGCGACACCGCGAGATCATCAAAAAGGCGCGCCCGGGCCCGGCGCGGGACGCGGCGAAGCGCCGCGCGCTGCAAGTCCTGAAGCAAAAGCGCCTGTACGAGAACCAGAGAGAGCAGCTCTACAACCAGCAGTTCAACCTCGAGCAGGTGGGCTTCGCGACGCAGACGGCGAAGGAGACGGTCGTGCAAGTCGAGGCGATGCGCGCCGCGAACAAAGGCGCGTTCTGATTCACACTGGTCCCCGTACGACCGCGTCGTCGGCGTGGTGAACGCCGATCCTTGAGGACTTTCTGTCCCGGCGTTTCTCTCCGCCCACGCCACGGTTTCAATCCCGACACACCGCGACGCCTTTCAACTCCGCTTCTGACGCCTTTCGACTCCACCCCGACGTTCGCCTGTATGGACCCTCGACCCGAAGAGCTGAAGACGGCGTTCAAGTCGAAAGCGTTCGACGTCGACGCGATCGACGACTTAAACCTCGAGATGGCGGACCTGATGGACCAGTCCAACGAGATCAGCGAGATGATGGGAAGGAACTACAACGTCCCGGACGACATCGACGAGGAGGAGCTCATGGACGAGCTGGACGCGCTCGAGGACTTGATGCTCGAGGAGGAAGCCGTCGGCGCGGGGGAGGTGCCCAGCTACCTCAGGCGCGTTCTATCTCACACTGGTTCCCATACGACCGCGTCGGCGTGATGAACGCCGATCCTTAAGGACGTTTGTCGTCGTCTCTCTCCTCCCACCCCTCGCTTTCAATCCCGATACACCTCGATGCCTTTCGACTCCGCTTCTGACGCCTTTGAACTCCACCCCGACGTTCGCCCGTATGGACGATTACCCTCAGGGAGGACGACCAGGCGCTACCGGACGCGCCGGAGGGGCACGCGGAGGCGCTGGCCGCGATCGGGGGCGAGGGGGGAGCGGACGGGTCGCCGCTGCCGACGCGGGCGGAGACGGAGACCGCGAGTTAGGCGGGCGCGAGCGAGCGAATCGTTTGCGAACGAACCGTTCTGTTGTACTGTACCTTCGTACTTTCGAGTAGTCGAGCGCGAATCTTCGTCGTCGTCGTCGCTTTTCACGATGCGAGAAAGGATGCCTCCCCTCCCCTCCCTCCCACCGCGCCCCCCGCTCACTCCCCCTCTCCTCGGTCCACGCACGCGCCCGCGAACCCCTCCACGAGCAACCCCCCGTCCACGCTCAACGTCTGACCCGTGACGTAACTCGACGCCGGCATCGCGAAGAATGCGATCGCGGCCGCCATCTCTTCCGCGCGCGCCGCTCTCCCCAGCGGCGTCGCGCGCTCCGCCTTCCGTAAACTCTCGCGCTGATGCCCCGTGGCGTCCGCGTCGATCGTGTTCTCTAACAGCGGCGTCCACGTCACCCACGGCGCGATGGCGTTGACGCGAACGCGCGGCGCCCACTCGCACGCGAGCGTCTTCGTGAGCTGAATCACCGCGGCTTTGCTCATCGCGTACGCGGCGCCGCTGCCGGTGCTCTGCACGCCCGCCGCGGACGCGACGTTCACGATCGTCGGTCGCCCGCTCGGCGCGTTTCGCAGCGCCGGGTGCAGCGCCCTGCAGAGCTCGTACGTCGCGCGGAGGTTCAGATCCATGATGCGATCGTACTCCTCGTCGGTCGCGTCCAGCGCCGCCTTCCGCACGTTCGTCCCCGCGTTGTTGACCAAGATGTCGATCCCGTCCGGCCACAGCGCGGCGACCTCGTCCACCAGCTCGGCTCTCCCCGCGGGCGTGGAGATGTCCCCCGCGAACGCGTGCGCGGCGCCGGTGACGAACTCGCCGTTCACGACGTCGAGGACGGACTCGATGTCTCGCCCGACGATCAGGACGGAAGCGCCCAGGGCGACGAACTCGCGCGCGGTCGCGAGGCCGATGCCCTTCGTGCTGCCGGTGACGACGGCGCGGTAGCCGTCCAGCCGCCATGGGCTCGTCGGCTCGGACTCGATCTCGGCGTCGGACATGACGGACGGACGGAGGACGAGGCGCGCGATGTCAACTGAAGACATCTTATTTTTTTTCCCGCGCCGCGCGCCCCGCGCGCCCCGCGCGTCGCGTCGGGTTTTTTTTTCTTGGAGCCATCAGATCAGATCAGCCCGCGCGGCGGCCGCCTTCTCAGGGTCACCGCGCGCGCGCGGCGCGATGACGACGATGCGCCCGTTCACGTGCGACGACCTCTTCGCGTACAACGACGTCAACACGGACGCGCTCACGGAGACGTTCAACCTGAACTTCTACCTGAGCTACCTCGCGCGATGGCCGGAATACTTCACGACCGCGGAGGGGCCCGGGGGCAGCGCGCCGACGGGCTACGTCATGGGCAAGGCGGAGGGAAGAGGCGAGCGGTGGCACGGGCACGTCACCGCGGTGACCGTCGCGCCGAGCTATCGCCGGATGGGCCTCGCGAAGAAGCTCATGCGCGAGCTCGAGGACGTCAGCGAGAAGGTGCACGACGGCTACTTCGTCGACCTGTTCGTGCGGCGATCGAACGTCAACGCGATCGCGATGTACGAGGGCATGGGATACGTCGTGTATCGCCGCGTGTTGAATTACTACATGGGCGAGGAGGACGCGCTGGACATGCGGAAAGCGCTGCCGAGGGACGTGGAGAAGAAGAGCGGCGTGCCGCTGAAGCGCCCGATACAACCCCACGAGCTCGAGCAAGACTTCACGTGAGGACGAGACGACGACGACGACGACGGCGGCGGCGACCCTAGCGTAGCGATCGACGGCGCGAGCGAACCTACACGTAGTCTACACATAGAAGAACCTAAACGACCTACTAAACAACCTCCTCCCGCCTACGACGACGTCCGCGGCGGGTCCGCGTCCTCCGCCTCTGCTCGCGCGACCTCCCTCGCCGCCTTGCTCGCGTCTCGCCGTTCCCGAAAGAACGAACGCATCAAAGCCGCGCACTCCTCCTCGAGCACGCGCCTTCGCACGACGAGCGTCGGCTTGAACGCGTGCGGTCGAACGGGCCCGCCGCCGCCGGGGATTGAACACGAACGCACGGCGTCTTCTGGTTCGTCCACGTCAGCTTCCGCCACGTCGGCGCCGCCGCCGTCGCCCATGATTGGCAGCCAGCTTCCGTCGCCGCCGATGAGCGGGTTCGGCGCGCCCCACACGACTTCGCCGAGCCGCGCGTTCAACACCGCGCCCGCGCACATCGGGCACGGCTCCAGGGTGACGTACAGCGTCGTCTCGGCGAGGTAACGCCAGCCCCCGAGGCGTTTCGCGCCGTCGCGGATGCACTTCAGCTCCGCGTGCGCGGTCGGGTCGTCCTCCTCGTCGACGGTGTTGTGATGCGACGCGAGCACCTCGCCCGTGGACGCGCGCACGAGGACCGCGCCGACGGGGACCTCGAGCCGTCTCGACGCGAGCTTCGCCTCCTCGATCGCGAGGGACATGAAGCGCGCGTCGTCCGCGGAGGAGGAGGAGGAGGAGGAGGAGGAGGCCGTCGCGGCGTGCGACGACGCCGCGGCCGCGGACCACCCTCGGAGGTGGAGACGACGAGGAAGACGGTGACGTCGTCGTCGCGCGTCGCCGCCGCCGCCGCCGGCGGCGGCGCGCGGCGGCGACGCGCTGAAGACGCGCAGCGCGCGTCTGAACGTCGCCGTCGCGGTGGGGAGCGCGCGCATCATCGCGCGCGCGCCGCGTGCCTCGACCGCCGCGCGTCGCGCTCTCGCTCGTCGACCTGACGCTGACGTGAGTCAACGCAACGCGCCGCGCGAAGACGAATTGAAAATCTCGTCGTCGACGGTCAAACGAGGGGCGCACGAGACGCCGCCCCGCGGTCGACGCGCGGGGTGGCGACGCGCGAGCGGCCATGAACGGCGTCTTGATCGTCTCCACGCGGACGGGGACGTGTCTCTACGCGCGAGCGTACCTCCCGGACTTTGGACTCCCCACGGAAAACGCGATTGTGAAACGCCCCGCGGACGACGACGACGACGCGGCGGGATCGGCGGGAGGCGACGACGACGACGACGACGACGACGCCGACGCGTCGGTGTACGTCAGCCACCCGTCCGACCCCGCGGCGATGCACTTCGCGGGGCTCATGTTCGCCATCGACGCGCAGGCGCAGGAGATGCGTCCTCCGGGCGACGGCGACGGCGACGGCGACGGCGACGAAGCAGACGGCGAAGACGGCGCGCCGATGGCGCTCGAGCGCTGGTCGCTGAACGACGTCGTCATGCACTTCCGCAGGGACGACGCGCGCGGCGTCCTCGTCGTCGTCTTCTCCGCGCCCGCGCTCGGCGACGCGATCCCGTCCTCGCTCGCGCGCGGCGTCCTCGCCGCGTTCCTTCGCAAGCACGCCGCGGCGTTGGACGCGCCGGGCGGGCCGACGCCCGGGCGAAGACTGCCGTTCACGTCCGACCTGCACGCGCTCTTCCACCGCGCGTGCGAGGAGAGGGCGCGGGAGATGATGAAGTCGCTCGGGTTCAGGTCGCGGTGGGCGTACGTCGCGATGTCCGACGCGTTCGGGGTCGTCGCGCCGGTGGAGGCGCCGCCGCGCGGGAGCGGCGTTCGCGTCGGCGGCGTCTCCAGAGCGTCGTTCGTCGTCGATGACGACGACGAGGAGGAGGAGGAGGAGGCGTCGACGCGGAAGGGGAGCGCGGCGGACGTCGTCGCCGCGCACGGCGGGTGGCTGTGCTGCTGCTGCGGCGGCGGCGGTGGTAAGAAAGTAACGCCCGCGTTTGGAGCGTTGACGGCGGCGGACGTCGGGCGCGTCCAGTTTGTGCACCGCGTCGCCGGGGACGCGTTGGAACGCGCCGCAGCGTCGTTCGAAGCCGGCGCGGCGTCGACGGACGACATCCTCCCGAGGAGAGCGCTGGACGGGCTCGTCGAGGCGACGCGCGCGGCGATCGCGTTGGCGCGCGGCGGCGGCGCGGTCGGGTTTGAGATCGCGTTAGGCGACGGCGGCGACGAAAGAGACGGCGGCGACGAAAGAGACGACGACGCCGCCGCGTCGCGCGTCCTCGTCTACGCGTGGGACGGGTTCGTCTTCGCGCTGCCGGTGACGCGCGCGGACGAGCGCCGAGCGCGGGAGGCGTCCGATGCTGGCGTCGGCGCGGGCGGGTACGACGCGGAGGGGAACAAGCTCGACGCGGAGCGCGAGACGCAGACGCGCGAGAGGTTGCATCCGGCCGCCGTGAGAGCGGCGGTTAACGACGACGCGACGTCGCTGCGCGCGATGCTGAGGTTCGTGCGGCGCAAAGTACCGGAGAAGAGCGTGAGGTTCACGCGATAGTTGAAGGTGTGAGTGATAGGCGATGCTACTAGATGCTAATAATATCGATCATAGACTACGGCGCGACCGGCCGTCTGGACGCCGCCGAGCGAAACACGCGCCCACCTCCGCGTGCCGGGTGTACGGAAAGTGATCGAAGACGGCGAACTTCACGACGTCGTGTGTGTCAGACAACCGCAGCGTCCCTCCTCCTTTTCCGTTTCCGTTTCCCTCCTCCCCGCCCATCGCGTCGCGCGCCAACGACGCGGGATCGCAGCTGATGTACAGCACGTATTCGAACCGTTTCACCAGCGCGAGCGTGTCGGCGTCGAGGCCGGCCCTGGGGGGGTCCACGAGGACGACGTCGAAGGCGTCGAGCCCGAGCCCGAGCCCGCCGCCGCCGCCGCGGAGAAGTTCGCGAGAGACCGACGCCGAGGGCGCGTGGACGATAGAAACGCCCTCTTCGATGCCGTTACGCCGCAAATTATCCCTCGCGGCGTCGCACAGCTCCTCGCTGATCTCCACCGCGACGACGCGGGTGAACATCCCCGCGAGCGCGACGGTGTGGTTCCCGCATCCGCAATACAATTCGAGCAGCGACGCGCCCGCGCCCCCTCTCTCCGCCGCGATCGCGCGCGCGCAGCTCCGAAGCCACGTCAGCGTGTGCTCCGCCATCCACGCGTTCGGGTTACTGAACGCGCCCTCCGCGTTTTTATACGCGAACGCGTCGCCGTCGTCGAGACGTAACGTCTCGACGACGTACGTTTCTCCGGGGCGCGACGGCGACGGCGACGCGTCGCCCGCAGCGCCGGGGACGGGGACGACGCGCGCGGACAGCGCGACGCCCTTGCTGCGGCCTAGCACGTTCACGCGGAGTCGCGCCGATTCGTCTTCCGAGAGGAGATGAAGCGGCGGCGGCGATTCGTCTTCTTCGTCCGCGGCGGCGGGAGAAGAGCGCTCGAGCGCCGACGCCAGCCGCGTCCGGAGCGCCGTCGCCGCGGGAACCCACCTCGCCGCGTCGATCGGCGAGGAATAAACGAGCGTGACGAGGACGCCGCCTCTCGCGCTTCTCGCGGCGAGAAAGTGCGCCGCCTCCAACCCCGTCGTCAACACGTCGTCGCGACCGGCGCCGCCGCCGCCTCCGGCGGCGGCGGCGTCCAGGCCCTCTTGCAGGGCGCCGAGCAGCAGGCGCATGACCTCGTTGACGCGCCGCAGCGCCATCGGAAACGTCGACACGATCACGGACGGCTTCCCTCCGTCCCACATGCGGTAGCTCAGCGCGCCGTCGGCGCCCTCCGCGCGCGCGACTTGAAAGCGGCATCGCGATCGAAAGTGGCTCCGCGGCGACGCGAACACCTCGGGCATCACCGCGTCGTCGTCGTCGTCGTCGCGCGCGAGCAGAGGCGCGAATCGCGTCGCGAGCGACGACGCTTTCGCCGCGAGCGCGTCGTCGTACGTCGCGGGGTCGCACGCGTCGTGGTAACTCGGCACGCGAGGCGCCGCGCCTTCGGCGGCGTTTGGCATGTCGCCGGCTGGGGAGAAGAGCGGCGACGAACCTCGACGCCGCGACGGGCGACGCTCGGCCGGCGCCCGTCGCGATGCGACGCAATGCCGAACTACGGAGCAGTCAACTCGAACAACGACGAGATCTGAAACGCGAGCTCGACGACGAGTCGATCGCGCACCGCGACACCTGATGGGAAAAGGCACCGAAGGCGGCGCGCCCGCGCGCGCGCAAGATGACCTCTACGCGCACGTCAACCGAGAGTGGCTCGACGCGAACCCCGTTCCCGCGGCGTACGGTCGGTGGGGCACGTTCGAGATGCTCAACGACGCCGCTCTGGAGAACACGAAGATCTGCCTCGAGGAGGCGGGCGACGGCGACAAGGGCGGCGCGTTCCTCGCGAGCGGCATGCGCGCGGCGGAGCAAGACTCCAGAGCCGCGCTCGCGCCGACGCTGAAGCTCGCGCGCGAGTTCGCCGCCGCGGCCGCGGCGAAGGACGCGAACGCGCTCGCCGTCGCGATCGCGGAGATGCACGTCTTCGGCGTCTCGTCGCTCTTCGGCGTCGGTGACACGCCGGACAAGAAGAACAGCGAGTGGTCCATCGTGGGCGTCGCGCAGGGCGGCGTCGCGCTGCCGGACCGCGACTACTACCTCAGCGCGGACCCCGATCGCGTCGCGCTGCGCGCCAAGTACGTCGCGCACGTCGCGAAGATGCTGACGCTCGTCGGCGGCGAATACGAAGACGCCGCCGTCGCCGAGGTGCGTTCTATACACTGGTAACTGGTCCCCATACGACCGCGTCGGCGTGGTGAACGCCGATCCTTAAGGACTTTGTCCCGCGCATCTCTCCGCCCACCCATCGCTTTCAACGCCCGCCCTCGACGCCTTTCAACTCCATCTGACGCCTTTCAACTCCACCCCGACGTCGCTTTGTATGGAACGGCCCTGAGACCGCCGCGGAAGCGGTGCTGAAGTTTGAAACTACGCTCGCGACCGCGCACCTCACGCCCGCGGAGCGCCGCGACGCGGAGAAGACGTACAACAAGTTCGCGTCCGTCGCGGAGCTCCCGGCGGGAACGGGGGACGTCAAGTTCGATTGGAAGGCGTACTTTGACGCGCTCGGGAAAGAAGACCCGGGAGAGGTCAACGTTTCTTCGGTCGCCGCGTTGAACGCCGCGATCGACGCCGCGCTCGGCGCCGACGCCGCGGACGAGGACGCGCTGAGGGCGTACGCGACGTTCCACGCCGCGTGCAGAGCCGCGGACTTTTTGTCCGACGACTTCGTGAACGAGGACTTCGCGTTCTTCGGGAAAGAGCTGAACGGCCAAAAAGAGCTCAAGCCGCGGTGGAAGCGCGTCGTGTCGCACGCGAACGGCCTCATCGGCGAGCTCGTCGGGCAGAAATACGTCGAGAAGCACTTCCCCGCGGACGCGAAGACCGCGGCGGTCGCGCTCGTCGCGGCCGTGCGGACCGCGGTGGAGGACCGACTGAGAGAGCTGCCGTGGATGTCCGAAGCGACGAAGGCTCGCGCGTTGGAAAAGATGGCTGGCTTCAGGGTGAAGATCGGGTTCCCGGACGAGTGGATCGACTACGCCGACCTCGCAATCGACGCCTCCGCGCCGTACTACGCGAACGTCCTCGCGTGCAAGGCGTTCGAGCACAAGCGAGAGCTGAAGCGCATGAACGCGCCGGTCGACCGAGAGATGTGGTTCATGGCGCCGCAGCAGGTGAACGCGTACTATCACCCGATGTTGAACGAGATCGTGTTCCCCGCGGCGATTTTGCAGCCGCCGTTTTTCGACGCCGCCGCCGACCCCGCGATCAACTTTGGCGGCATCGGCGCGGTGATCGGGCACGAGATCACGCACGGGTTCGACGACCAAGGCAGGAAGTTCGACGCGAGCGGGAACATGAACGACTGGTGGGCGGCGGAGGACGCGGAAGAGTTCGTGACGCGCGCGAGCGTCATGGTGAAGCAGGCGAACGACGCCGTCGTGCACACGCAGGACGAGGCGTGCGAGGAGAAGTCCATGCCGTTCTCGCTGACCAAGCCTGGGATACGAAGCGTCGCGACGAAAGCGTGCGCGTGTCGGAACGTGAACGGCGAGCTGACGCAGGGCGAGAACATCGCGGACCTCGGCGGGCTGCGATTGGCGCACCGCGCGTGGAAGACGTACGTCGGCGAGGGCGAGCACCCGTCCGCGGCGCCGGAAAACTTTCCCGAGGACTCCGCGATGCGGTTCTTCTACTCGTGGGCGACGGTGTGGCGGCAGAACATAACGCCCGCGCTCGCGGCGAAGTACATCGCGATCGATCCGCACGCGCCGCCGGAGGTTCGCGTCAACGGCACCGTGAGCAACATGCCGGAGTTCATCGCCGCGTTCGGCGTGAAAGAGGGCGACGGGCTCTATCGCGCGGACGACGAGCGCGTGGACATCTGGTGATTAGCGAGCGCGATACGATGCACGGATGAATATGATTGTAATACACGTAATAGCCAGGGCAAGCAAGAGTTGCGTACAGTACAGACGAGGGACCGACCCCCCAAAAAATCGAGCCGCGGCGGCGGGCGCCTTCTTCTTCAGCAGAGGTACCGACAGCTGTCGCACTTGATCTTGTCCCCCGCCTTGAGCGCGCGCAGCGGCGGCGGCCCGCCGCGCTTGTTCAGGTCAACCTTAAACACGCTCTCGAACGCCTTCAGCAGCGCGCTCTTGGACGTCGCCATCAGCGCCGCGTCCTCAAAGACTTCGCCGCCGCCGTCGCCGCCGCCGCCGTAACTCCCCTCCTCCGTGCTCACGATCCCCTCCCTCTTCGCGAGCAGCTGCGCGATCGAACCGACCGGGCGATCGCCGATCCCGCACGGCACGATGGACGTGAAGTCGTTCAGATCCGGGCACACGTTGAACGCCATGCCGTGGTACGTGACCCACCGACGCGCGCGGACGCCGATGGCGGCCACCTTGTGCGGCTTCTCCGCGAGCGGCGTCGACGCGGCTTCCTTTTCTTGCGCGCCGCTCGGCGGGACGTTCGCCCACGCGCCGGTGAGCCCCTCGACCCTCCCGGGGTTCTCCACGCCGAGCTCTCGCATCGCTTTGATCGCGACTTCCTCTAACGATCGCATGTACCAGTGCAGATCCGTCTGGTGCTCGCGAAGGTTGAAGACCGGGTAGATGACGAGCTGTCCGGGGCCGTGATACGTCGCCTCGCCTCCGCGTTCGGTCCTGTGCACGGCGAACGGCGCGTTGACGTCCTCCGGGTCGAACTTGAGGTTATCCGAGGTGGAACCCGTCCCGAGCGTGACCACGGGCGGGTGCTGGACGAGGATGAGGCAGTCGCGGTCTTGGAAGATCGGCGGCGGGTCGCCTCGGCGTTTCGCCTCGGCGACTTCGTGCTCCGCGTTCTTCGGGTCGAGCGATCGTAACCGCGCGTCCACGAGCGTTTTCTGCCACTCCCACGCCTCGACGTACGGCGTCAAGGTGTCTGACATGTCGTAGAAGTCGATCGTCTTCGTGTCGACGTTCACGGCGTCGTTCGGCGCGGGGTCGTCGGACACGATGTTGTTCGACGCGTCGATCGCGGCGGCGGCTTTGGCGGCGACGGGTTTCTTCGCCGCGTCTCTTCGCCCTTTCCCCGCGATCTTCTTCGCGATCTTCTTGACGGTGGACTCCACGCCGCCGCCGCCCGGCACCTTCTTCGCGGCGGCGTCCTTCGCCATCCCCTTCACGATCGACGGGTCGTCCGGGCGCGCGATCTTCACCCGGTTCGGCCGCGGCGCCGCCCTGGACGCCTCGATCTCGCGTCGCAATTTCAGCGCCTGCGCCTCCGCGTCGGCGGCCATCTTCGCCATTTTCGCCATCGGCGCGAGCGCCTCGTCCACCTTGGCCCGCGCGTCCAGCTCTTCGAGCCTCTTCCGCTCCGCGATCGCCGCTTCTTCGAGCCTCTTCCGCTCCGCGATCGCCGCTCTCGCGACGCGGTCCTCCTCCTCCGCGGCGGCGATCCACGCCGCGGCTTGCGCGGCTTTCGCCTGCGCCGCGAGCGCTTCCTCGTGCGCGCGCTGCGCCGCCTCCGCCTGGAGCCTCGCCTCCTCCGCCTGCGCCGCCGCGGCGAGCGCCACCTCTTGTCTCGCCTTGGCCTCCGCGGCGATCATCAGCGACTTTTGCTCCGCGATGAGCTTGTCTTTCTCCTCCGCCGCGGCCGCGATGAGCTCCTGCTTGACGCGCTCGCGCTCCGCCTCGGCGAATCGCGCGCGCTCCACCTCGGCGACGGCGGCGGCTTCCGCCTGAAGCTTCTCGTGCTTCGCCGCCTCTCGCGCGGCGCTCGCGGCCGCCTTCTCCGCCGCCTTCTTCGCTTGCTCCGCGTGGAGCCGCGTCTTGACCCTGCGCGCCTCCGCGGCGAGCGCTTTCGCCTCGGCGACCGCCTCGTTCTGCTTCTCACGCTCGAGGACGTCCGCGTCCGCCATCGCCGCCTCCGCGGCTGCGATCGACGCCGCCTTGGCTTCGCGCCGCGCCACCTCCGCGGCGTACGCCTGCTCCAGCGCGAGGTTCTTCGCCTGGACGTACGCCTCCGTCTTCGCGTCGACGTCCGCGATCTCGCGCGCGACTCGCGCGGCGACCTCGTCGAGTGTCTCGACGCGGTACGCGTCGATCTCTTCGCCGTGCGCGTTGATCGTCGTGGGATGTTGGTCGCGTCGCTCGCCGAACGCGGCGAGCGCCTCCTGCTCGCTCGCGCCCGCCATCGCGATCGCCTCGCGCGCGTCGAAGAGCGCCTCGCGCGCGTCCGCGATGACCGCGTTGAGCTCCTCCGCGGGCGTCGTGAAGACGTGCCCGGTCGCGACGCGGCGAGAGACGTCGCGGGGCGCGCGGACGACGCGGACGACGGCGCGGCGGTTTTGTTGAATTCGCGGCGACGAAGCGTCCGCGCGCGTCGCGGCGCGCGCGCGCGTCCGTCGCGGCGGCGCGCGCGCGCGATCGCGCGACGCGAGCGCGTTCGTGATGATCGTCGATGTCGCGTGAGCCGACATGATGTGCGTCGTGGCGGAGCGCGCGTCGCAATGCCGAAGCGTCGGCGCGTCCGTCGCGTCATCATCTTGCCCTTTTTCCGCGGCCATGTCAGCGCATCTATCCACTCGAGATCTCGCGCCGGCCGCGGAAACGCGCGCGGGGTGCCGCGACTTCGCATCGATGAAAATTGACCGCGCTTCGCGGTCGACGATCCGCTCGCGAGCGCGGTCGAAAATCACCGGTCAACGCGTCGCCGAATCCGTAGGGGCAATTAGTCTCGGTCGATGACCTAGCTAGATTTCGGTTTCGCGTTTCGCGCGCGCGAGGAGACCGACCGTCGACGATCGTTTTCCCGCCTTCGCGGCGGAAAAAATTCAAACCGAACGCAGTTTTTTTCGCTTGTTAGGCGCGACTTTCGCGCCCTCCCCGATTGCCGCGCGGGCGAGCGCGGGGCGCGGCACAGACGAGCGCGCCGCGGACACGGCGAACGCGCGCGAGGAACCCTCGCGCACGTCGCGAGCGAACACCGCGCGCGCGAGGCGGCGCGCGACGCGCGAAGGCGAGCGAGCCGAGGACGCGCGCGCGCGCGGACGCGGGTCCTTCCGGGAGAAGAACGCAGCGAGTGCCAAGAAGCGCGCTCGGCGGGAAATCCGATCCGTTCCGATCCGAACGCGCGCGCGACCGGCGGCGTCGTCATGGCGAAGAGCCCGTGCGCGCTGTCATCCCCGGCCGCGGCGGACGCGGAGGTGATGCGCGGCGCGACGAACGCGCCGCGTCGCGTCTCCCCGCGCGGCATCGCGAGCGCGAGCGCGATCGCGAGCGCGGCGGCGGCGACGCTGCAGAGCCCGGGACGAGCGCGCGCGCGATCGTCATCGCTCGCGGCGACGCGTCAGCGCGTTACCGACGACGACGTCGACGCGAACGCGAACGCGAACGCGAACGCGAACGAGGTCGACGACGACGAGTCGGAGGAGGAGATGATCGCCCCGACGCAGGCGGCGCCGGCGTCGTTGCCGATGCCGCCCACGGAGGAGGACGGCGACGACGAGATCGACGCGACGACGACGACGACCGACGCCGCCGCCGCGCCGACCCAAACGATCGCGAAGCCCGCGAGCGAGCACGCCAGAGCGCTCGAGCAGCTCAGGCGAAAGATCGAGATCAAGCTCGACGTCGAGCTCGAGGACGGCTGGCGCGTGGCGTGGGAAGACGACGCGGGCAAGGAGGTGAAGACGTTTTACGACCCGGCGGCGCCGGGAAAGAAGCTCAGAGGCGACAAGGACGCCATCACGCACGTCAAGGCGAAGACGCTTCGCGCCGCCGCCGCGGAGGCGGAGGCGGCCGCCGCAAACGCCGCCGCCGCGGCCGCGGCGGCGCGCGCGAGAGCCGCGAAGGTGGCCGCGGACCTCGCCGAGCTCGAGGCGGAGGAGGAGTTCGAAGCCATCAAAGCCGCGGCGGAGGCGCAAACCGCCGCCGCGAAGAGAGCGCTCGAGGATAAGAAGAGGCTTCTGCGCGCGCAGGCGGCGGCGGCGGCGGCGGAGGCGTCGCAGGGGTCCACGCCCACGCTCGCGCTCCCGGCGCCGGCGGCGGAGATCGAACCGGCGCCGGCTCCGGCGCGGCTGCCGACGAAGCTCGCGGCGCTCCCCCCCGCGGAGGCGCACGATGAGCCCCCGACGCTGGATTCGCTCGACGAGGAGGAGGAGGAGGAGGAGGAGGAGGCCGCGGCGGACGACGACGACGCCGACGCGAAGACCGCGGCGTACCTGAAGGACCTCGCGAGGAACGTCCGCAAGAAGGCTGGGCTCGACATCGCCTCCGTCGGCTGGAAGGTTGAATACGACCACAGCGAGACCCCCGGGGTGAAGCCCAAGCTGCACATCTACTCGCCCGGGAGGAAGCACCGGTTCAAAGGCCCGTCCGCGCTGATCGAATACCTCTTGAAGCACCCCGAGGAGGCGGCCAAGTACGGCGTCGTCGAGCGCGGGCAATCGCCGCAAGGTAGCCCGGAAAACGCCGCGAGTCGAGCCGAGCGAGAGGCGGCGGCGTGGACCGAGCTCGACGCCAAAGTTCGAGAGGCGACGGGGAAGGGCCTCACCCCCGGGTGGGCGGTGAAGTGGGTGTCGACGTGCAGCGGCGGGCGGTCGGAGACGCGGAAGCGATTCTTCGGTCCCAACGGGAAGCGCTACAGCAGCGCCGCGCTCGTGGTGCAGCACTTCCGCGAGCTCGAAGAGGCGGGCGTGGACCCGAGCCTGGAGGAAAACGGCACGTACCTGCGACGGTCGAGAAGCGGGCAAATCTACGAGGACCCGAACGCGACGGAGACGGAGCAGCGCCGCGCCGGACGCGAGGAGGCGGCGCTGAGAGATCTCGCCGCGCGCGTCGAGGCGGACACCGGCGCGGCGCTGCCCGCGGACTGGAAAGTGCGCTGGATAAAGTCCAGCGATAACCCGACGGAGACGCGCAAACGGTTCATCTCCCCGGAGGGAGACAAGTTTTGCTCCCCGGGCGAGGTCGTGGACCACTTCAAGCTGAAGCTCGGACTCATCGACCGACTGCCGCGGCGCGACGCCCCCGCGGAGCGACGCAACCTCGCCGCGGTCTTCGCCGGCGCCGCGGACGACGGCGCGGACGACGACGACGCGCCGCGACGCAGCGCGCGCGCCGCGGAGAAGGCGGCGGTGGCGGAGCGCGAAGCTGAGAAAGAGGAGAGAAAAAAGGCGAGGGAGGAGCGGGACGCGAAAGTTAGAGCCGCCGCGAGGGAAAGGGAAGCCGCGTGCGCGAAAGCCGCGAGAGAGCGAGAGGCGGCGCGCGCGAGAGAGGCGGCGAATGCGGCGGCGCGCGCGAGAGAGCGCGCGCAGCGGGAGAGCGAGCGGAACCCTGAGCGGGCCGTCGTGCTCTCCACGCACACGCCCGCGCTCGCGCGGCGCGAGGCCAAGCCCCGCGTGCCCACGCCGCCCACGGGGCAGAGCGCTAAGGAACAAGAGGCGCTGAAGCAAGTCTACGCGCACGTGAAGGACGAGCTCGGGGTGACGCTGAACCGCGGCTGGAGCGTCGAGATCAAGACGAGGCAGACGGGGGAGACGGCGTTTCAGACGGATAAGTATTACATCGCGCCGGAGCCGCCGAAGAACGCGCCGGAGGCGTTCACGTCGCAGTTTGGCGGCAAAACGCGCTTCCGGTCGCGCGGAGAGGTTGTCGCGTACGCCAAGGCGCTGTTCGTCGACGCGTCCTCCTCGCGATCGACGAAGAAGAAGGCGCCGCGCGTCACGTTCGAGGACGGCGCGGGCGCGGGCGCCGCCGCCGGGACGAAGCGGAAGGCGGCGCCGGCGGCGGCGCCGGCGAAGGCGAAGGCGACGGCGACGGCGACGGCGACGGCGACGGCGACGGCGAGCCGGAAGAAGCGCGGCGGCGGCGGCGCGCCCGCGGCGAAGAAGCCGAAGAAGACCGCCGCGGCGGAGGAGGACTCCGAGGAAGACGCCGAGGAAGACTCCGAGGAAGACTCCGAGGACGCGTCTGAAGACTCCGAGGACGCGTCCGAAGACGACGACGGCGCGGTCCAAGTCGAGGGCATGCTTTCCATTCACGACGCCGCGAAGCTGAAGAACCGCGCGGCGGCCGTGGACCGCGCCAAGCTCACCCCGCAAAAAGCGAGGGCGCTCGAGGTGGAGGTTGAGTCCATCGTCGCCAACGCCAAGCTGAGCGCGAAGGACCTCGCGTTGGAGTACGAGCGCATCTCCGGGTTCGAGACGACGTGCGCGGACGCCAAGGAGCTGCGGGTGATGCTCCGGTCCGCCGCGGCGAACCTCTCGAGGGCGGCGCAGGCGCAGGCGGCAGAGCGGCGAAAAAGCGCGTCGAACGACCCCGCGTCGCCGGCGAAGCGCGCGGACGAGATCTCGCGGAAGCTCAAGCTCGGCGGCGGACGCGGCGGCGCGCTCGCCGCGGCGACGACCAACGCGGACGAGGTCATGCGCGCGGTGGACGGCCGTCGCGGGGACAAGCGCCGCCGCGGCGGCGGCGGCGACGACGACGACGATGACGACGACGACGACGACGACGACGGCGGCGACGACGGCCGCGGCATGCGCGTCCCGCGCACGCTCGGCAACGTCGCGATGCACCGGCGCGCGCCGGTGGCCATCAAGGAGGAGCCGACGTCTGACGACGAGTACGGCGATCTCCGCGTCCTCGGGACGCCGAGCGACGACGAGGCGGACGCGAACGACCCGGGCGCGGAGGAGTTCGCGGCGAGGACCGCGCACCTCGGCGGCTCGTGGACCGCCGGCGCGGGGGGTAACGGTAACGGTAACGGTAACGGTAACGGCTCGGGAGCGGGCGTTTCCCCCGCGGACGACGACGCGCCGTCCGCGCCCGGTCGCGGGCGCTTCGCCGTCGCGTCGCAGTGGGACCCCACGGATCCCGGGATGGTCACGCAGGCCAAGGCGGTGATGCACACGTCCGTCGCGCCCGGGGAGCTCAAGTGCCGCGAGAGAGAGCACAAGGAAGTCATGGCCGCGATCCACGCCGCGCTGAAGCACAGAAAGTCGTCCTCGATGTACGTCTGCGGGCTTCCGGGGACGGGGAAATCGCTCACCGTGGGCGAGGCGGAGAAGGCCGTGCGCCGATGGGGCGACGGCAGCGGCAGGGTCGGGAAGCTCGCGAAGAGCGAGCGGCCGATCGTGGCCGCGGTGAACTGCATGGCGCTCTCGGAGCCTCGGCACGTCTTCGCGAGGATCATCGAAGCCCTCGGCGGGGTGTCCCCCGCGGAGCTCGCGCGCGCGTCTGCCGACGCGGGGGGGAACCCGGAGAATTCGGACCTGAGCCAGCTCCCGGAGGTGGCCACGCTGCGAGCGCTCGTCACCGGCGACGGCGTGCACGGCGTGCACGGCGGCGGCGGGAAGCGATTTAAGGGTCGCGCCAACGACGCCGCGAAGCCCATGGTCGTCGTCCTCCTCGACGAGATGGACCAGCTCGCGAGCAAGGCGCAGAGCATACTGTACGAGCTCTTCGGCCTTCCCACGCTCCCCGGGTCGCGATGCGTCGTCGTCGGCGTCGCGAACAACATCAACCTCGTCGAGGTGACGCTCCCGAGGCTCAAGATGCGCGGGTGCGAGCCGGAGGTTGTGCGATTCGACGCGTACGACAAGGACCAGCTCAAGCTGTTGCTCGCGCAGAGGCTCGCGAAGCTGCCGTGGGAATGTTTCGAAGACGCCGGGCTCGAGCTGTGTTCCAGGAAGGTGGCGTCCGCGACCGGCGACATGCGCCGCGCGCTGAACATCTGCGCGGTCGCGGTGGATCTGTGCGCGCGCGAGGCGGCGGCGGCGGCGGCGGAGGCGGAGGCGGAGGCGGAGGGCGTCGCGACGGAGAAAACCCCCGCGGAGGCGGCGCGCGAGTCGAAACCGCTCGTGCGCATCTCGCACGTCGCGCGCGCCATCTCGCTGTCGTTCGCGTCGCCGGTCGTGGACACGATGCGATCGCTGCCGCAGCAACAGCAGATGGTGCTCTGCGCGGCGGTGCGTCTCTTTCGCGTCGGCGGCGGCGCGTCGCGGTCGAGAGAGACTAAGCTCGGCGAGCTGCACGATAAATACTCGTCTCTGTGCAAGGAAACCGCGATCAAGGGCATGAACAGCGGGCAGTTCAGCGAGGTGTGCGCCGTCCTCGCGGATCAGACGCTGTTACGGCTCGGTAAGGGCGCGGAAGACAGGCAGCGGAAGGTGAGCCTGGCCGTGCACGAGGACGACGTCACGTTCGCGTTGCAGGGGGTGAAGTTTTTCGAGCGGCTCATCGGGAACTGTCAGGTTGGGCGCCGCGACGCCGCGGCGACGAGGCAGGGGGGTTCAGGGCGGTGAGGGCGAGGCGTCGTGGGGTGGGGGGTGGGGGGGATGGATGTGTAAACCGTCATTGGGATGGCGTTACGTACGTGTACTACGATAGAATCCTTACGACTGCGATGCGACGCGAGGTGTTACAGTACGTTCACAAAAGAATCACGACTGCGCGGGACTGGGAACCTCTCGGACTCGCCGAGCGAGCTACGACGCGACTCCGTCCCCGCTCGCTTCGCTTAACACGCCGCCGCGCCGCGCCGCTCTCCATCGCCATGTCCGCTTCCGTCCCGTCGTGTCTGCCGCGCGCGATCGCCGCCCTGCGCGGCCGCGTCGCGCGCGTCCGCGCGCTCTCCTCTTCTTCGCCCGTCGCCGCCGCGCGCGCCGCCCTCTTCGCTCGCCCGGCGTCGACGCTCTCGACGACGTCGCCGACGACCGCGCCGCGCGCGCGCCGTCGTCGCGTCGTCGTCCGCGCTCGCCCGTCGGACAACGAGTGGAACGTCAGCGCCGCCGCCGCCGCCGCGGGAGGCGGCGACGGCCCGGGAAGAAGCGCGGACACCGCGGACGCGCGCGCGGAGCAGCTCGCGGACGACGCCGAAGAAGCTCCGAGGAAGAAGAAGCTCAGCGACCTGTCGAAATTTACTTCGGCGCCGGCGGCGGCAGCGAGCCCGGAGGAGAAGGCGCGCGTCGACCCGCAGCTCGCGGACGACTCCGAAGACGAGGACCAGGACGTCATCGCGGTGAGCTTCTCAAGCGCGGACGAGGACCCGGACGCGCTGCTGATCGTGGACGAGACCGCCGAGGACGCCGCCGCCGCCGCCGCGGAGGAGGCGGAGAGAGGAGGAGAAGCCGGAAAGCCGACGCCGCCGAGGGTGGGCGAAGAAGGTACGGCCGCGGCCAAGGAGGCGTCCGAGAGACGCGTCGCCGCGAACCGCGACCGACCGATCGTGGCGCGCGTCCTGGTAGAATACGGTGCGCGTCGAGTCGAGTCGATCGCGGCGGACGACGCGACGTGACGCGGCGTACCCGTAACGCGCGCGCTGACCCCGAGCGTTTCCCTCGTTCGTCTCGACCCCGACCCCTGCCGCAGGCTGGAAAGCGGAGCCGGACTACCAGGACCGATCGCCTTCCGCGTACTTTCGCGGCCAGACCGGGTACAGCAAGTTTTACCCTCCCGAGGCGAGGGATTACGTGTACGCGCGACATCTCATGGTCGCCGTAGACGGCACGAAAGAGAGCGAGCGCGCGGTCGAGTTTACCGTCGAGCACCTCTGCCGCAGCGGCGATCTTCTGCACCTCATGCACGTGTCGGTCGATACGCCGCCGCTGCCGACGTCCACCACGGGGGCGCCGAACATTATCGCGGGGCTTGAACCACAGATAGGGACCTCCCACCACGTCCACACGCCCGCGCCTCCGCGATCGAAATCGGAATCTTCGTCGTCGCGAGCGTCGTCGTCGGAACTCGAAGACCCGCGGCTTCCGTCGTCCGATCCCCTTCCTAAACGCGGGGAGAGTTACGACTGGCACGATTCCCCGCTTCGCGGCTGGAGTTCCACACCAAACGTGTGGAGCGACGTCTCGGACGCGGACGCGTCGCCCGCACCGCCGGAAGGCGGTCTGTGGGAGACGCGTCCGATGTACGACGACACCTGGGCGCCGAACTGGTTGCGACAGTCGCGAGTGCGTCGCCCGCTCGTCGTCGCCCGCGATGTTTGACGCGCGTTTCGCTCCTCCCCGTCCGTCGTAGGCGACCGTGACTGAACAGCTTCGACCTCGCAATGGACGTGAAAGCGCAGGAGGCGTTATGGGCCGCGGCGGTGCTCCAGAACGAGCAGATGCTGGACGGGATATACAAGAAGCTCAGAGCGCGTCACGGTGAGTGGACGTTCACTTCGCTCGGTTTCGATTTCGTTCGTGATACATTTTTGAAAGGCGTCAGAGGATGGTGCGGGGTTTCGCCGACCCTGACGAAAGGCGACATGGCGGACGCCGGGGACGAGATGACGCCGTTCCCGCAGCCGATCGAGCTCGACTGCGTGTTCGACACGACGTGGCTGCCCGTCGCGGAGGAGGTCAAGAACATCGCGGAACGACGCGGCGTGAAACTGCTGATCGTCGCGCATCACCCGAAGAAGATTTGGGAACAGTGGCTCGCGGGGTCCGTCTCCAAGTACCTCATCGACGAGGCGACGATGCCCGTGGTCGTCGTGCACGGATGACGCGAGCGATGACGCGACGAAGAGAGATGCGAGAGTAACGTACGATGTACGGCGAGATGTGAACGAAACGAAACGTGAAACGCGCAAACTGAAAAATTTCAATCGCCGAAAGAAACGTCGGAGACGATTCGCTCGCCTCGGGAATCTCGACGCTCGTCTCGTAACGTTCTCCGCTGAAGCGTTTCTTTCACACGAGAATCTCGCGGGTGTATCTCCACGCCTCGGACCACACCGGCTGGCACATGTCGATGGGGATCTTCCCTTGCTTATTCTTGATCGTCTTGTCCGCGCCGTTTTGCAAGAGCAGGTTGACGATCTCGACGTTGCCGCGCATCGCCGCCCAATGCAACGCGGTGTTGTCGCCGATGTCGAGCGCGTCCACCTCCGCGCCCTGCTCGATGAGAAACTTGCAGCACTGGTAGTGGCCGTTGTTCGCCGCGCGCGCGAGGGGAGTGTCCTTCATGAGGCCGGCCTGCTGAAGGTCCGCGCCCTGCGGGAGGGAGAGGGGAAGGGGAAGGCGAAGGCGGGCGGTCACGGCGGTCGGTCGCGGCGGCTTGGGCGAATTCGTTCGCTCGGTCGCGTCGGTCGATCGCGCGCACCTCGTTGATGAGGAGCTCGCACACCGCGGTGTGCCCGTTCCCCGCGGCGAGGAGCATCGGCGGGTCGCCGCAGTGGTCGGACTCGTCCAGCGGCGCGCCCTCGGCGATGTGCTCCTTCACCCAGTCGTGGTAGCCGTCGACGCAGTCGCGCCAGATGTTGGACTTCTCCGGGATGAACCGGCCGGTCTGCGGGGACGGGGACGGGGACGGGGCGGGGATGTCACTCGCGATGGATTCGATGTCGCGGCGCGCGAGGAGGGCGGCGGCGGCGACGACGACGACGACGCGCGCGCGCGCGCGCGCGATTCGATCGACGCGGCGGAGACGACGCGTCGTGTTCGGAGGTCGCGCGACGCGCGACGGAAAGGATGATCAAGGATCGTTTCGACGTCGCCGTCGTCGTCGTCGTTCGTCGCGGGAGTCGAACGGGCGACGACGCGCGATCCTCGCGCGTCGTCCGCGCGGAGCGAGCGACGCGCGCGCACCACGAGATCGAACGGCATCGTGCGATCGTTTCGGGGAGGCTGCGAGGTCGCGGGAGCGGTGACGCGCGCGACGTGCGGCGCGTTGTGCGCGCGCGTCGTCGTCGTCGTCGTCGCGACGAGGGCGGAAAACGCTCGTCGCGCGTCCGAGCAGAAGTCGAAGCGTCGAAGCGATTTTTAGTTCCGCGCGCGGCGCGGCGACGCTTCGGTCAGATCGAACGCGATGTCAACCCTACTAGGCCTCGTCAGTCTGGTCCGCGCCGCGCACGCGACGCGATGGCGGGCATCTTGCGCCACGTCGCGCGGCGATCTCTCCGCGCGCTGACGCGCGAACAGCGCGCCGCGCCGTCGTTCGCGATGCTCGCCTCCGCGCGCGCGATGGCGGCGGACGCCGGGAAGAAGCCCAAGCCCAAGCCCGCGCCGACCGTCGCGCCGTTCGCGTACCAGGAGCTCTTCGAGCCCGCGTCGCCGAAGGACGTGCCGTGGCGGAAGATCACGAGCGCGCATGTCAGCATAGAGAAGGCGTTCGACGGGAAGGACGTCCTCGTGGTCGAGCCCGAGGCGCTTCGGGTCCTCGCCGCGGAGGGCATGAAGGACATCGCGCACCTGCTCCGCCCGGGGCACCTTCAACAGCTGGCTAACATCCTGAAGGATCCGGAGGCGTCCGAGAACGACCGCTTCGTCGCGCTCGAGCTCCTCAAGAACGCGAACGTCGCCGCGGGGATGGTCCTCCCGGGGTGCCAGGACACCGGCACCGCGATCGTCATGGGCAAGCGCGGCGTCCGCGTGATGACGCGCGGCGACGATGAGGCGCATCTCAGCAGGGGCGTCTACGACGTCTACGTGAGCCGGAATCTGAGGTACTCTCAAGTCGCGCCCGTCTCCATGTACGAAGAGAAGAACACCGGGAGCAACCTCCCGGCGCAGATCGACCTGATCGCGACGGACGGGGACGAGTACCACTTCCAGTTCATGGCGAAAGGCGGCGGCAGCGCGAACAAGACGTTCCTGTACCAAGAGACCAAGGCGCTCCTGAACGAGACGCGAATGATGGAGTTTCTAGAGGAGAAGATCAAGACGTTGGGAACCGCGGCGTGCCCGCCGTATCATCTCGCGCTCGTCGTCGGCGGCCTCAGCGCGGAGCAGTGCCTGAAGACGGTGAAGCTGGCGAGCGCGAGGTACTACGACAACTTGCACGCGGAGGGGAACGCGCACGGGCGGGCGTTTCGGGACGCGGAGTTGGAGAAGAAGGTTCACGCGTTGACTCAGGCGCGTTCTTCTTTACACTGGTCCCCATACGACCCCGTTGGCGTGGTGAACGCCGATCCTTAAGGTTTTTTCCCGGCGCGTCTCTCCGCCCGCCCCTCGCTTTCAATCCCGACACACCTCGATGCCTTTCAACTCCATCTGACGCCTTTCAACTCCACCCCGACGTTCGCTCGTACGGAACGGCCCGCAGCGAATGGGCATCGGCGCGCAGTTCGGCGGGAAATACTTCGTCCACGACGTGCGCGTGATTCGCCTCCCGCGGCACGGCGCGTCGTGCCCCGTCGGCCTGGGCGTCTCGTGCAGCGCGGACCGGCAGGTCCTCGGGAAGATCACGAGAGACGGCGTCTTCCTGGAACAGCTCGAGACGGATCCGTCCAAGTACCTCCCCGACGTCACGGAGTCGCACCTCGACGCGGAGACGCCCGTTGTGAAGATCGATCTCAACGCGCCGATGGCGTCGATTCGCGAGACCTTGAGCGCGTGCTCCGTGTCCACGCGTCTGTCGTTGACCGGCCCGCTGATCGTCGCGAGGGACATCGCGCACGCGAAGATTAAGGAGAAACTCGACGCCGGCGAGGAGATGCCGGCGTACATGAAGAACCACGCGGTGTATTACGCGGGGCCGGCGAAAACCCCGGAATTTATGGCGTCCGGGTCGTTCGGGCCGACGACCGCCGGAAGGATGGACTCGTACGTGGAAACGTTCCAAGCGAACGGCGGGTCTCTGGTCATGCTCGCGAAAGGGAACAGAAGCGCGCAAGTCACGCGCGCGTGTAAGAAGCACGGAGGATTTTATCTCGGCAGCATCGGCGGCCCCGCCGCGATCTTAGCGCAGAATAACATAAAGAAGGTGGAGGTTTTGGAGTACCCCGAGCTCGGGATGGAGGCGGTGTGGAAGATTGAGGTCGAGGACTTTCCCGCGTTCGTCATCGTCGACGACAAAGGGAACGATTTCTTCAAGAAGTGGCAGAGTTGAAGTAAAAAGGTTCGATCTAAACTACTGCGCTTCGTCTCCGTGGACGACGCGCACGAGAGACCAGTCCACCTCCACGCCGCCGTCGCTCTTCTCCTCGGCGTACGCGATCACTCTACCGCGCGAGGAGACGGAGACGGCACCGCCTCCTTCGTCGTTGCCGTCGTCGTCGCCGCCGCCGCCGTCCGAGCCGCCGTAAAACGCCGCCTCGCGCGGGATCATGTCGAGCGGCGCGCCCTCCGCGTCGCCATCCGCGCGCTCGAACCCCCCCGCGGTCTCCACCAACGCGCGCACCTCCTCCGCGTCCTTCACGATCGATCCCACCTTCGAGACGTCGTCGACGCACCGCGTCACGAGCATCGACGCCGCGCCGCCGCGGCACGTCAGGAGCAGCTCGGACGCGCGCGGCTGAGGGTCGTTCCATCGTTCAAAGCGACGTCGGGGTGGAGTTGAAAGGCGTCAGTAGGAGTTGAACGGCGTCGCGGGCGAGGATCGAAAGCGAACGGTGGGCGAAGAGTGACGCCGGGGAAAATCCTCAAGGAACGGCGTTCACAACGCGAACGCGGTCGTATGCGGACTAGACTAGTGTATAGAACGCGCCTGTCCCCACGACGGCGCGAGGCAGTGCACGCCGACGCGTTCGCACGCCGCCTCCGCGATGGAGAGCGATCGGAGGTCGTGGCAGTGCCCGGCCACGACGCCCTGGAGCGCCGGGAACGCCGCGCGCAGCTGCTTCAGCGCCGCCGCGAGCGACGCCACGATCGCGGCCTCGTCGAACCGTTTCCGGTCGGTCGTCGCGGGCGTATACGCGGGCACGCCGCGCGACCACGAAGGTATCCCGGTCGCCTCCGAGAACGCCGCGGCGGCGGCGCGCAGCCCGCGGATCCGTTCGCGGCGTCCGCGCGCGTCCGCGTCCGCGTCGTCGTCGTCGTCGTCTGGAATACGAAACGGCACGATGACCGAACACAGCCGGCGCTGCAGCAGCGCGGTGTGAAACGACGTCGCGCTGCCGTGCCCGGAGGAATAAATCAGCGCGTGCGTCGGCGGCGGCGGCGGCGGAAGATGAAAAGTCAACCGTCGCGCCTCCACCGGCGCGTGCGACGGCCGCGCGTTTGCCCTGGCGTCCTCCTCCGCGATGCGCTCCAAGTCGCGCGCGCCGATGTGCTCGCACATCGCGACCGCCTCCGCGAGCTTGCCGCCGCCGAGACCCAACCGCCGCGCCACCTTTTGCAACGCGACGTGGAACCGGCTGCCGTACTGCGCCGCGCATTTTTTCCGCGTCCACAGCTCCGCGGGCACCGACAACGGCGCTCTGCTCAGCGCGACGCGCAGCACGCGCTTCTCCGCGCCGCCGGGAAGAAGCTTCAGCCTCGACGGGATCTCGAGCGCGGCGTGCGGCGCGACGTACGCGGACAAGAACGGCGCGTGCCCGGACAGCCCGTGCGATACACACACCGCGTGATCGCGTTGTAAATCCCTCCGATGCAGCGACCGCAACCCGGACGCGGACATCTCGTCGATGTCGCGCGTCGGCCGCTGCGCGTGTCGCGCGTACCCGGCGAGGAGCTCCTCACTGCCGCCGCCGGCGAGGACGCCCGCGCAGTTCGCGCTTCGCGCGGCGTCGCACGCGAAGTACGTCGTCAACGCGACGCCGGCTTTGGGTCGTTTTATACGAGCGCATGTCGGGGTGGAGTTCAAAGGCGTCAGACGGAGTTGAAAGGCGTCGAGGCCGGGGATTGAAAGCGAGGGGTAGGCGGAGAGACACGCCGGGAAAAGTCCTTGAGGATCGGCGTTCACCACGCCGACGCGGTCGTATGGGGACCAGTGTGACATAGAACGCGCCTTTGACGACGTCCAAACTCGTCACCGCGGGGGTCAACGCGCGCAACGCCGCGATGACGTCCGCGATGGAGCGCACCTCGCGCTCGATCAACTTTACCCCGAGCGCGGCCGCGCCGATTCGCGCGGGCGCGACGTCGGACGCCTCCGCGGTGCCGCCGGTCGGGGCCCAGCACGCGACGCACGCGACCACCGGAACGCGTAATCTGACGCAGCACGCGAGGAGCGCGGTGGAGTCGACGCCGCCGCTGTAGAGGACGCCCATGGGGTGCTCGGCGGTGACGCGCGAGCGCTCCGCGGCGTCGGCGACCGCGGCGAGGAGGCCGCTCGCGAGGCGCGCGGCCGCGGCGGCCATCCCGGCGTCGTCCGGGTCGGAGCCGGAGGCGGCGGTTTCGTCGGCGACGGCGACGGCGAAGCGCGGCGGCGGCTCGAGCGGCGGCGGAAGCAGCGGGATCAGATCGCCGCCGTCGTCCACCGCGGCGGTCGGCGCGAGTGAGAGCGCGTTTCCGCCGCGACCACCGCGTTCGACGCGCGCGACGTGCCGCGGGTGGTGCGACGACCATCCGTCGCGCGAGGACGACGGCCAGTCGCCGCCGGGCGCGTTCGCGAAGATCCATCCGTCGTCGTCGTCGTCGTGACTGGTTCCCATACGACCGCGTTCGCGTGGTGAACGCCGTTCCTTAAGGACTTCGTCGTCGTCGTCGTCGTCGTCGTCGTCGTCCCCGAAACGACGCGTCATGAGCGGCTCTCTTCCGAGTGCGTCCGTCCTCGCGGCGACGACGCCCGTGGCGTCGTCCCTGGCTAACATGAAGAACGCCCCGCCCGCGTTCGGCGTCGACGCGAGCGCGGACGCGAGCGACGACGACGACGACGACGACGACGACATCGCGTCCGCGAGCGCGCGATGGACGTCCTCCCACGCGAGGCCGTCCACGTGCCCGCGGCACACGAGCGTGAGCGCGTCGCCGCCGCGTTCGCCGCGCGCGGGCAGCTCGTAACGCGGCGCGTACCCGCGGACGAGACGCGCGCCGTCGTCGGCCGCGCCGTCGTCGTCGTCGCGGAATTTCGGCACCCTCCCGCCGTCCTTCTCCCCGTCGCCCTCGCCTCCGCCGCCGCCTCCGCCGCGCGACCACGCGACGACGCGCACGCGCCCGTCGCCGTTCACGACCACGGACTCGTCCCATCGCAGCGCGTGAACGCCCATCGCGCCGCGCGCGCCGCGCGGAGCCGTGCGGCGCGCGAGGGACGATGACGACAGCTGGCGGGACGAGAGCAGTGAGCGTGAGGGTTTCGTGAACAGAAGTGAGATCGGCAGATCTGGCTCGCAGTTAACAACGCGCGCCTCCGCGCGTCCGCTCGTCCCCACCCACCGAGATGGCGGTCCCGATGAACAGCGACGAGGACGACGCCTCCGCGATGAAGGCGCTCGCGAAGGAGCACGACCTCTCGATCCGCGGCGCGATCGCGACGAAGCCGCCGTTCTCGTACATGCGCGCCTTCTTCGACGCGATGATGGATCCACACGACGCCGACGCCAACCCGCGCGGATATATCAACCTCGCGGTCGCGCAGAACCACCTCACGATCGAGCCCGTGCAGTATCGCCTCCGGCAGTCGTTCGTGGACGCGCCGCTCCCAGACAGCGCGTGCGGGTACGATAACATGCGCGGCAGCGAGCGCCTTCGCGTCGCGATCGCGAAGCACGAGACGCGCATGTTCGGCGGCGACGTCAGCCCCGAACAGCTGTGCGTCAGCGCGGGCGCGGGCGCCGTCATCGACAACTTGTTCATGGCCATCGCGTCCGAGGGAGACGGCGTGCTGATCCCCGCGCCGTACTACCCCGCGTTCGATAACGACCTGAGGGTGAGGAACGGCGTGCGCGCGATCGCGGTGCACGGCGACGACGCGGCGTCGTTGCCGACGCCGTCGCAGCTCGCCGACGCCGCCGAGGCGGCGGAGGCGAAGGGCGTGAGAATCAGGGCGCTGCTGATCACGAACCCGTCGAACCCGTTGGGGGTCGTGTACACGCAAGCGGACCTCGCGGAGAGGATCACGTGGGCGCTGACGCACGACCTGCACTGCGTCGTGGACGAGGTCTACGCGAGCTCGGTGTTCAACTTTGATCGGAAGACGCGGCCGGATAAAAAGTTTGCCTTTTTCTCCGCGTTAAACCTGGAAAAGTCCGGATGCCTCGCCGTGCCCTCCGCGAAGTGCAAGACGTACCTGCACCACGTCTACGGCATGAGCAAAGACTTCTGCGCGAGCGGGTACAGGATCGGGGTGCTGCGCACGAGGAACGAGGGCGTGTTGCGCGCGATGGACAACGTCGGATACTTTTGCGCCGTCCCCGGGCCGATGCAACACGCCGTCGCGGAGATGTTAGGTGTGTTCTGTGACTCGCGTTTTGTTTTTCACCCACCGCGCGGTTTCAACGTTTGATCGCTCCCCCTTTCAACTGACCGATCATGGAATCGCCCTCAGAGGACGAGGAGTGGGTGGACACGTTCATCGCGCACAACGCGGTGGCGCTGGCGGAGTCGCACAAGGTGTTAACGGACGCGCTGAAGGCGTTTAACGTGCCGGTCGTTCACGCGATCGCGGGGATGTTCGTGTGGATCGATCTGAGCGGGTGGTTGAAGGCGCCGACGTGGGAGGAGGAGCGCAGGCTGTGGACGGCGGCGACGGAGGATCCGCGGTGTAAGCTCGTGATGACGCCGGGGAGGGACTGCAAGTGTAAGACCCCGGGGTGTTTCAGGCTGTGTTTCGCGGCGGTGCCCCCGAAGACGCTCGAGGTGGCCGCGGCGAGGCTCAAGGCGCTTCTCGAGGCGTACGAGTGACGACGACGAGAGGAGCCGCGTCGACAGCAACGGATGTTATAAACGTAACCTTAACTTATTACTACACCTGTGACGGTACCCGGCGGCGATCGATCGCTCGCTCACTCCCCGAATCGACTCTTGCGGACGTACCCCACGCGCGTCTCCGCCTCGCGCTCGACGATCTTCCTCTTCCCCGGCGTCAGCGCGTTCATCGGCGCCGAGATCACGCGCCCCGCTCCGTCCCTCGACGCGCCCGCCTCCCTCAGCAGTCGCTCCGACGCCGCCGCGGTCATCTTCTTCGCGCTCAGCGCCTCCGGGCCGTTCCGTACGAGCGATGATATCGGGGTGGAGTTGAAAGGCGTCAGTTGGAGTTGAAAGGCGTCGAGGTGTGTCGGGATTGAAAGCGGGGGACCCTGGGCGGAGAGAGAACACGGCAAAAGTCCTTAAGGATCGGCGTTCACCACGGCGACGGGGTCGTATGGGAACCAGTGTATAGAACGCGCCTCCGTCATCCACGGCTTGTGGCTCGCCGCCCTCGCGTCCGCCTTGGCCCTGCGCTCCGCGTCCGACACGCACGCCATCACGTCCTCGACGCGCCACGTCCGCGCGCGCGCGTCGTCGTCGGCGAGATAACGCCTCGCGAGCGTCAGTTTCCGTCGCGTCATCGCGTACCCCGCGAACGCGTCGTCCTTCGACACCTGACGCGCGTAGCCGCTGAGGGTCGTTCCATACAAAAACAGTTCTCCGGTCAGTTGAAAAGGGACGCTATCAAATGTTGAAACCGAGCGATGGGTGAAAAACTTTTGTATAGAACGCACCTGAGGTACCCCGCGGCGACGAACCTCCCGAACGCGTTCTTCCCTATCGCCGCGCACGAGTCGCCGTGGACGCGCACGACGTGCACGGCGTCGTCGTGCCATCGCATCTCGCCGCGGTCGCCGTCGTCGAGCTGCCACCCCTTCCCGATCACGACGCTCGGCTCGTGGTGAACATCGTGGAACCGAAGCGCGTCCGCGATGGACGGCGGGTCGTGCCGCACGCCCCACACCTGCGGCGACGAGGCGACGACTACGCGTGAGGAAGAGGAAGCGCGCGCGTCGGAGGACGGAGGACGACGCGAGGCGAGGCGACGCGAGGAGGAGGCGGGCGCGGCGCGGCGCGGCGGGGCGGGGGCGTCGCGCGTCGTCCTCCATCGCGTCGTCGCACCTTGAACTTCGGCGCGGTGCGCTTCGCGAAGTCCGCGTCCGGGGGCTGCGCCGCGCGCGTCGCGTCCGAGGCGCTCACGCCGACCCAGGTCCCCTCGTAAACGCTGCTCGACGGGCGGTCGCCGGGGACGGGGTCGTCGCGGTACGTGTAGTCGCCGCGCCACACGAAGAGCGTGTCTCGCCACGACATCGCGGCGCCGCGCGAGCGACAGCGCGCGTCGTGGTATGATGCCGTCTCGGCGACGCATTACTGTTTTGTTGATGTGCGGATCGCGCGAAATGTCCGACCCGTCGGTGGGAGTATTTTCCTATGGGCAATTAGTGAGAAGTACACGTACGCGCGTGCGAGTCGTTTCCGGTGACCGTTGTTGCTTTTGAACGACGCGACGAGCGACCGACGTCGACGCCTCTCTCCGCACTCGAGCGCGCGCACGATGGCGCCCGCGACCGCCGCGGTCGAGATCGACCCTCGGCTCCTCCGTCAGCTCGAGGACGAGTACGAGTCGCTGAAGAACGACCGGACGGGTGCGATGCCTCGTCCAAACGCGCGCGTCGTCGCCCTCCGTCGCCGTTCAAACGCGCGGCCGCGATGTGTGGCTGGTCGCCCCCGGCGCGACGCGGCGCGATTCTGAATCTGAACCCGACCTCCCTCTCGCGCGCCCGCCCCGCCCTCTCCCTCGCCGCAGGCCCGCCCGTGGACTTCGCGAAATGGATCCGCGGACGCCTCAAAGAAGCCAAGCACGCGGGCCTCATCCGCGTCGCGCGCGCGGCGCCGATATCCCACGCGCTGCAGGCCGCGGACGCGACGCGCGCGAGCGGCATGGCGCCTTCGAGCCGCCCGCCCGGGTACGACCCGGACAAGTACGTCCGCGTCGGCGGGAAGATCTCGAGAGCGAAGACCGCGTCGCGGTCGCTCGGCGGCGGCGGCGACGCGCGCCCGGGACGCGCGGGGAAGGCGTCGTCGCGCGCGAGGACGGAGAAGACGATCGCGGCGGCGACGGACGCGAAGCTCGTGCCGTCGTACGTGCCGCTCATCTTCAAACCTGGGCCCGCGCCGAAAAAGACGAAAGCCGAGGCGTTCATGGAGCGCAACGCGCCGTCCCCAGCGCCGCCGCCGCCGCCGCCGCCCGCGCCGCCCGCGGACGCGGCGCTGCCGAACGCCACGCATCATCACGTCCTCGCGCCCGCGGAGGCGGCCAGGGCGCGCGGCGTCGCCGCGTCCATGGAGATGCACGGCGGAACGCGCGTCTCGCCCGTCGTCGAATCCATCGACGACGACGCGCTCTTCGCGGGGCCCGGCGCGTCCTCGTCCTCAGGCGCCGCGCTGCCGTGGTTCATGAACCGCCCGAGCGCGTACGTCGCGGGCGGGTCTCTGAAGCAGCGGGAACAGCCGGTCGTGAGAGGCGACGGCCGCGTCGACGCGGATGTCGTCCAGGACGCGCTCCGAAAGTCGTGCGACGTCCCGCCGCCGCCGGAGAGAACGGGCGAAAGGGGCGTGTCGAGAGAGACGAGCGCGGGCGTCGGCGAGGCGGCGCGACGGATCGCGCGCGCGACCGCGCTCGCGAGAGAAGACTTCGGGCGCGCGGCGCGCCTTGTGGACGACGACCCGGTGACGCTCGCGGAGAAGCAGCGCGCGCTGGACAGGGCGCTGAAGAAGCAGAAGATTTTGACGGAGAAGAACAAGGCGCGTTCTTTCTCACACTGGTCCCCATCCGACCGCGTTCGCGTGGTGAACGCGATTCCTTAAGGACTTTCTCTCCCGGCGTTTCTCTCCGCCCATCATCCCTCGGTTTCAATACCCGACGCGCCTCGACGCCTTTCAACTCCACCCCTGACGCCTTTCAACTCCACCCCGACGTTCGTCGCTTTGAAGGCGCTGGAGGAGACGCTCCACGTGCAGGCGCAGCGCGCGGCGGAGCAAGAGAAGAGAGTGTTGGCGGCGAGGAAGAAGGCCGCGGCGGCGGCGCGCGACGTCGAGATCTTGCGCACGAGTGGGGAGAGCGCGATGCGTAAGAGTCGCGAGGGGCGCGGCGCGGGCGCGGGCGCGACGCCGCCGGCGAAGCCGACGAGGGTGGATTCGCCGAGCACGCTGCGCGAAGCCGCGGCGAAATTTCTCTCCGACGTCGTCCTCGACGGACCGTCCGGCCTGCGTAAGATCAGCGCTTTCGGGCACACGCCGGTGAAGCCGAAAGGGCCGACGTTCCTGGAGCGCATGGCGAGGAGGGAGCAGGAAGTCGCCGCGAAGCGCGCGGCGCAGGCGGCGCGCCGGGCGATGCGAGACGAGGCGCGAGGGAGGAAAAAACCAGAGTGGAACGACAGCTGCGCGGACGTCGGCGTCTGGGCGCCGCCGCCGGCGGCGGCGGCGCGCCCCAAGTCTGCCGCGTCCGCGACCGCGCACCATAAACGCGCGCGACCGCGTCCGTCGAAGCTCCGTCAGCCGAGGCTGAATAAGCCCAAGCTGAACAAGGACGGTCGGATCAAGGCGCTGGACCCGCCGCGGTGGAAGACGCCGCCGTCGAAGGAGAAGAAGCCGCCGCGCGGGGGGCGCGACCGGCCAATCAGCGCGCGCCACGTCGGTATTACACCCACGTCAGCGTTCGAAGAGACGATCAACGACGCGACGCTGCGGATGCTCGACGCGGAGGTGACGAGGCTGTCGAAGCGGTTCGGCGCGAACGACGGCGACGGCGCGGCGGCGGCGACGACGTACCGACCGCCGGCGAAGACGAAAGCGCCGCCGCCGCCGCGCGCCAAGTCCGCGTCGTCCGCGGCGAACGCGCGGCCAATTGACGGCGGCGACCCGAAGGACGAGATCGCGGCGATGCGGCGGCAGCTGGACGAGATCGTCGCGCACCTGCGGCTTCAGCGCATCGCGGACGACGACGGCGGCGGCGGCGGCGGCGGTCCGACGTCGTCGCGCGCCCCGGGCGGCGCGCGGCGCGACGGCTCCGGCGCGTCGACGCGCGCGTCCGCGGCGTTCTCGGACGCCGGAGGCCGCTTCGCTAGGGACGTCGACGCGTCGACGACGTCCTTCGGATCGTCTCTCGACGTTACCCGCGCGTTGGAGGCGCTGCGTCGCGCCGAGGCGAGCGAAGTCGAGATGCGCGCGCGGTGGGGGCTCTTCTCGCCGACGCATCCCGCGCCCGCCGCCGGCGACGGCGACGACGAACTCGCGTCGCTGCGGTACGACGCGGAGGCGGGCGCGAGGGCGCTCGAGAGCGAGTTCGCGACCGCGGCGGAGCGCGCCGCGGAGCTGGTGTCCAGGTCGCTCGCGGAGGCGGCGGTGGAGACGATCGATGCCGCCGCGGATGAAGATTTCGTCGCGCGCGTGTGGGAGGCGCGCAACCAGTACGTGAAGTGGCAGGCGATGAGTGATAACGCCGCGGCGGGAGGCGTTACGGGTCCGGGCGGCGAAATCGAGGTCGTGTCCCCGGAGTTTACCCCCGTGGACGTGAACGAGGAGGTGGCGGAGCGTCTGTTGAACGGATTGGTACGCGACGTCGCGAGGGAGCTCGACGGCGCGTGCGAGGACGCGACGGGCCGCGTTCTCGCCGCGGAGTTCGGCGCGGGCGCGAGGGAGGACGAGGATACGGTCGCCGGCGCGCTGTTGATGGACGACGCGTACGAGGAGGCTGTCGCGCGGGCGTATTGATCGAGTAAGACGACCTCTCTTTAGCACGCGAGACTCATCAAAAAATACTTCGCCCTCTTCTCGACCGATTCTCGTCCCCGAGGCTCGCTCGCTTGACCGGCGAAGTCGAACGCGCGCGCTCGCGCGTTTGATCGGTCGCCGCTGCGCTGGCGAGCGACGACGCGAGGAAAAAACCCGGCGCGGTCGTCACTCCGGGCGCGCAGGACCGGAGGTGGCACGATGTCCGTCTCCTTCATGGAGGCGCTCGACACGCTCAAGAGCATGTTCCCCGAGCTCGACACGGTGACGATCCGCGACGCGCTCGAGGCGAAGGGCGGACACATGGAGTCCGCGGTCGAGGACTTGCTGCAGATATCGCGTAAACAACGCGGGGTCGGTGGCGGGATGGGCGGGGGCGGGGGGTTCGGCGGCGACGACGGCGGACGGAGCGGCGGGGGGTACGGCGGCGGGTCGGGTGGGATGGGCGGCGGCGGCGGTGGATCCTTCAGGTGCGCGCGATGACCTCGAACCCGCGTCTCCGGGCGCCCTCCGCGGCCGGGATTTCCTCCGCCGTCCTGTCCTCAGCGGGAAACCCTCCATGGTATCGGCGCCACCTTTTTTGTCGGAGATCGACCGACGGCGACGACCGATCCGATCGACCAGACAGACCCCGCCCCTCGATCGCGCCGCGCGCTGAACGCATCTGACCGTCCACCCCCTCCCCCCGCGCGCATCCATCCATCCCTCCCTCCCTCCTCTCGCAGCGGCGGTTCAGGCGGCGGCGACTACTACCGCAACGCGCCCCCGCCGCGTCGCGACGACTCCATCTGGGGCTGGCTCACGGGCGAATCCGACGACGACGGCGGCGCCGCCGGATACTCCTCCAACTACGCCGGCAACCCGAACGACGACACGCTGACGTGGCTCGCAAACTCCGCGAACTACTACGCCGCGGAGATGGCGCGGAACGTCAAGTCCGTCACCGACGCGATCGCGGAGGAGCTGCTGGGACCGGCGGAGGACGAGGAAGGGGAAGAGATCGAGGAGGAGGACGCGTCGGTGCGAGGCACGGGCGAGGTGGTCGCGGGCGGCGCGGTGGGGAACAAAGGCCGAAGGAAGAAGAAGAAGGAGGAGCCGAAGCCGAAGCCGAAGCCGAAGAAGAAGACGCTCGAGGAGGAGGAGGATGACGAGGACGACGTCATCGGCGGGGTGTTGAATCTGTTGGGGTTGGAGGATGACGAGGAGGACGAGCCGTACGTGCGACGCGATTGCAAGAAGGACAAGTGATCTATCTACAGAGCCGAGGAGGAGGGCGGGATAGATAGCCCCGAGGGGAGGCCTTGGATCGCGATATCGTCGCGTCGCGTCGCGTCGCGTCGACGACTTTCTTTTGAGATGAATAACGATTCTTTTAGAGATGCTTCCGTCGCCCGCGCCTCCTCCTCGACGATGATTCGTTCATTCCCGTTCGCGACGCTCTATCAGTCGTCGCGAAATAATCTGATGTGCGTCGTCGCTCGTTGCATTGCGACGCGCGCGCGACATGGCACCCGCGACCGTCGTCAGGCGGTCGAGCCGCGCGGGCGCGGGCGCGCGCGCGCGATCGCCGTCGCCGTCGCCGACGCCGACGCCGACGCGCCGCCGCGGAGGGAACCCCCCGCCGCCTCCTCCTCCTCCTCCCGCGCGTCGACCAAAGTCGAAGCGCGCGTCGTCGTCGTCGTCGTCGTCGTCGTCGTCCGCCTCCTCGCGGACGTTCTTCCTCCGCGTCTTCGCGGTCCTCGCGCTCGCGCGCGTCGCGAGCGCGCTCTTCAACCTCGTGCACGACTGCGACGAGACGTTCAACTTTTGGGAGCCGCTGCACTACCTCCTCTACGGCGCCGGGCTGCAGACGTGGGAGCACTCGCCGCGATACGCGCTGCGATCGGCCCTCTACCTGGGCGCGCATCGCGTCGTCGCGACGCCGTTCGCCGCCATTCTCGGGGATGTCGATCACCGCCGCGTCTTCGTCTTCTACGCCACGCGCGTCGTCCTCGGCCTCGCGTCCGCGCTCGTCGACGCGCACCTGTGCGCGGCGACGCGTCGCGCCGCGGTCGCGGGAGGCGAAACGGACGCGCGGATCGCGCGCGTTCTCGCCGCGCTCCTCGCCTTCTCCGCCGGGCCGTTCGTCGCGTCGACCGCGTTTCTGCCGTCGTCGTTCGCGGGCGCGTGCGTCGCGTTCGCGGCCGCGTCCGCGCTCGACGGCGCGCACGGACGCGCGTGCGTCGCGTGCTCGCTCGCGGTGACGCTCGGCTGGCCGTTCGCGGGCGTCGCGGCGCTGTCGTTCGGCCTCGTCGCGTGGCGCGAGATTGGATTCGCCAAGACGTTCGTCGCCGCCGTCGCGCCGGCGGCGATGGTCGCGACGGCGTCTCGCGCGGCGGACTCCACCTTTTACGGCAAACCGACGTGGAGCGTCATGAACATCGTGCGGTACAACGTCTTCACCGGCGGCGGTAACGGCGCGGAGCTGTACGGCACGGAGCCGTGGTGGTACTACGCGCGAACGCTCGTCAACGCGTTCTCTGTTGCGGCGCCGCTGTCGCTCGTCACGCCCGCGTGCGCGCTCGCCGCGGCGATCGTCGGAGGACGCGGCGCGTCGGCGACGGCGACGGCGACGACGCGAGCGAGGGTCAAGATCTTGACGAGGGCGTACGCGCCGTTCCCCATCGCGCTCGCGTTCTTCTCCGCGCTGCCGCACAAGGAGGAGCGGTTCATGTACGTGGCGCACGCGCCGCTGCTGGTCGGCGCGGCGACGGCGGCGTGCTGCGTCGGGGACGTCGCCGGATACGCCGCGAGGCGAGCGTTCGCGTTCGCGTTCGCGTTGGCGCGCGGCGGGCGCGGGCGCGGGCGCGGGCGCGGGCTTTTGCGATTCGAAGCGCTCGCGCGCGATGGCGCGACGCTCGCGATCGTGATTTTCGTCGCCGCGGCGGGGGTCGCGCGGGTCGTCGCGCTGAGGGTCGCGTACGGCGCGCCGATGCGCGCCTACGCGGAGCTTCCGCGAGTCGCGACGAACGGAACGTCGCGCGCCGCGGGAGAAAAAGTCGGCGTCTGCGTCGCAGGCGAGTGGCATCGGTTCCCGTCGTCGTTCCACCTCCCGTCGCGCGCGCACGAGCTCAGGTTCCTCCCGAGCGGGTTCGACGGCGCGCTCCCGGTGCCGTTCGCGCGAGCGCACGGCGGCCCCGCGCACGAGCCGCCGGGGCTCAACGACAGGAACGAGTACGACGCGGCGTCGAGAGTCCAAGGCGGGGTTAACGGCGGCGCGTGCGACTTTCTCGTGGACGTCTCCACGGACCCGATCGCGCGACGACGCGAGCGCGAGGAGGGTGCCGAGGAGGGTGCCGAGGAGGGCGCCGAGGATCCGTGGGAGCTGTGGAGGGAATACGCGTTCCTGGACGCCGCGAAGTCGCCGGCGGCGACGCGCGCGTTTTACGTCCCTTACTTTTCCGCGCGCTACAACGTCTTCGGGACCTATCGCGTGTGGCGCCGCAGGTAGTACGAAAGCACGTGCTCGAGGACGTCATATTTGGCCGGAAGGGCTGCGTAGTACAAGTACTTTAGTACAGTACCTTCGTACGAAAGTACGAAAGTACTTCTGTACCAAGGTACGCGCACAGTAGTCCTAGCGCGCACGGTTGTCGCATTAGATGCTATGCCAGACTCTAGCTAGTAGTCAAGGTACGGCGCGCGGTCGCGCGCGTCGTCGCGTCACAAGATACCGTTCCACTCGAACTCGAAATCCTCCAGGAACCGCGTCATCGTGTCGTGCCGCACCATCGCCCTTCGGTACCCGCTCGCCGTCTTCATCATCCCCGCGAGCTTCAAGAGCTTCTCGTGGAAGTGATTGATCGTCGTGTTGACGCGCGCGCCAGCTCCCGCCCCGGCTTTAAACCCTTTCGAAGAGCCCCCCTGGCCGCCGTGCGCGGCGTCCGCGACGTACCTCTCGCGCGTCAGGTCGTCGCCCTCGCGCGGCGAAATCCCCGGGTCGTGCATCGGCGACCCGCGCGCGCCGCCGTAGGAAAACGTCCGAGCGATGCCGATCGCGCCCATCGCGTCTAACCGGTCCGCGTCTTGCACGCAGCCGCACAACACGCGCAGGCTCGCGCTTCTGGCGTACGCGCCGTGCTTCTCCTCCCACTCGGCGTCCGCGAGCTCTTTCTTGCGCTTCTCCGAGAGCGGCGCCGCGCCGTCGCCGGCGCCGGCTGATTCGCTCTTGAGTTCGTTTTTGAAGCCGACGCGAGCGACGATCAGCACGATCGCGTCGACGTACCAGTTCACGTCCTCCCACAGCGAGTATCGCATCGAGTTCGCTTGAAGCCACGATCTAACGGCCAGGGCGCCGGCGTTTTCGGACCCGCTGTACTTGTAGTCCCTCACGTCGTGAAGCAACGCGGCGACTTCGACGATCTCCAACGCGACGTCCTCGGTGACCCCTTCCTCTCTCGCGAGCGTCAACGCCAACACCCTGACCCTGTGGACGTGCCACCAGTCGTGCGACGGGTCGTTCCTGGACATCTCTCTCTTCACCCACGCTTCCACTTTGTTTACGATGTCGTCGCGCTCGGGCGTGTTCGCCGCGCCCGGCGCGCGATGGGACGCGGCGGCGTCCGGCGGCTGCGGCGGCGGCGGCGGCGGCGGAGTTGAAGTCGACGTCGAAGTCGACGTCGACGCGACGGGAGGAGGCGCCACGGGGGCGGGAGGCGCGGCGGCCGGCACGGACCCGCGCGCCGCCATCGTCGCCTCGTACTTCGCCACGAGCTCGTCGCGCTCGAAGACGTTGGAGACGTCCACGCCCGCGTCGCGGAGCGCCTTCTTCATCTCGCCGACGGACGGCGCCGTCCGCGCCGCGGGCGGATGCGGGGAGTCGCGCGTCGCCGGCGTCGGCGTCGGCGTCGGCGCCGGCGCCGGCGCCGGAGGCGGCGCCGCCGGCGGCGGCGCCGGACGCTGCGGCGCCGCGTGCGACGTGAAGAAGAAGGGGTCCAACTCCGGCGCGGACGGTTTCGGCGCGTTCGACGGCGGCGGCGGCGTCCGCGCGCCGGGCGTCAACAGCGGCGTCCCCAGTTGCGGAGTGGGATCCGACGGTTGCGGTCGCCGCCCCTCCGCGTCGCTTCGGCTGCGACGGATGCCCTCCGCGAGCGAAACCTCCTCGATCTTCGCCGCGATCGAGTCCGCGGCGCTCGAGGACGCGGCCATGACGGCTGCCTCGACGCGAGAGACGCGCGACGACGACGCCGACGGGAATGGAAGACCCTCGGAAGACTCGACGACTGATCGGGTCAACTTCTGTTCGTGTGCGCTACTCGCGGAGTAAAGAATTTTAATGATTGTCTTCTACCGGGGCGCCGCCGTCACCGCCCTTTGTTCATCGGGTACGCGTACTCCGGCGGCGGCGGCCCGTTCACCATCTTATCCACCCCGCCCAACCCGAACGGCGTGTCCATGCCCTCCCCTCGGAGGTGCATCCGCAGAAGCGCTCGATCCACCGCGTCTACGACGTCGTCCACCTCTTGCATCGCGCCGTCGCCCACCTCGCCGCACGCGAGCGTCTTCTCGATCGGCTCCAGAATCTCGATCGCGGGGTTCCGATACCGCCCCTCCGGCGGGCGCATGTTACACAACGCCGCGAGCGTGTTGAGGTGCTTCGTCGTGAACGGCGACTCGTACATCCACGTGTTCATCGCCGGCGCGACGATCACGCGTTTGCGCTCATCCGTGAAGTCCCAACATCGAAACACGCACGCGACGAGGTTGTCGCTCAAGCCGTTCGCCATCTTCGCGAGCGTGTTCGCGCTCAACGGCGCGACGAGGAAGACGTCCGCCCACCGCCGTAACTCCACGTGGAGCACCGGGTCGCCTTTGCCGCTCCATCGACGCCACTCGTCGTCGTCGCCGTGCACGTCGGCGGGGTCGAGCGGAAGATCCGCGGCGTCGAAAAAACGCGCCGCGCTCGAGGTGTAGCACGCCTTGACCGCGAACCCTTTCGCCCTGAGCTTCGTCACCATCTCGACCGCCTTGATCGACGCGACGGACCCGGTGAACGCGACGAGGACGTTCCGCGTCGGCGCCGCCGCCGCGCCGTCGCCCTCCCCCGCCTCGATCTCTCTCTTGCTCCTCTCCTCGCTCCGCGTCGTCCATCCGTTCGACCGCATCGCCCTTCCCTCGCCCTCGCCGTCGCTCGCCATCGACCTCGACCTCGACCTCGACCTTCCGCGCGCGCGCGCTCCGCTCCCCCGCCGCTCGCCTCCCCTCCCCTCGCCTCGCCTCACCCCTTGAACTGCCCGTTCGTCGTCGCGTGCCCGTACTTCTCCACGCGCCTGCGGAGTCGGTCCTGCTGCGCCTTCGCCTTGGCGTGGTTCGCGCGGAACTTGAAGAGCTTCTGCTTCTTCAGGCAATCGTCCAGCGCCCACTTCTGCTCGTTGCACGCGCCCCACGCGCGCGCCCACGGGTTGTCTCTGTGGCACCGCTTGAGCGCGATGACGACGTCTTTACACAGCGGGTGGTTCTCGAGCGTCAGCGGAGGGTGCATCCCGCGCGACGAGAGACTGAGGGCCGCGCGCGCGGCGGTCGCGGGTCTTGAGGCTGACGACGACGCTCTGACTTTCGCCGCGGGCGTTCGTCCACGTGTCGCTGTCGTCCCGGCGGGCGCATCGCTCGCGTCGCGTCGTCCGCCGGCGACGGTCGCGCACTCCGCGCGGCACGCCGCACGACCCGCCCTCCGCGACCGCGTCCGCGCCGCCGCGTCCGCTCGCTCCCGCGCCGCCGCGTCCGCTCGCCGCTCGCCCGCGTCCGCGCCCGCGCCGCGCGCCCGCCGGCCGCGCGCGTCGCGTCGCGTTATCCCTCGGACGAGCGGCGCGTCCGCGCGCGATCGATGGCTCCGCTCGCTCTCCTCCCCGCGGGCGCCGCCGCGTGCGCGCGCGCGACGCGACGACTCTTCTCCTCCTCGCGCCGCGGCTCGTCCGCGTCCGCGAGCCTCGTCCGCGGCGGCCGCGGCCGCGCGTTCGTCGCCGCGCCGCGCGCGCGCGCGGTGAAGGAGCCGGAGACGGCGTCCGCGTCCTCAAACGCGTCTTCCGCGCCCGCGACATCATCCTCCGAGTCGACGTCCTCCCCGCCGCTCGCGTGGCGCGCGGCGATCGACTTCAAGAAGATCCGCGACAACGCGGAGGCGACGCAGACGAACGCGAACAACCGCGCCGCGAGCGTCGACGTCTCCGCGGTCGTCGCCGCGTACGAGGCGTACCAGACCCTCAAGGGCACGGTGGACGAGCTCCGCGAGCGAAGAAACGTAAACGCGAAGAGCATGAAGGGCAAGATGGACAAGGAGAAGCGCGACGCGCTCATCGAGGAAGGCAAGGCGCTGAAGGACGAGCTCGCGGGGTTGGAGCAGGAGCTCGGCGCGCTCGAGACGACGATGCAGATCGAGGGGCAGAAGATCCCGAACGACACGCACCCGGACGTGCCGATCGGCGGGGAAGAGGTTGCGGCGCTCCGGAGAGAGGTGGGCGCGAAGCGCGACTTCAGGTGCGTTCTATACACTGGTCCCCATACGACCCCGTTCGCGTGGTGAACGTCATTCCTTAAGGACTTTGCCCGGCGCGTCTCTCCGCCCATCCCTCGCGTTCAATCCCCGCCCTCGACGCCTTTGAACTCCACCTGACGCCTTTGAACTCCACCCCGACATTCGCTCGTATGGAACGACCCTCAGCTTCGCCGTCGCGAACCACGTTGACGTCGGCGAACGGCTCGGGATGTTCGACTTCGAGACCGGCGGGAAGGTGTGCGGGTCGCGGTTCGTGTACCTCACCGGCGCGGGCGCGATGCTCGAGCTCGCGCTGATCAACTGGGCGATGCAGAAGGTCGTCGCGAAGGGGTTCAAGCCGATGGTCGTCCCGGATTTGGTGCGACAGTCCACGATGGAAAAGTGCGGGTTCCAACCCAGGGCGGAGAACACGCAGGTGTACTCGATACAGGACAGCGAGCTGTGCCTCGCGGGCACCGCGGAGATCCTGCTCGGCGGCGTGTACATGGACGAGGCGCTCGAGGAGAAGCAGCTCCCGATCAAGATGGCGGCGTTCTCGCACTGTTTCCGAACCGAGGTGCGTTCTATCTCACACTGGTCCCCATACGACATCGTCGGCGTGGTGAACGCCGATCCTTGAGGACTTTACTTCCCGGCGCATCTCTCCGCCCACCCCTCGGTTTCAATCCCGACACACCTCGACGCCTTTCAACTCCGCTTCTGACGCCTTTCAACTCCACCCCGACGTTCGCTCGTATGGAACGACCCCGAGGCTGGCGCCGCCGGCGCGGCGACGCGAGGGATGTACCGCCTGCACCAGTTCTCCAAGGTGGAGATGTTCGTCGTCTCCACCCCGGAGCAGAGCGACGCGATCCACGACGAGCTCATCGCGATCGAGGAGGAGATGTACGACGAGCTCGGGTTCCACTTCAAGGTGTTGGACATGTCCAGCGAGGACCTCGGAGCGCCGGCGTACCGCAAGTTTGACATCGAGGCGTGGATGCCCGCGCTCGAGCGCTACGGAGAGATCTCCAGCGCGAGCAACTGCACGGACTACCAAGCGCGGCGGCTGAACATCAAGTACCGCCCGAATCCGGTGGACGGGAAGAAGCAGCCGTTGACGCACTGTCACACGTTGAACGCGACGGCGTGCGCGGTGCCGAGGATGATCATCACCATCTTGGAGAACTTTCAGGCGCGTTCCATGTCGCACTGGTCCCCGTACGACCGCGTCGGCGCGGTGCACGCCGTTGCTCGAGGACTTTTCTTCCCGGCGTATGCTTCTCTCCGCCCATCACCCCTCGCTTTCAATCCCGACACACCTCGACGCCTTTCAGCTCCGCTTCTGACGCCTATGAATTCCACCCCGACGTCGCTTTGAACGATGGACCCTCGACCCTCAGGAGGAGGACGGGAGCGTGCGCGTCCCGGAGCCGCTGCAGCCGTTCATGGGGGGGCTGAAGGTGCTCACGCCGGAAGACGTCGCCGCGAAGAAGTAGCCCGGGATGGGGCGACGCGATGGATGGCGTCGCGGAGGTTATTTTATTCAGATCGCGTCATCGCGTTCATTCGTTACATCATACTCTATGTAGGGCTAGGGCTAGCCCTAGCCCTATGTGTTCTTCCGTACTGTTGCTCATTTTATTCAGAATTCAGATCGCGTCATCGCGTCATCGCGTCCACGTACACGTCGTGTTCGTACTCGTTTCGCTGTCGTCAGTTTTTCTTCATCTCATTTATTCGCTGTCGCTGTCGCAGAGATCGATGCACGTCTGTCCCGCTCCCGCAGTAGTCGCGTTGTCGGACAAACGGAATACCGTAGGGCGGTGGGGAGTACCGGTTCGATGTTCCCAGATGAGGGAAGATTTCGATTTCTCCTTGTACTTTCTGACGCACTTCGAATCTCGGAAATTCTTGAATGCCGTGAGGTTCACGAACCCGCGTTCCTCCATGCGGTCGTAAACCTCCTTGAGTGTCATCCACCTCCCCCGATTCTCCGTCAGGATCGCTTCGAGCTCGTCATTCAACGTCGTCACAGCCCCCCAACGTTTCTCCGCACTTTTCTTCCCGTGCGCGACGTTTTGCGCCCGCTGGCGCTCCAGGCGCTCCAGCTTGGCACGGTCGGGCTCCGTCAGCGTGTCCGCCTCAGAGAGCCGCTTGTCCTCCGCGGCCTTAGCCTTCCCGCCTTTCTTCCCGCCGCGGCTGCGCGCGTCCCGCTGGCGCTCCAGCTTGGCACGGTCGGGCTCCGTCAGCGTGTCCGCCTCAGAGAGCCGCTTGTACTCCGCGGCATTAGCCTTCCCGCCTTTCTTCCCGCGCGCGACGTTTTGCGCCCGCTGGCGCTCCAGCTTGGCACGGTCGGGCTCCGTCAGCGTGTCCGCCTCAGAGAGCCGCTTGTACTCCGCGGCCTTAGCCTTCCCGCCGCGGCTGCGCGCGTCCCGCTGGCGCTCCAGCTTGGCACGGTCGGGCTCCGTCAGCGTGTCCGCCTCAGAGAGCGGCTTGTACTCCGCGCCGGTAGTCGCACCTCCCCGTGCCGCGCACGCGCGCAGGTACGTGAGCTCCTCCGCGTCTTCGTCGCTGATCGTGCCGTTCTCCGCCTCCTCCTGCAGCCGCCGCCACTTCTCGCGGGTCATCTGACCACCGAGGTGGCCGCACGCGAGCAGGTACGTGAGCTCCTCCGCGTCTTCGTCGCTGATCGTGCCGTTCTCCGCCTCCTCCTGCAGCCGCCGCCACTTCTCGCGGGTCATCTGACCACCGAGGTGGCCGCACGCGCGCAGGTACGTGAGCTCCTCCGCGTCTTCGTCGCTGATCGTGCCGTTCTCCGCCTCCTCCTGCAGCCGCCGCCACTTCTCCTTCGTGGTTCGCCCTCCCCGTGCCGCGCACTCGCGCAGGTACGCGAGGTAGTCCCTGTCTTTCATCCCGATAGTCCCCGCCTCCTCATCCGCCAAGAGCTGCCGCCACTTCTCGCGGGTCATCTGACCACCGAGGTGGCCGCACGCGAGCAGGTACGTGAGCTCCTCCGCGTCTTCGTCGCTGATCGTGCCGTTCTCCGCCTCCTCCTGCAGCCGCCGCCACTTCTCCTTCGTGGTTCGCCCTCCCCGAACGCACGGCACCGTCCACTCCGCGCCGTCGCCGTCGACCGTGACGCGTCGTCCCGCCGCCGCCGGGTCCACATTGTGCAGACAGAAAAGGCTGTCGCACATGTCGATGGGCGGCCTTCGAGCGATGGCCCGCTCGAAGTTGGCGCACGCGAGGAGAGAGGCGTAGATGCGCACGGCGTCCCAGAACCTCGAGTTCGGCCCACACAGGGTCGAGCCCGGATGCAGGTCAAAGTACACGAAGAACGGGAGCAGCCCTTTCCTCACCGCGAGGTGACCACCCCACGGGGTGGCAGAACTCTCCGGGACCGCCTGCGCCAGAACCGGGTCGAAGCCGAGCGCGACGTAGAAGTGGGGTGGAAAAGCCACCAGGTCCACGTCGTTGAGCTCGAAGTAGCGGACGGCGCCGCGGACGTTGTCCGCGCCGCGAACGCGAAGCACGTCGACGTGTTCGTTTTCGCGGATCGCGACGCCGTACGTCGCGGGCGCGAACGCGTTGATGAGGAAGTTGTACCGCTTGGGTACAGCCAGCGACCCGTCGGGCTTGAGGAGCTCAGGCTCATCAGCTCGGGTGGTGTGCCCGGGCACGGCGTTGATGGTCCGTGGCGGCGGCGGACGCGCGTCCTCCGCCGTCTCGGCGGTGACGCCGTGCACCGTCCTGCGAAAGAGGAAAAGCGCCGTCAGCGTCGAGTACGCGAGAGGGGGGAGAGGAAGGTCATCGCGCTCGCCGGAGAAGGGAAGGGAAATGAAGTTCACGTACGCTGAGAACATCATGGAGACTTGCTGCGTAAAGCATGGCTCGTCGTGCTTACGAGCCATGTGCCTCCACGAGGTGGGCGCCAACCGCTCCATCGCGTCCGCCGAATTAACCATCAACGCGTCGGACTGCCTCTGCCAGGACGAGACGTCCACCTCGCGCGCGCCGTTCTCCTGGCGCAAGGAAGCGCCCGGGTCGGAGTTGACACATTGGAGGTGTCCATTCCGCAGCATTTGCCCCTTTCCTGCTCAGCTCGTCCGCGGCATCGTTCATCGGCGGCGTTGGCTTTCCCTCCCTGATCATGGAGAGCCGCTCGCGCACAGCTTGATCCAACCCCTCATAAGCCTTCCCTTCCTCCTTGACGAGGGCGCACAGGGCGCGCGCGAGCGCGTCGACATGGGGGTCCTCTCGAGGCTCGAAGCAGAGGGGCGAGTCCGGCGAGGAGGGGCGCGGGGGTCGTTCGGGTCCCCCATCGACGCGGACCTTGTGGAGGCGGCGGGGCAGATCTGCCCTCGCGCTCTCGTCGGGCGTGGCGACGGACGCGCGCGTCTGCTTGGCGTCGCCGCGCTCGCGCGTGTGCGTCGCGTCGCCCGTGTCCTTCCGCGATACCTTCGGCATCTGGCGCGTCGCGTCCGAGGTGCGCGCGCCAGACAATGCAACAGTGCCACGATTTGCGCGATTGGGGTGCACACATTGGGGTGCACACATTTTTTTTTTTAATCAAGTGGCGGCGACGGCGGCGGCGTCGTCATTCCGGGAATCAACGACGGCACCCTTCACGGCGGCGACACCGTGTTCTACCTCGGCGCGCACGACGACGCGAAGGAGACGCACAGGGTGAAACCCGTCTGCGGTACGTCGTTGATGTTCAGGCACGGCGCCGCGTGCGCGCCGCACGCGTCCGAGGCGGTGGCGACGACGGACGGACGGACGGACGGACGGACGCGCTGGACGGGCGGAGAGGAGAGGTCGTCTCGTTATTGTAATTCATCGAGGAGACGGGGTAATACCTTACGAGCGCGCGCGTACCAATCACGCTTTGTGTTAAGTATTATTACGCGCGAGCACGCGGCCGTCTTTCGCCGTTGGTTCTGTTCTGTTCTGTCGCCGCTCACTTGCTCTTCTTCCAGTTGTCGATCCAAGCCTGCGCGTCCGCCGCGCGACCCTCCGGCGTGCTCAAATCCGCGTCGGATCCCTTCCACGCGTCGATCCACTGCTGCGCGTCCTTCGCGTTGCCCGCGGCGTCGCTCTTGCTCGCGGATTTCGCGCCGCCGCTGGACGACGACCCGCCGGACGCCTCCTTCGGCCCGCGCGACGCGGCGGCGGCGGCGAGCGCGCCGATGGCGACCACCGCGGCGAGCGCGCCTGAGGGCCGTTCAATACGAGCGAACGTCGGGGTGGAGTTGAAAGGCGTCAGAAGCGGAGTTGAAAGGCGTCGAGGTGTGTCGGGATTGAAACCGAGGGGTGGGTCGTGTGGGGACCAGTGTATGGGACGCGCCCGAGGACGACGCGTCGGCGTCCGACTTCTTGTTGCTCTTCTTCGCGGCCGCGGCCGCCGGCGCCTTCTTCGCGGCGGGCGCCGGCGCCGCGGACTTGGACGCGGCCTTGACCGCGGGCGCCGAGCCTTTGCCCGCGGCCATGCGCGCTTTCAGGGCCGCGGTTTCCGTGCCGTCGAAGCGGTTTTCTTTTTTGCGCTCTGGCTCGACCTTGCCGTAGAGATCTGCCGCGGAGAGCGGCGCGGCGGAGGACGCCGCGAGCGCGGCGTCGGCGGCGGAGATGGCGAGCGCGATGGAGGCCGCGGTCGCGGCGGCGAGTTTCGCGGTCTTGTTCTCGCCGGAGGCGGTGACCTGGACGGAACCGGGACGACGACGGCGACTGGTGAGATTCCGTTTCCACGTTTCGGGGGAGGAAAAAACACGGGAGAGGAATGGATGTCACCCGAGTCGGGTCTATCCGATCACGGCGGAGGCGTCCCCGGGGTATCGAGCGCGCGCGTCGCGATCGACGCACCTTGCAGACGGCGGCGGCGCGGCGCTGCGACGCGAGGGAGGAAGGGAAGGGAGAGAGGCGATACGTCAGCGCGGAGCGCGCGCGACGGGGGCTGGAGACGAGCGCGCGCGTCGGTGCCAATAAAACCGCGCCAGCTCGGACGATCGGTTCGCGGTCGACGCCGCGGCGCGGCGACCCGCCGCGGCGCCGCGGCGCGTCGCGCGAGACGCCGCGCGTCGGCGGCGTCCGCCGAGGCGATGCGAGGCACTCGCGGGGCGACGCGCGCGACGCTCGAGTCGCGGCGCGACCGAAACCCGAGCGCGAGGCGTCGTCCGCGCGAGTGTTACCGAGAAGCGGGGGCGGGCGGGGGGGGTTCGATTCGATCCTATCGCGCGAATCGATCGATGTGACCCCGATCGATCGATCGGCGCGACGACGCACCGCGGCGACGGGCTTGGCGGGCGCGACGCGCGCGCCGGCGAAGGAGCTGGTGGAGATCATGGCGGCCATTTCGATGGTGCGACGTGCGCTGCGGTTGCGTGCGGGTATGCGTCCGGCGCGGCAGCGGTCGCGGGTAAAACCTCGCCAGATATGATGACTCGTCCTTCGTCGCGAGAAGTTATGCGGGCTCTTCTGCGACCAGGCGGCAGAGATCTGGCGCACGATGGGAGGTCGCGCCCCGCCTCCCGCGGCGAAGGAAGGCGGCCGCGGCGGCGGCCGCGGCCGCGGAGGCCGCGGCGGAGGCCGCGGCGGCGGCCGCTGCAGGCGCGGCAGGGGCGACGACCAGCCGCACAACGCCGCGGCCGCCGCCGCGGCGAAGCTCGCCGCGGAGGCGGAGCGAGAGCGCGTCGCCGCCGAGGCCGAGGCGCGACGGCGGCGACTCGAGGAGGAAGCGCGCGCCGTCGCCGCCGCGGAGAAGGCGGCGAGGGACGAGGCGGACGCGAGACGCGCCGCGGAGGAGCTCGTCGCCCTGCGAGCGACGCGCGCGAGCCTCCGCGCGGCGAACCTCGACCCGCGGCGCCCGGACGCGTCCGCGCTCAAGACGCGCGACGCGTCCATCAAGCGCAACACCGCGCTCACGAAGAAGCTCCTGAAGATCTCCGAGGACGCGCGAGCGTCCATCCTGGACGACCTGCGCAAGACCAACATTTCCAAGTACGTCACCGACGCGGTCGCCGCGATCGCGGAGGCGAAGATCAGGGCGGGGGACGTGCACGCCGTCGTCGCCGTCGCGTCGGAGCTGCATCAGACGTACGCGGACGTCTCCGCGGCGCTCGCGGAGGCGCTGCCGAGGTACGTGTGCCCGGGCGCGAAGGCGTTCGCGCCGAGCGCCGCCGCCGCGCTCGCCGCCGCGAAGGCTGCCGCGGCCAGAGGCGAGGACGACGGCGAGCGCGACGGGAAGGAAGCGCCGAGCCCGCTGCAGCGGCGGCTGAAGCTGCGGACGCTCGCGGAGCTCGTGCTCGTCGGCGTGGTGCCGTCGGCGGGACCGGCGTATAAGTGCGTGCGAGAGCTGAGCAAGGAGAGGTGGGAGAAGGATCCGGAGGGGTTCGCGCACGCGCTGAGCGCGTTCGGGATGTTCGCGAAGGCGTTCGGGGAGGAGTTCTTGGGGATCGCGCCCGATCGCGGGAAGAAGAAGGCGTCGACGTCCGCGGAGGATGAAAACGGAAACGGAAACGGAAACGGAAACGGAAACGGAAACGAAGCGGCCGCGTCGACGGAGGAAGACGCGCCGGACGTGGGTTGGTTCCGTCTGTCCGCGGAGCAGCAAAACGCGTTCGCGACCGTGTTCCGAACGTTCTACGTCTACGCCGGCGACGTCCTCGTCGAGCAGCACGTCGCGTTGGGCGCGCTCGAGCGAGAGAACGCCAGGGCGTTGGAGAGAACGGGCGAGATCACCGAGGCTGCCACCGCGGCGTACGCGGAGCTGAAGAAGACGTACGAGACGCTCACGAAGGGCGTGAACGCGTTGTCCGAGGCGCTGCGGGTGCCGATGCCGGCGCTGCCCGCGATGGAGGCGAAGGAGAAGGAGTCGCAAGGGAAGGTGGCGCTTCAACGCGGCGTCGACGGCGCGGACGGGTCCGGGGGGGTGAACTGGGACGACGAGGAGTCGAAGCTGTTCTACGAGGATCTCCCGGACTTGAGGGCGATCGTTCCCGCGGCGCTGTTGCCGCGAGAGGTGGCGAGCGTCGACGGCGGCGGCGGCGGCGGCGAAGGGGACGCCGCCGCGAGCGCGAGCGGAGCCGCCGCCGCCGCCGCGGATGGATTCGTGAGCGAAAAACGTAAGGCGGACGACGCCGCGGAGGACGCCGCCGCGGGCGCGCAGCACGCCGCGAAAGTCGACGCCTTACTCCTTCGACTCCCGAAGTGCGTCCTGAAGGCTGAGGCGGACGCGTTCTCGCTGGATTTCTGTTACGTCAACGCGACGCCGTCGGCGCGAAGACGGCTGGTGTACGAACTCGTGTCCGTGCCGCGGTCGGAGACGCAGCGGTTGCCGTTCTACGCGCGCATCGCCGCGACGTTGTCTCAGGTGTTCACGAAAGACGTCGGCGCGCCGATCGCGGCCGCGCTGGAGGAGGAGTTCGCGTACCTGAAGCAGAAGAGGGACCAAGGGAGCTGCGAGAACCGGTTAAAAAACGCGCGGTTCTTGGGCGAGTGCGTCAAGTTCAGGTGCGTCTCCGTCAAACGTGTTTCACCCATCGCCCGGTTTCAACGTTGATCGCACCTCCTTTCAACTGACCGATGATCATCTTTGTATGGAACGTCCCTCAGGCTCGTGTCGTCGCAGGTGGCGTTCAAGTGCCTGAAGAGCCTTCTAGAGGACTTCTCGCACCACAACGTCGAGGTGACGTGCGCGCTGCTGGAGAGCTGCGGGCGGTATTTAGTCAAGTCGCCGGACACGGCGCAGAGAGCGAGCGCGATGCTGGACATCTTCACGCGGTTAAAGTCGGCGAAGAATTTAGACGCTCGGACGACGCGACTCGCCGATAGCGCGTACAACGCGTGTCGTCCGCCGGAGGTGGTCGCGAAGCGCGGGAAAATCCGCCCGCCCGTGCATGAGTACGTCCGACACTTGGTGTTCATCGTGCTGAAACCTGGGACGGAAACCGTCGTCGTCAGGCAGTTACGGAAGTTAAACTGGAGCGAGCACGAGAGCTACGTCCTCAAGTGTCTGCTGAAGACGCACCGAGGCCGGCACGCCAACGCGTCTCTCGTCGCGACGGTGATCACGACGATCGGGAAGACGCGCCAGGCGAGCTTAGTCAAGTTCGTCGACGCCGTGCTCGAAGACGTTCGATTTGGCCTCGAGATGAACAAGCCGTGGATGCATCAGAGGCGCGTCGCGACGATTCGGTTGCTCGGCGAACTGTACAACCGCGGCGCGGTGACGTCGCCGATTATTTTCAACACGCAGTACCTGCTCGTCTCGTTCGGGCACGACGACGGTCCGTCGGGCTCGGGCGCTGGTGGCGGTTCGGGTTCGCGAGACGCGGGCGCGGGGGGAGGTGGCGACGGTTCGTATCCCGAGTGCGACCTCCCGAACGACACGATACGCGTCCGGCTCGCGTGCACGCTGCTCGAGACGTGCGGGCGCCACTTCGACCGGAACCCGCTGTCGAAAACCTTGGACCGATTCTTGCCGTTTTTCCAACGGTACGTCCTCTCGAAAGAGCCCAACCTCGAGGTGTCGTACGACGTCGTGGACCTTCTCAAGACGCTCCGTCCGAGGTTAGTTCCGTGCGAGACGTACGAGGCCGCGGCCGCGGAGTGCGCGCGGGTGGAACACGAGGAAGCCGCGAAGGCGCGGGCGAAGGGAAAATTCGCAGGCGGCGGAGGAGGGAAAGGCGGGAAAACTTTGCCGCCGGCTCCGAACGGCTTGGGCGAGATCGCGGAGGAGGACGAGGAGGACGAGGACGACGACGACGACGAAGAAGGCGAAGGCGAAGGCGAAGAGGAAGAGGAGGAAGACTTCGACGACGCGGAGAGCAGCGACGGCGAGAGCGAGGAAGAGAACGTCGACGAAGAGACGCGAGGCGTCGACGGCGAGGACGAGGACGACTCCGACGGCGGGTCCGAGAGCGAGTCCGAGACGGACAGCGACAGCGACAGCGACGAGGATAGCACGGACGCGGACACGGACGCGGACGCCGACGCGAACGCCGCGAATTCCGCGCCGGTCGAGCTCGCGCCGGAGGAGCGCGTGAAGCGCGTCGTGCCCAAAGTCTCGAAAGAAGTCGAGGCTGACTTCGACAGAGAGATGAGCAAATTTCTCGGCCCCGGGATCGTCGCCGCGAAGACGCCGGTCGTCGCTTCGTACGGGCAAACACCCTCGACCGTCGCGCGCGCGGCGCCGACGACGCGGGGACCGGGAATGAATGGACCAGGACCCACGGTCGCGTTTAAGATGCTGGTGAAGAAGGACGGGAAGCCCGCGTCGCGGACGCTAGACGTTCCCGCGGAGGCGGAATTCGTCGCGCGCGTCAAGGAGCAAGCCGAGGCGGAGCAACGCGAGCGCGCGGAGCTTAAGCGTTTAGTGCTCATGTCCGCGGAGGCGGACGACGGCGGGGCGGCGCCGATGATACCGAAGATCCAGAACGCGAGAGCGCCGGTGCTGCCCCCGGGGGGCGGACACGGCGGCGGCGGCGGCGGTGGACGCGGACGCGGCCCGCGTCGCCCCGACGCCGGCAGCGGTCTCTCCGCGGGGCTTCATCAGCTCGGCCAGGGCGGCGGTCAGCGGTAGATCGTCGTCGAGGACGACGCGAGGACGCGCGAGCGGCGCGGCTGCGGTGCTACGATACAATACGATACAATACAACGATCGGTAGAGAGAGCTCGAGGCGTCGCGTTCCGCGGCGGCGCGGCGGCTCCCTTCACGCCGCCGGCTCCCGGCTCCCTTCACGCCCCCGGCTCCCTTCACGCCGCCCCCGGCGCGTCGTTCACGTCCGACACCACCCCCAATCGCACGTTCTCCACGCGATCGCGCTTCTGAAACTGCGGCGAGTCTTTGTTCGGCGCGGTGAACACGAGCGCGCCGACGGCGCCGAGCGCCATGACGGCGAGCGCGGCTTGCACCGCGATCGCCGCCCACGTGATCTCTCCCTCGACGTACCGACTTCCCATCCCCGTGATGTTGATCTCGCTCTTCTTCTTCTTCGGCGTCGGCGCGGCGTGCTCGACGTCGTGCGCCTCGTCGTTCTCGTCCGCGCTCGAGAGCGTCGCGGTCGACCGTCGTCCGCGGGCGACCGCCGGCGGAGGGAGCCGTCTTCTGATGACGGAGAGTTGCTTCGACACGCTTTTCGCGCGACCGCGCGATGGCGCGCGTTTCGACGACGACGCTTCGACGCGAGCGGACGCGACGGCGCGGACGCGGCGCGGCGCGTCACCGCGCGCGACGGCGCCGAGCCGCGCGGGGACGAGCGCGACGTGCGGCATGCGCGCGCGCGTGGGAGTGCGCGCCCTCCGCTTATAGTTCTCGTGAGATGATCTGGAGTTGATCCAGCACGAATGCTGTGTAGAAAGAAATCCAGGCTGGCGCATCGTTGCCACTTCCCATGGCGCACGCGCGCGTCGCACGCCCGGGCGTCGCGCTCGTGACGTCCTCGCGCGCGCGGGGACGCCTGAGCCGCGCGCGCGCGACGACGCCGCGCGTTTTCGCGCCGCGATCGCAGCGGCGACGCGCCGCGCGCGTCGGCGCGTCGGCGGACGACCGCGACGGCGACGCCGTCGGACCGATCGAAGACGCGGACGACGTGCTGCGCGCGCTGGACAGCGTCCTGGGCGTGTCCGCGGCGGAGGTCGCCGCGGACGCGGCGAGAGAGCGCGAGGAAGAGGAAGCCGCGGCGGAGGACAAGAGACGGCGGCTGGAGGCGGCCGCGGCGGCGGACGCGAAGAAGAAGCGCGCGGAAGACGTCGCCGATGAAGCGTCGGCCGACGACGACGACGACGACGACGACGACGACGACGCGGACGCGGACCCGCCGCCGTGGCTGTGGTGGTCCGACCGCGCGCTGTACGACGTCCCGACTGTCTTCCCGACCGCGGCGCTGACGTTCCTCGCGCTGCATCTCGTCGTCTTCGTCGGCGACTACGCGCTCTACGCCGCGGGCGTCGGCAACGGCGGCGATCTCTTTCTCCGCGTCGCGGAAGTCGACGACGCGGTGATCACCTACTCGCAGTGGTGGCGCCCGTTCACGTCGTGCCTCGCGGACTACGGCCTCGTGCACTTCGCGGTCGCGAACCTCGGATTAATCGTCATCGGTCTGGAGGCGAACGCGGTGTTGGGGACGTGGCCGTTCGTCGCGATATACGTCCTGAGCGGCGCGGTCGGGTCGCTCGTCACGACGGCGACGGACGCCGACACCAATCTCACCGTCGGCGGCGGCGACGCGCTCCTCGGCGTCGTCGGCGCGATGTGCGTGTACATCCTGATAAACGTCGAGCCGGACTGGAACCGCGCGGGGTGTTACACGCGGTGCATCACGATGGGCGTGGTCGCGACCGCGCTGCTGTGGCTGGGAGGGATGCCGACGATCGGCTCGGAGCACGTGGTCAGGCGCGTCTTTTCGCGCTACACCGGTTCCCGTACGATCGCGTTCGCGTTGTGAACTTCATTCCTTAAGGACTTTCTCTCCCGGCGTGGCGCGTCTCTCCGCCCACCACCCCTCGTTTGTTTTCAACGCTCGACGCGCCGCGTCGCCTTTCAACTCCTCCATCTGACGCCTTTCAACTCCACCCCGACGTCGCTTCGTATGGAACGACCCTCGACCCTCAGCAACGCCGGGCACGTCGCCGGGTTCGTCGCCGGCGGCGCGTTGGCGTACAACGGCATGGCGCCGCTGTTCACGTCCGCGAGGGAGGGCGACGAGGGGTACGAGCGGAGCGCGGGCGTCGCGCGGCGGATGGGGATGGCGACGGAGGAGGGCGAAGGGCGCGGGGCGCGGAGGAGGAGGAGGAGGAGGAGGAGGAGGGAGGAAAAGATCGCGCTGATCGATCGCGAAGCCGGGAAAAAAGTCGTCGTCGGGGTGGGCGCGGCGTCGAGCGTGCTCGCGCTCGAGAGCGTCTTCGTCGCGCTGAGACGCGCGCTCGAGGACGGGAACGTGTAGAGGAGCGCGCGTCGCGTGCGTCGCCGCGGCGGGTGGAAGTTTTCGAATGAGGCCCATCGCGGGATGATAGACGACCGCGGCTGGACGGAGAGACCAGCGCGGCTCAGACGAACTCCGACGAAGCTTTCACGCGAGAGTTCGTCTCGTTCAGTTCTAAAAACTTCTCCAGAACTTCTCGGAGGCTTCGATCCCGTCCACACACCGGACCGCGCCGCCGCTGACCATGACGCGCGCCGCCGCGACCGTCGCCTCCTCCCGCGCCGCGCCGTTCCCCTCCTCCTCCTCTTCGACGAGGACGACGACGCGACGCGCGACCCCGCCTCGGCGGGCTCGCGCCGCCGCGCGTCAACATCGCGCGGTGGTCTCCGCCTCGTCCGCGTCGTCGTCGTCCGTCGAAGCGACGCGCGCGCTGCGCGACGCGCTCGCGAATCTGTCGCGCGTCGCCCCGCCGGCGTCCGGCGCCGCGGTCCTCGAGGCGGCGAAGGCGCTCGAGAGCCCGCCCGAGGAGGACACGCTCGGCGGCATCGACGGCCTCTGGGTCACGGAGTGGACGTCCATGGACCCGCCCTACCACGAGCTCCAGATGGACGACGACGACGACGACGACGACGACGACGGCGACGGCGACGTCTACGTCCCTCGCGCGTTCCCGTTGCCCCTGGCGGCGCTCAGCTTCGGCGCGTTCGGCGCGCTGAACGTCATCGCCACGCGCACGGTGAACATCGTTCGCGGCGCTGAGTACGTCCTCGCGATCGTCTTCGTCGACGCGGGCGACGGCGCCGGCGACGACGACGACGAGTTCGCGGAGGGCGTCCTGTTCCTGCGGGGGTCGTGCGCGCCGGCGTCGGACTCGGACTCGGACTTGGACTCGGACTCGGGGGCGGAGGCGAGTCGCCTGTTGCGCGTCGCGTTCGAGGAGGCGAAGGTGTGCGCGACGGGGTTCTGCCGCGAGACGCTGACGGGGGCTGGGATGCTGGAGGGCGGGGAAGGCGACGGCGACGGCGGCGACGAATGCTACGACGACGCGACGAAATTTTTTACAAAGTCGGCGCGACTCGCCGCGCCCGCGACGCACATCGACGTCGCGTACGTCGACGGAACGACGCGCGTGCACGCGGGGGCGAGCGGGATGACCTACGTCTTATCTCGGGAAGAGGCGTCGATCGAGGCGGTGAAGGACGAGAAGTGGAGCTTCGAACGATACTCAGACGGGAAGTGGGAGGAGGAGTTGCGTAAATTTTTTTTCGACTGCGATGATGCGAGCTGATCGATAGAGCACTGCTTTGAAAGCGATTTGAAAGGCGAGAGGCCCATAGATTGAAAGGCGATCACTGCTTGAACCGTGGCACTGCCAGGCACACGCACTGCCAGCTGTCGCACTCACGCCAACTCCGAGATACGCGCGCGTTCGGCACGACGCGCGCGCGCTCGGCCGCGCCAGAGGGCGTCGCGCCGGGAACGACGTCTCGTCTCGAGAGGGCAGCCCTACCGTGACGCGTCGCGTCTTCTGCGATGACGGCGTCGTCCGCGATGCCCGCGACCGGGGCGGCGTCCGCGTCCGCCGCGTCGTTCCGCCGGCGTCGCGATCGCACCGCGTCCTCGCCAGCCCGTCGTCCTCGCGCGTCGTCGTCCTCGCGCGCCGTCGTCGCCGCCGCGAACGCCGCGAACGCCGCGGACGCCGCGGACGCCGAGGACGCGTCATCCTCCTCCGGCGCGCACATCGTGTGGTTCCGCGCCGGCGACCTGCGCGTCCACGACCACCCAGGGCTCGCGGAAGCGGCCGCGATGACGACGCGAGCGGTGATCCCACTCTTCGTCTTCGACCCTTCTGAGATCGCGCACGGGACGCCGTCCGACGCGCGCGCGCTGCACGAGGCCGTCGTCGCGCTGCGCGCGTCCCTCCGCGCGCTCGGGTCCGACCTCGTCGTCCGCGTCGGCGACCCTTCAATGGAGATGCCCTCGGTCGCCGCCGCGCTCGGCGCGACGTCGCTCGCTGCGGCGCGCGAGCTGGAGTGGGCGCGCGTCGCCGGCTGGCGCGAGACGCTCGCCGCGCTTCGCGCGGCGGGCGTGAAATGCGACACGTGGCACGCGCCGCTCCGCGCGCGCACGCCGGCGTTCGAGGAGGCGCGCGACGCGACCGCGGCGGCGGCGAGGACGGGCGAGAGGGGCGCGCCGCTGTGCGCGTTCGCGAGCGACGGCGACTACGCGGCGGCGACGGGGGGGATCGCGGCGCCGCTGCCGCCGCCGGCGTCGTTGCCGGCGACGGAAACGAAAACGGCCGACGGCGATGCGTTATCGGTAGTGCAGAACATACTCGCGCGGAGCATACTCGACGCGGACGGTATGCCGGACCTCGAGACCGCGCGCGCGTGGGCGAAGATGCCGGACTCCGCGGAGGCTGCCGAGTACGACGCCGCGGTGGCGGCGGCGAAGAGAGCGCTGAGCGACCCGGAGTTTACGAAGCGCCGCAAGATGACGGCGTCCACGGACAACGCGTTCCTCATGTTCAGCGAGGAGAAGATGCTCGCGCTCGCCGCGGAGGAGAGCGCGGCCGCGATTCCCTCCGTGCCGTTTCGCATGCCCGGCGGCGAGCCCGAGGTTCGGGACTTTTACGACGGCTTCCTCGACTTTTACACCGCCACGTCCAACAAAGAATACCGAAGGATGTACGACGTCGTCATGGAGAACAAGCCCGCGGCGTTCTTCCGGCTGTTTCGCGAGGCCCTCGCGCTCGGGACGCTGTCGCCGCGGTACGTGCACGACACCGCGCGGAGATGGGAGGCGAAGAGCTCGAGGGCGACAGATCTGTGCGCCGGCGCGAGGCGAGTCGCGGAGCAGCGCGACTTTCAGGCGTTTCAGGCTGAGGCGCAGCTAGACGCGAACGCGGAGGGGCCGGGGATATCCTTAGTCGGCGCGTACAACGTCGTCTCTGGGTCGCTGTAGCGGAGTAGTAGCGTCGCGTACGTGTAGTGTAAGTTATCTCACGAGAGCGAATAGGCAGAGCGGACCGGAGGCGCGTCTGAAGACGCCGACTGTGCTCGCCGTCCCGCCGCCGACGTCGTCCTCAAAACGCATCATTCCAATAGTCCGACACGTGTAGAGATCTGCGTCGTCACTTCGAGGCGCGCTCCCGCGGGCGCGCCGCGTCGGCGCCGGAGCGAGCGCGATGGCGACGTTCGCGGCTCCGACGTCCGCGGAGGTGCGCGCGCGACGCGTCGTCTCGTCCCGTCGATTAAACCCCGCGCCCGCCGCGCGCTCGTCCCCGTCCGTCGTCGTCGCGCGCGCTGACGCTGACGCGTCGTCGCCCGCGTTCCCAACCATTCATCATCCCCTCGTTCGTCGTCGGTCGTCGCAGGAGGAAGAGGCGCAGCTTCAAGCGGCGCTGCGCGCGAGCGAGGCGGAAGTGGACGCGCGCGCGCACGAGCTCGAGCGCCAGCGCGCCAACTCGCGCCGCGCGCGCGAGGACGCGGTTCGCGCCGCGCAGGCTGCGGAAGAGACCGCGATCCGCGAGCGGAACGCGCGGCGGCATCACGCGACGACGACGGCACCGCGGCCTCCGCCCGCGCATCGCCATCATCACAACACACACGCGCCGCCTCCGACGAACCTCCCGCCCGGGACCGTCCTCGGCGTCCCGGTGGACGCGCGGTATCGCGCGCACCCGACGTACGCGGACGAAGAGACCGCGCTGGCGGCGGCGCTGTCGCTGAGCGAGGAGGAAGAGAGGAAGCGGCGCGCGTTGTTGGAGGCGCAGCGGCATCGCGCGGCGCGACCGGATTTCCTTCGCGGCCTCGACGACGCGCGGCGGCGGCAGCGCGAGGTGGACGAGCTCGAGGAGGCGCTCGCGCGGAGTAAGGAGGAGGCTGAGCTCGCGGAGGCGCTGGAGCGGAGCGTGCTCGAGACGGGCCCGCCGAGCGCTCAGAGCCGTCGCGGTGCGCCGCGGTATCCGCATCCGTCGATCGACCCGCTGACGGAGGAGGAGCGCGCGGACGTCGCGGCCGCGGCGTTCCGCGCGGCGGCGTTCGGGGAGGAGGAGCCGCCGGCGCGCGCGGCGCCGGCCACGGCGCCGCCGGCGCCGCCTCCCACCGCGTCGCCGCCGGAAGATGGATGGACGTCGACCGACGCGACGGCGACGGCGACGGGCGCGAGCCGCGCGGCGAGGGCGGAGGCGCGGCGATCGCGATCTCGACGGCGCTTCCACGAGGACTCGCGCGCGGTGCTCGAGAAAGCCGCGGAGGAGCGCAAAAACGCGCTCGCGAAGGAGGCCGCGGCGAGGAAGGAGGCGGCGGCGAGGCGGGAGGCGGAGCGGAGGCGCGCGGAGGAAGAGAGAGCGGAGGCGGCGCGCGAGCGTCTGCGCGCGGAGAAGCGTCGACGCGAGAGAGACGCGGAGAGGGCGCGCGCGGCGGCTGAAGCGGCGGAGGCGGAGAAGGCCAAAGCGGCCGCCGCGACGACGGTGAGGGCGGCCGCGGCGAGGGCGGAGGCGACGGAGGAGGCGATTCGCGCGCGCTGGGCCGCGAGAGTCGCGAGGGACATAGGCGAAGCGGACCTGCCGCGCGCGTTGGCGACGTTGGGGCACGCCCCCGCGGACGCGTCCGTCGCGTCGGCGCGAAGGGCGTACAAAAAAGCGGCGCTGACGTTCCACCCGGACAGGAACGGTGGGAAGTCCGCGGAGGAGCGCATCCGGGGCGAGGAGGTGTGGAAGCTCCTGTCGCAAAAGTACGAGGAGTACAACGAGGGCTCGTCGTGAGCAGCGCCGTCGCGCGAATATTTTAATAATTAGCGACGCGCCGAGCGCGCGACTAGAATAAATACGCGCGAGCGCGGTCACGCTCCGTCTCCACCCCTTCCCTCGGTCTTCCCCGCCGCCGCCGCCGCCGCTCGCGCGCTCGCCGCCTCGTCCAGCGTCTCGACCGCCTTCCGACCGATCAAATCGCACAGCTCCATCGCCCTCGCGTAGTCCTCGTCGCTCACGTCGCTCATGTCCTTCTCCGCTCCGCACGCGCCGAAGAGATTGGATATCCCCACGCACGTGCAGTTAAACTCGCCGACGACAAACTTCGTCGTGCCCTCCTGGTCGCCGTCGCACGGTATGAAATCCGCGGTCCATATCAGCGGCAGAGGCTGGTCTTTGATTCCCATGACTTCGAGTAACTCCGGGACGTCCCGCTCGATGAATTTTCGCTTCAGCTCGGCGAACTCGGGCGCGTCCGGGGGGAAAAACGTCGGGTCGTTGTTTCCGCCGACCGCGCTGAACCCGCCGCCGTTGGGTTTCTTCCGTATGATCTGAAACAACGTGTCGGTCACCATCAGCATTCGCACTTCGCCCTCGGTGATGCGCGGCAGCAGGCGCTGGTCGACGATGTGGCCGACGTCGCCGCCGCGGAGGTATCTCCCGGGAAAGTCCGACCGCCACGTCCCCGCCTCGGGCGTCGGCCCGTTGACGCAAAACTCTAAAAACTCCCCCACCGTGTGATGCTCCACGTGGTTATCGTTCATCTCCATGAGTTTTAACCGGTCGTTCAGCTCTAACGTCTTCTCCCCGAACGTTTCGCAGTACTCCTTGCCCTCGAGCCAGCACAGCCAGATGCCCTCGCCGTGGCTCCCTCGGTTTTGTTTCAGCACCCTCGGGCGAAACGCCGCGGTCTTCAGGAACCCCTCGCACAGCTCCTCCTTGTTGTCGTACGTGAACGTGTCCGACAGACCGCAGGATATGTCGCGTATCCTCACGAGCGCGTTCTTCGCGCCCATCGTTTTCTGCACCGCGGGGGAATTCCACACGAGCTTCCCTTCCGCTATGAACCGGTTCATCAGCGCGTCGAAGTCGTCCTGCGCGCCGTCCCGCACGCCCGGGCACGACAGCTGTCCCGGGTTGATCCGCACGACGAACGCGTCGTACGCGCTCAGCGTTCCCGCCATCTCGTCAATGCGCGTCGGGTCGTACTCTATCACGTCGCACGCCGCGCCCGCGTTCACGATGCCGTTGCACACGCCGACCGCGTCGTATCGACGGCCGCGCTTGTCCTTGTCCGCGTTGTGCTGACGCCCGCCGGGCGGGCGGAACCCGATGTGCGCGATGCGGTATCGAGGATTCGAGGGCGACGGCAGGAGGTCGTCGCATCGCGGCCGCGGCGGGGGCGACGACATCTCTCACGGCGTGATCGATGTCATCGTCCGAGCGGCCGCGCCTGCCGCGATGAGGTGTGCGTGGATAGAATGTCCGTCTCGCGACGGAGGTCGCGGCGACTGGAAGAGACGTCCGCTGACTGGACACTGTGTAATAAAAAGGTCTGCGATCGGCTGCAACTCTACCGATGAAAAGCTCGCGATCAAATGTTTTTAGCGGTTTGGAAATGCCCTTTTATTTTTATTTTTGAAACCGAATCTGAGGACGCTTCACCCGACCGCGGGTTGGCGTTGGGGATGCGTTCGACTGTTCGAGGAGGAAGGCCGCGGCACGGCATTGCGCGCGGCGCTGAGGCAGCGGCGACGCGACGGCGACTGATCGGGGAGACGGGTGAAAGCCCCCGGTCGTTGCGCGCGCGATGCTCACCAAATTCGAGGTGCGCGCGCCCTCGATCGCCCCCCCCGCGCGCGTCTTCCCGCGCGCGCGATGCCCCCTCCAAACGGGCGTCATGTCCATCAACATCGCGCTCGGGCGCTTCGTCGTCCTTTCAACCCCCCGTCCTCCTCGCGCGAGATCGCGCGCTCGCGTCGTCCGCGCGCTGACCTCCGCGCCCTACCTCCCCCCACGCGCATCGCGCTAAAACTTCTTAAACACACAGACGAAATCCAACCGCGTCAAGGGCCTGACGTTCCACCCGAAGCGGCCATGGATCCTCGCCTCGCTGCACAGCGGCGTGATCCAGCTGTGGGACTACCGCATGGGAACCCTCATCGATCGATTCGACGAGCACGACGGGCCCGTGCGAGGCGTGCACTTTCACAACTCGCAGCCGCTGTTCGTGTCCGGAGGTGCGCGCGCGATCAGCCCTGTCGACCGCCGCCGCGCTCGCGTCCGCTCGATCGCGAGCAGCGCGCGCGGTCGCGCCATCGCGCCCCCGCGTAGGGTTTTTTTCCGACGTCGCCCGCGCCCCAGACGCGACTGGACGAAAAAAAGAAAACCAAGATCCGACGCGACTCGCCACTGACGCTTCTCCCCGCCCTCCGTCCCTCCCTTCGACTACTAGGCGACGACTACAAGATCAAGGTGTGGAACTACAAACTCCGCCGCTGCCTCTTCACGCTGCTGGGCCACCTCGACTACATCCGCACCGTCGCGTTCCACCCCGAGTACCCGTGGATCGTCTCCGCGTCGGACGATCAGACGATCCGGATCTGGAACTGGCAGTCGCGCAACTGCATCAGCGTCCTCACCGGGCACAACCACTACGTCATGAGCGCGATGTTTCACCCGAAGGAAGATCTGGTGGTGTCGGCGTCGCTGGATCAAACCGTGCGCGTATGGGATATCGGCGGGCTCCGTAAAAAGTCCGTCGCGCCCGGGGACGATCTCATGCGTCTCCCGCAGGCGGTGAACAACGAGCTCTTCGGCGGCGGCGACGCGGTCGTGAAGTACGTCCTCGAGGGCCACGACCGCGGCGTGAACTGGGCGAGTTTCCACCCGTCGCTGCCGCTCATCGTCTCGGGCGCGGATGACCGTCAGGTGAAGCTGTGGAGGATGAACGATACCAAGGCGTGGGAGGTGGACACCCTGCGCGGGCACGTGAACAACGTGTCGTGCGTGATGTTTCACGCGAGGCAGGACATCATCGTCTCGAACTCTGAGGATAAGTCCATCAGAGTGTGGGACATGAGCAAGCGGACGGGGGTGCAGACGTTTCGAAGAGAGCACGACCGGTTTTGGATTCTCAGCGCGCACCCGGAGGTGAACCTCCTCGCGGCGGGGCACGACAGCGGGATGATCGTGTTCAAGCTCGAGCGCGAGCGCCCGGCGTACGCGACGCACCAAGGGACGCTGTTTTACGTGAAGGATCGGTACCTGCGGTCGTACGATTACCAGTCTGGGAGGGATAACCCGCTCATCTCGATTCGCCGCGCCGGCGCCGGCGCCGGCGGCAACGCCGGCCCCCGGTCGTTGTCCTACAACCCCGCGGAGAACGCGGTGCTCATCAACAGCGACGTCGACGGCGGGACGTACGAGCTGCACGTCTTACCGAAAGGCAGCGTCGGCGGCGAAGGATCGAGCGACAGCCGCAGAGGCGCGGGCGCGTCGGCGGTGTTCGTCGCGAGAAACCGATTCGCCGTCCTCGACAAGGGCAACCACCAGATCTTGGTGAAAAACCTCAAAGACGAGGTCACGAAGAAGTGCTCCCCGCCCGACAGCGCCACGGACGCCATCTTCTACGCCGGCACCGGCGCGCTCCTGTGCCGCAGCGAGGATCGAATGATTCTGTTCGACGTGCAACAGCGCGCCACGATGGCGGAGCTCGCCACGCCCTACGTCAAGTACGTGGTGTGGTCCCCGGACATGTCTCTCGTCGCGATGCTCTCGAAGCACGCGATCGTGATCGCGAACCGCAAGCTCGGGCACGCGTGCACGGTGCACGAGACGATCAGGGTCAAGTCCGGGGCGTGGGACGACGCCGGGGTGTTTATCTACACGACGTTGAACCACATCAAGTACGCGTTGCCCAACGGCGACAGCGGCATCATCCGGACGCTCGAGACGCCGGTGTACCTCACGAAGGTGTTCGGAAACACGGTGTACTGCCTCGATAGGGACGGGAAGAATCGGCAGATTCAGATCGACTCGAGCGAGTACATGTTCAAGCTCGCGCTCGGGCAGAGGAAGTACGACGTCGTGCTTCAGATGATCAAGTCAGGGTCGCTGTGCGGGCAGTCCATCATCGCGTATCTGCAACAGAAGGGGTTCCCGGAGGTGGCGCTTCACTTCGTCAAGGTGCGCGTGCGCGGCGCGCGACGCCCGTCTTTGTCTTTTATCTCCGCCGCCGGCGCGGCGTTTCTTTTCGCGCCCCCAGCGGCTGTCGCGATGATTCAACACACATACCGTCATACATCCCTCCGAAGCGAATGCTTCGAGTTCGTGGTGATTTCTTGTTCGCATTTTTTTATGAGCCGCCGCCGCTGGTCTTTTTCTCTCTCTCTCTCTTCGCGCGCGTTTCGTTCGCCCGCCCTCCGACGAGCGCGAACTCACCCGCCCACTCGCGCCCGCGCATCCCCCCTCCTCACAGGACGAGTCCACGCGCTTCGAACTCGCGCTCGAGTGCGGCAACATCGAAGTCGCGCTCTCCGCGGCGCAAGAGCTCGACGACAAGGACACCTGGCACAAGCTCGGCGTCGCGGCGCTGAGACAGGGGAACCACCAGATCGTCGAGTTCGCGTATCAGAAGACGAAGAACTTCGAGCGGCTATCGTTCTTGTACCTCATCACCGGGAACATCGAGAAGCTGCAGAAGATGTTAAAAATATCCGAGATGCGCGGCGACGTCATGGGCCAGTTCCACAACGCGTTGTACCTCGGCGACGTCCCCGAGCGCGTGAAAATTCTCGAAAACGCCGGGCACCACGCGTTGGCGTATCTCACCGCGGCGACGCACGGGATGAAAGAAGACGCGGAGCGCCTCGAGGCGGTCCTCGTCGAGGCGGGGATCGCGGTCCCGGAGGTGACCGAAGGCGAGGAGATTGCGCCGCTCACGCCCCCCAAGCCCATCATCGTCGGGGATAACTGGCCTCTGCTCACGGTGTCGAAGGGTTTCTTCGAGGGCGTCTTATCCGGCGAGGTCGACGCGTCAGCGTACGCGGAAGGCGGCTTCGACGACGAGGCCGGCGCAGGGTGGGGCGACGACCTCGACATCGACCTCGGCGGCGATGACGACAAGGAGAAGGAGGAGGACCCGCTCGCCGCCGCCGGCCTCGCCGCGGGGTCGGACGAAGAGAAGGAGGGCGGCGACGGCTCGGACTCGGACGCGGGATGGGACATGGAAGATCTGGACCTGCCCCCCGACGTCGGCGGCGGCGACGACGACGGCGGCCTCGTCGGCCCGTCCGAGGTGTTCGTCGCGCCCACCGCGGGGATCCCCCCGTCGCGCAGATGGACGGAGAAGAGCGCGGTGCCGGGTGGTGCGTTCTATCTCACACTGGTCCCCATACGACCGCGTCGGCGAGGTGGACGCCGATCCTTAAGGACTTTGCCCGTCGTATCTCTCCGCTCACCCCCCGCTTTCAATCCCCGTCCTCGACGCCTTTCAACGCCAACTGACGCCTATGAACTCCACCCCGACATTCGCTTGTATGGAACGACCCTCAGAGCACGCCGCCGCGGGCGACTTCGACGCCGCGATGAAGCTCCTGAACCGCCAGCTCGGCGTGATCAATTTCGCGCCGCTGAAGCAGCACTTCATCGACGCCGCGTTCGCGACGCACGCGTCGATGACGGCGACGTCCATGGGACCCAACCTAACGTTCCCGCTCGGGAGGGACTGGAACGCGGACGCGCCGGTGGGCAAGACGCCGCAGCCCGCGCTCGTGTCGTCGCTCGCCGTCCTCGAGGCGAAGCTCAAGGCGGCGTACAAGGCGCGTTCTCCTCACACTGGTTCCCATACGACCGCGTTCGCGTGGTGAACGCCGATCCTTAAGGACTTTTCCCGGCGTGTCTCTCCGCCCACCCCTCGGTTTCGATCCCCGCCCTCGACGCCTTTCAACTTCAACTGACGCCTTTCAACTCCACCCCGACAATCGCTCGTATGTTGGAACGACCCTAAGACGACGACGGAGGGGAAGTTTGGCGAGGCGCTCAAGCTGTTCCAGTCCATCATCCACGGCGTCGCGGTGCTGCTCGTGGACTCCAGGAGGGAGGTGGACGAGGTGAGGGAACTATTGGGGATCGCGCGCGAGTACGCCGTCGCGCTGCGGATCGAGATGAAGCGCAAGGAGCACAAGGAGGATCCAGTTCGGGCGGCGGAGCTCGCGGCGTACTTTACGCACTCGATGATGCAGCCGATTCACGCGTCGCTCGCGTTGCGGAGCGCGATGAGCCTCTTCTTCAAGCTGAAGAACTTCAACACCGCTGCGAACTTTTGCCGGCGACTGCTGGAGCTGAACCCGCCGGTGAAGGTGGCGCAGCAGGCGAAGCAGGTTCTCCAGGCGTGCGAGCGAACGCCCACGGACGAGGTGGAGCTTGACTACGACTCGCGCAATCCGTTCGTCGTGTGCTCGGCGACTTTCGCGCCAATCTACCGCGGCACGAAGGACGTCGCGTGCTCGTGCTGCGGCGCGAAGTTCATCGCGGAGGGGGATCACGTGAACAAGGTGTGTCCGGTGTGTAACCTCGGCGCCGTCGGCGTGGAGGCTGCCGGGCTCGTCGTGTCGCCGTCGCAGCGGTGAGGAGGATGGAGGTCGGAGGACGGTCGGCGTCGCGCGGTAAACGTAGTAGCTGTTCAACACATGTCATCATAATACGTTCTACGAACGACGTCGACGTTCTACGGTAGGAAGGCCTATGTTTCTGCGCTAGTGAGCACGGAAGTACTTACGTACTCACGTACTTTGCTATTCTTCTCACGCGGAAGAGACGGGCGCCGCCGAACCCAACGGCGCGCCGTCCTGCATCGCGAGCAGATCCGCCGCGCTCAGCGACGGCGTGACGTATCCCGCCGCCGTGGGCAACACCCCCCCAAGGGTCCCCTCGAGCGCTTTCCTCCTCGGATACGCCCGCAGCAGGACGAGCTGAATGATCCCGAGCGCGGCGCCGATCGCGTTTGGCGCGGCGAGGAACCAGTCCCCCAGAGCCATCCCGTAGGTGAACCACGCGGCGCCGTTGACCGTGTTCGCCGCCGCGAGCGGCGCGTGCAAGCTGGACGAGTCCCTCGTCGCGATCACTCTCTTCATCACGCTCAGCGGCGCGGCGTAGTACGCGAGCAGCACCGCGTTGCAGAACGCGCCGACGACCTGACGCTTGACGTCGACGTCGAGATTCGCGCCCGGGATGCCGACGAAGAAGAGCAGAGCCATCATCGCGACGAGCAGCGCCATCGCGATGCGCTCGAGCGCGTCTCTCGCCCTGGAGCCGTGCTCGCTGAGGCCGAACGCGACGAGCGTGAAGAAGAGGCCGATCATGCACCCTGGCGCGTTCGCGAAGAAGAGGAAGTAGTCGTCGATGTAGCAGCTGTACGCCATCCACGCGACGCAGTTGGCGAAGATGACGGGGAACGGGTACGGGTTCATCTCGCCGAGGTCGTTCGCGCGCTTCCTGCGGAGCATCTCGGGGACGGCGCTGAAGAACATGACGTTCGCGAGCGTGAACCCGAGCGAGGGGGCGACGACCTCCATGAGGACGTACGACGCGGACATCTCGGCGCGCGAAGCCGAGACGCGTCGCGGCGATGAAAAGTGATGAGATCTGCGTGGCGGCAGATCTCTCGGAAAACGCGTCAGAAGAGTTCGACGCTCGGAGCGGAAAGTGTCGTCCTCGGACGCCTCAGAAAAAGACGTCAGCGGCACGCGGCCACGTCGCCGTCGCCACTCCCCACGCGCGCCTAACCCCACCCCCGCGCGGCGCGCGTCATGCGTCTCGCCGTCTTCGATCTCGTCGTCCTCGCGCTCGCGGCGGCGGCGACGCCGTCGCGCGCCGTGCGAATCGCCTTCCTCGGTGCGCGTCCGCGGCCGCCCCCGTCGTTCGGTTCCTCTCGCGTCGTCCCTCCTTTTCTCGTCCGCGCGCGGCTGTTCTCCCGTCAACCAACGTCGTGATGTGATGACGTCGCTCCCTCGACCCCCACCCCGTGCCCATCGCGCCGCAGGCGACACGGGCATCGGGAACGACAACCCGGGCGACCACTGGACCGACTTCTACGGCAACCGACGCGCGCCCTCCTACCTCGTCGACGGCGTCGACTGCCGCGACTTCGAGGACGAACCCTGCCGTCTCTACTCGCGAGCGAGGGACGTCGTCGCCGGCCTGATCGACAACGGCGTCGACCTCGTCGTGCACGCGGGCGACCTCGACTACGAGTCCGCGCCGAAGATGTGGCGCCACTTCGTGGACGAGACGATCATCGACCAGGGCGTGGGCTATCTCGCCGCAAAGGGCAACCACGACGCGGACGGTTTCGACGACGTAGAACAGCTGTGGTCGGGTCCGTTCTATACACTGGTCCCCATGCGACCCCGTTCGCGCGGTGCACGCCGATCCTCGAGGACTTTTCTTTTTCTCCCGGCGTGTGTTTCTCTCCGCCCGTCCCTCGCTTTCGATCCCCGACGACCACGCCTTTCGACTCCCACTGACGCGCCCCTCCCTGAACTCCGCCCCGACGTCGGTTCGCGTGGAAAATTACCCTCAGGGCCGGAGGGATACGCCGCGATGTTATCCGACACCGTGCCCGCGGGCGCGAGCTGCGAGGGGAAGTACGGCGAGGCCATGGCGTGCGAGTACGGCGGCGTGACGATCGTGCTGAGCGCCGTGGGCGTGGACCAGGCGGGCGAGTCCGCGAATCGAGACCACTACGCGTTTATCGACGACGCGCTGCGAAAGAGCGCGTCGCGGTGGAAGATTTGCGCGTGGCACATGACCATGGCGAACATGCAAGTGTCGTACAAAGGCGACAGCGTCGGATGGGGCGCGTACGAGATTTGTCGAAAGCACGGCGCGTTCATCGTGACCGGGCACGCGCACACGTACTCGCGGACGCGCGAGCTCAAGAGGTTCGGCACGAAGCGGTGGAGCCACACGAGCGAGGATATCCAAACGAACGGCCCCGACGACGACGTCGTGCATCTCAGGCGCGTTCTCCTTACACTGGTCCCCATACGACCGCGTTCGCGCGGTGAACGCCGATCCTTAAGGGCTTTTCTTCCCGGCGTGTCTCTCCGTCCACCCCTCGCTTTCAATCCCGACACGCCTCGACGCCTTTCAACTCCGCCTGACGCCTTTCAACTCCATCCCGACGATGCTGCTTTGTACGGAACGACCCTCATCAGTCCCGGGGAGAACGGCACCGCGGGCGTCGCCGTCGTCGGCATCGGCGGATACAAGAACGAGGAGCAGCTCAAGTCCGCGCCGCACTGGTCGAAAGTGTACAGCAGCAAGTGCCTTCCGAACGATGACGCGTGCGAGGAAGCCCCGGAGGCGAACAAGTTCGGCGCGCTCATGTGCGACTTTGACGACTTGAGCGAAAACGCGCGCGCGGAATGCTGGACCGTCACGACGTCAGGCGCGTTCTATACACTGGTCCCCATACGACCGCGTTGGCGATGTGGACGCCGATCCTTAAGGACTTTGCCCGTCGCATCTCTCCGCCCACCCCCCGCTTTCAATCCCCGTCCTCGACGCCTTTCAACGCCAACTGACGCCTATGAACTCCAACCCGACATTCGCTTGTATGGAACGGCCCTCAGAGAAGCGCGCGACGGCGCGTACGAAGCAAAACTCGTATCGGTACCCGGTCGACAGGTTCTTCCTCGTCGCGGGACCGCGCCCTAAGGGCGAGACCGTGTACCTGAACGTCGCGGATTCCGACGCGAGCGCCGGCGCCGTCGTCGGGGCGCGTCTACGTCGGTTCGGTCGCGCGCCGTCCGAATCGCGATTCACGCGCCGGTCCAGGCGCGAAGCCGGATTGGACTGCTACGATAAGCGAGTCCCGTCGCACGACGGCGGCGCGACGCACACGTGCGCGGAACAGAAGCGGTGGGGCAAGTGCGACGAGTGGTTCATGGAGAACGGCGGGTACTGCCGTAAGACGTGCGGGAAGTGCGTCAACTTGTTCGAAGACGCGGACGCGCTGAGCGAGTACGACGACGCCTGGTACGATCAGATCGCGTTCCACGAGCTCTTCAGCGGATCCGTGAACGACGCCATGGAGGAAGCGATGGAGTTTGGCGTCGAGGACGAGGACGAGGAGGACGGCGACGCGCCCGCGCCCGCGCCCGCGACGGAGGCGATGGCGCGCGACGCGGTGGAAGAAGAGCTGGCGCGATGAGAGAGAGAGAGAGAGACGTTCGTTCCGGCGTGGACGACTGGAAGAAGAGAAAAAAGGCAGCGCCGCGGGCGAAGAAAAAGACGACGACACGAGGTGTTCATCCATCCATCCATCAGATAATGAATTGAAGAAGAAACGTTCAGAAATCTATCTCATCTCATCACACCTCCATCTTCGCGACGCCGTCCGCGATGTCCTCCGCGGTGGACGTGATGTAATACACCGCCGGCGCCCCCGGGGTGGCGGCGTCCACCTTGACGCCGCCGCTCGTCGCCGCCGCGACGCTCTCCGCCGCGGCGCCGTCCAAAGCGTCCCCGGCGGATGAAAACACCGCGAAGGCTTTCAACCCGCACGCCTTGGCGATGAACGCCGCGTTCTCGTTCAAGACGCCAGCCTCGTCGAAGATCAAGCGCACGCTGAGCGCGTCTTCGCCGACCGCCTTGGCCTCGTCCTGCTTGAACTTGATGAACGGCATCACCATCTTCATGACGTTTTTGAAATTGGCATCCTTCGACAGCTCGCTCGCCTTTACCGCGTCCAACACCTCGTTCACGGGCGGGAACGCGTTCGCGCTCGCGTCGTACTTCTCCGCGAGAATCCCGAGGCACACCTCCTGCCACCCGCCAAACTTCTCCGCGACGAACACGTGCGCGGCGTCGCACGTCTTGATCGGCGGCGGCGGCCCCGCGCCCTTCTTTTTCGGCGGCGCCGTCGCCTTGGCGACGCCCTTTCGAATCGACGACACGAGGTCGTCCAGGTACCGCGCCGCGGCCATGAGCGCCTTGTCCGGCTCGACGTACGTCGGGAACCCGGCTTTCGTGACCGTGCCGGGCTTTCCGAGGAGCGCGCCCCACACGTGTTCGCACGTGTGCGGGCAAAATGGCGCGAGGAGAAGCGTCGAGACTTCGATGAAGCGTTTCACGAGCTCCGCGTGCATGTTGCCCTCTTCGCCCAAGCCGCCGCACTGGAGCCGGTACGCGTCGCGCGCGGACTGCAGGTCGTAGTACCCGCACTTCAGCGCCTCGCGGAACATCATGTTCTCGTAGTGCTCCTCCGTGGATTTGATCGCGTGGTTCATCGCGTTCGCGAAGACGCGGTCGCCGAACGTCTGCGGGCGATTCCGCGCGAAGCGACGACGTCGGGGCGGAGTCGAAAGGCGTCAGATTATGGAGTCGAAAGGCGTCGAGGCGCGTGATCGGGATCGAAAGCGAGGGGTGATGGGCGGAGAGAAACGCCGGCGGGCGTATAGTGCGCGCCTGATCCGACGGGCCGGTCCGCAATTTCCCCGCGGCGGCGAGCGCGAGCATCTCTTCGATCCACGCGAGCTCCTTCGTGAGACGCAAAATCGCCGCGTTCGCGGTGTCGTCCACAAAGTTGGCATCCTCGATCGTGTCCCCGGCGTCCGCGAGCGCGAATCGCATCGCGTCCGACGAGTACGCCTCGATCGCCGCCTTGAGCGTCTTAAAGTTGCCCGTGGACTTGCTCATCTTCTCGTTGTTCAGGAGCAGGTGACCGTTCGTTCGGAACCCGCGCGGCCACTTACTCTCGTCCTCCGCCCACAACGCGACGTGGTTGTAGATGGAAAACGTGAGGTGATTCTGAATCAAATCCTTCCCGCTGACTCTCAGGTCGAACGGATACCAAAACTCAAACTCCGTCTTCATCTCCTTCAGCAGCTCCTTTGGAAAATCCGATCCCGCCGGGAGCGGGACGCCGAGGAACACCGCGTCCCACACCTCGTCCGTCATCGCGCTCGGCTCAACGCTCGGCCTCGCCGACCCGTACATGTCCCCGCCCTGCAACAAGTGCGCGACGGTGTAATACGCCATGTAAATCGTGCTGTCCGACAGCGACTCGATGAGAAACTGTTCGTCCCACGGCACCCTGGTCCCCAACCCGAACGCGCGACTGCACGCCCACTGCCGGAGCCACCCGAGCGTGTGCTCGAACGCCTTCCTCGCCTCGTCGTGATACGTGCGCATCCCCGCGAGACACTTCTCCGCCTTCTCTCGCCACCCTTCCTCGCCGTACTCGAGGTACCACTGTCGTCGTCGGGGTGGAGTTGAAAGGCGTCGGTTGGAGTTGAAAGGCGTCGAGGACGGGGATTGAAAGCGCGGGGTGGGCGGAGAGACGCGCCGGGCGAAGTCCTTAAGGATCGGCGTTCACAACGCGAACGGGGTCGTATGGGAACCAGTGTATGGGACGCACCTGGTCCGTCAGCGCGACGACGCACTCGTCCCCTGACCGCGACATGACCTGCTTCTCCGGCTCGCTGTACACGATCGCGTCGCCGCTCTCGAGCATGAGGTCTCTGATCTTCGGCTTGACGATCTTCACGGGCTCGCCCTCGTAGACGCCGCGGAGCATGACGCCGTCGGTGAACCCCTTGAGGTACGTCCTGTGCTTCGCCTCCTCGAGCTTCGCCTTGTCGTTCTGCGACTGAATCTTGAGCTGCTCGCACACGATCGGCGCGCACGCGTCGCCGAACTCCGGGATGCGCACGCACGGGACGACGTCGAAGGGGAGGACCCACTCGTCGAGGACGCCAAACTTTTCGCGCAGCGCCTTTTTCGCCTTCAAGTCGGAGAGCGCCATGAAATCGTCGGGCGAGTCCGACGGCACGGACGTCACCACCCCCGTGCCTTTCCCCATCAGAATCGTCAGCATGGGCAAGCAGTAGATCTTCTCGAGGATCGCGAGCGGGGATTTCACCGCGCACCCGATCAGCGCCGCGCCCTTGAACGACAGGATCTTCCCGGTGTCGCCCTCCGCCTTGGTGCGCTCCTGGTAGCTCAGGTTTCTCGCCGCGCGGTCGCACATGACCATGACGTCTCCGTTCGCCATCTCGAACGCGCCGTAATCGCCGTCCGGCAAGATCCAGCAGTTCGTCTGTCCGTACATCGTCTCCGGCCGCAACGTCGCCGCCGCGAGGAAGACGTTCTTCCCCGCGAGCGGAGCCAGCTCCCCGACGAGACACTCGTCGTAGACGCGCATCTTAATCAAAACGTACTCCTGCGGGCCGACGCCTTCGCCCGACGCGCGGTCGTGATCCGCGCACGGCTGCCCGTCGAGGGGCGAGTACACCGCCATCCGCTTCGCTTTGATCACCTTCCCGATCTTCTTCAGGGTGTTGAACTGCCATCGCACGAACGCGTCGTAGAACGGGTTGTGGTCCGTGGTGGTGAACGACCGGCGCCAGTCCACCTGAGGGTAATCGTCCATACGAGCGAACGTCGGGGTGGAGTTGAAAGGCGTCAGAAGCGGAGTTGAAAGGCGTCGAGGTGTGTCGGGATTGAAACCATCGATGTGTGAGCGGAGAGATGCGCCGGGAAAAGTCCTTAAGGAACGGCGTTCACCACGCCGACGCGGTCGTATGGGGACCGGTGTGAGATAGAACGCGCCTGGCATCCCATCGCGGCGACGTCGCGCTTGGCGAGGGGGGGGAAGTAATCGAGCCAGTGGTACGGGTCCGCGAACGGCGGGATCTCCGAGTCGCCGATCCCGGAGCTCTTCATGATGTCCCACTGGTACGTCTGCGTCCCCGCTTTCGCGGACGCTTTGGACTTTTTCGCGGCGAACTTGGTCGGGTCGGCGTTTTTCGCGTCGGCGGCTTTTTGCGCCGCCGCCGCCGCCGCCGCCGCCGCCTCCGCCGCCTCGTCGATCACGGGAAACACCGGCGGGTTCCCGTACTTGGCGATCTCGTTCTTGATCTTGTCCGCGCTCGCTTTGATCGGCATCCCGGTGCAGTGAAACGCAAACGGGAATAGCGTTTCGTCGCCCTTCAGACGATGATACGCGCTCGCGAACTCGAGCTTCGAGAGCGAAAACGCGTGCCCGAGGTGCAGCATCCCGTTCATGTACGGGTACGGGAAGTTCCCGAAGAACTTGGGCGGTTTAGAGCCTGCGGGTTCGATCGGCGCGGAAGGTTCGGGCGGCGCGGGGGTGAGTGAGCGGCGGGGAGGGAGAGAGGGAGAGCGCGCGGAGAGGAGACGCCGCGCGATCGCTCGGAACCTCGTCGATGGATCGATCGTCGATCGCGAGAGCTATCCGGCGGACGACGACGACGACGACGACGACGACGACGGGAGAGGGACGACGGCGCGCGGACGCACCGTCCTTGGGCGCGGAGACCTCGAAGGTCTTCTCGTCCGCCCATTTCTTCTGCGCTCTCGCTTGGAGCTCGAGCAGGGTGTCGCGGCGCGCGGTCGCCATCGTCGCGGCGAAGAGGACGACGCGCGGACGGACGACGCGATCGGAGGCGAGGAGGAAGTTTTCGCGCTCGCGCGAGGCGCGACGACGACGCTCGCGCGCTGGTACGCCCGCGAGGACGAGGGATGGACGTTGAGACGACGGGCGACGACGGTAACGTCGAGTCGCTCTCGAGGCGCGTGGGGTGCTCCCTGCGCGCGCGCGTCGGAATGACGGGCGGAGGGCGCGAGGAGGGACGGCACGAAGACGACGCACGCAGGCGCGCCGCGCCGCGCCGCCAGATCTAGTTCGTGGCCGACCGCTTGCGCTTTTGATGACCGAGGAGGCGCGAATTCCACTCTGCGCGCGTCCAGAGTGCCGGCGCGCGGAGAGGAGGGACAATAATGTCGCGCGCGTCCATCCGCATCCACGGCGATGCGACCGCGATGGCGCTCCTCGGCGGCCAAGCCCTGGACAACGGGAAGTCGTACAACATGGAGAAGGTCCTGCGCACGAACATCCTCGCGTCGGATTACTTCTCGCAGCTCGTCAAGATGAACGATTTCTACGAGCTCGTGGACGAGATCTACAACGAGGTGGATCACGTCGAGCCGTGGATGAGCGGCAACGCGCGCGGGCCGTCCACCGCGTTTTGCCTCCTCTACCGCCTATTCACGATGGAGATCGAGGACAACGAGGTGAAGCACCTGATCAACCACGGGGACTCGCCGTACATTCGCGCGCTCGGATTCTTGTACGTGAGGTACGTTCTACACACTGGTCCCCATACGACCCCGTTCGCGTGGTGAACGCCGATCCTTAAGGACTTTTCCCGGCACGTCTCTCCGCCCACCCCTCGCTTTCAATACCCGCCCTCGGCGCCTTTCAACTCCAACTGACGCCTATGAACTCCACCCCGCCATCGCTTTGTATGGAACGACCCTGAGGTACGCGCGCGATCCGAAAGAGTTCGGCCGCTGGTTCGACGAGTTCTTGAGGGACGAGGAGGAGTTCTCTCCGTCGCCGCACGGAAAGAGCGTCACGATGGGCGCGTTCGTCCGAGATTTGATCCTGGACCAGTACTACTTCGAGACCATCTTCCCAAGGATACCGGAGGTTTCGCGCCGAGCGCTCGTGGAGCGCATCAAAAAGTTTGGCTTCTCGGACAAAGCCGCGGGATGCGGCGGCGCGGGCGGTCAACGCCGAGGCGGCGGCCCGAGCTCAGGCGGCGCGCGCCCGATGTCCGTGAAAGCGGCGCTGTCGGTCAACATGGGACAGCGCGCGCCGCACGTGCAGGCGGCGATGGAGCGAGGCCGCGGGGTAGACCCGACGACGACAGTCGCCGCGGGCGCCGCGAGCAAGGACCGCGACAGGGACCGCGACAGAGACAGAGACAGGGACCGCGGCAGAGACAGAGACAGGGAGAGAGATCGCGACAGGGACAGGGACCGTCGTCGCGAAAGAGATCGGAGCCGCGAAAGAGATCGGAGCCGCGACCGCGACCCGGGGAGGTACGGTAAACTATACGGGAAGGACTCGGGGAAGAACGGCGGCGGCGGCGGCGGGAGGGACCGGAGCAGGGACCGGGGGAAACCGTACGATCGCCCGCGCGACCGAAGCCGCGACAGGTACCGAGGCGACCGGTCGCGCTCGCGCTCGAGGGATCGCAGATGAACGACGCGCTCGGGCTACGTAGAATCCTAACGTATGGACCGCGTATCCCAACTCATAAATCACCTTTTCGCGCGTCGTCGTCGCCGTCGTCGTCGTCGTCGTCCTTCCCGTCGTCGTAAACGTACCGCACGTCGTCGCCTCCCCCCACCTCACATCACAGCCGCGATTCGAGGTCGCGCCGCCGCGAATCCCCCCGCCCCTCCGCCTCCTCGATCTCGTCCCACGGCTCTCTTAACCACGGGTGCGCTAACGCCTGCGACGCGCTGAGGGTCGAGGGTCCACACACAAAGCGACGTCGGGGCGGAGTTGAAAGGCGTCAGGCGGAGTTAAAGGCGTCGAGGTGTGTCGGGATTGAAAGCGAGGGGTGGGCGGAGAGAAACGACGGGAAAAGTCCTCAAGGATCGGCGTTCACCACGCCAACGCGGTCGTACGGGGACCAGTGTACGGGACGCACCTGAGCCGCGCGTCCGGATTGGGCCGCAGCAACGCGAGCAAAAAATCGACGAAGCCGCCTTCCCTTTTCGTCGCGAACCCCAGACGCGCGCGCAGCGTCGTGCGCTTCGGCTCGAACACGCGCAGTTCCCCGCTCCGTTCGTCGCGCTCGTAGATCAACCCGCTCTTCGTGAAGAACTTCGCGGCGTGGCGGCCGCGTCGGAGCAGCGCGGGGTCGAACGGGCCGAGGACGCCGACGCATCGCGCCAACATGGACGCGACGCCGTCGTTCTGGAATAACACCTCTCCGGTGTACAGCTCGGCCAAGACGCACCCGAGGCTCCACACGTCGATCTTCACGCCGTACGGCGCGCCGACGATCACCTCGGGGGCGCGGTACGACCGCGACTGGACGTACGACGACAGGTGGTCGGTGACGTAGCAACTCGACCCCAGGTCGATGACTTTCACCGTCTGGTTCGTGTACGAGCGAATCAAGACGTTCTCGGGTTTGAGGTCCGCGTGGATGATGTCCAAGCCGTGGAGGAACTCCAGCGAGGTTAATATCTGCCGCGCGATCGATCGCAGCGTCTTGAGCGTGAAGTACGGCTCCGTTTCCGCCTCGACGTTGTGCTTCTGGAACTCGTACAGGTTCGAACGGAGGAGCTCCGTGACGATGAACAGATGCTCGCGATGGTAGAAGTAATCGTACATCCGCAGGATCCCTTTCGCGTCTTCCGGGTCCGCGTCGTTCACCACGGTCAACAGCTTGACCTCGTCCAACGACTGATCGAAGTAGTCCTTGTTGTTCTTGATGATCTTCACGCACACGCACTCGCCGGTGACGAGATCGCGCGCTCGCAACGCGGTGGAAAACGCCGCGGAGCCGAGATGGTCCGTGAGCTGGTACCGACCCGCGACGACCACGCCCACTCGCGCGGGGAACTCTTTCGAGGTCTCGAACCCGGTGCGGTTCAGACGGTGCACGACCCTAAGGTTGAATTCGGTGAAGTCGCCGCCATCGTCGTCGTCGTCGAAGTCGTCGTCGTCGAAGTCGTCGTCGCTCGTGAGGTCATCGTCCTCGTCTTCGTCGTCGTCTTCCGCGCGCTCCTCCCCAGCCGCCCCCGCCGTCTCCGCGCCCGCGCAGCGCGACGCTTTCTCTTCCTCTTCCTCCGGCGACGTCTCTTCGTCTTCCACGTCGGCCGCGACCGCATCCTTCGCGTCGTCCTCCTCGTTCGTCGCCGTCGTCGCCGCCGCGGAACCTTCCGCGTCCGTCCCGCGAGCCTCCCCCTCCCCCTCCCCCTCCCCGGCCGCGTCCGCATCCGCGTCCGCGTCGCGATCGGTCCGATCCCCCGTCGCGGCCCACGCCCTGAGCGCGTCCGCGGCGTCGTCCAAGCGCGTCGTCGCGCCGCCCGCGTCGCTCCCGACGCCGCCGACGGGGGGGGTCCGCGGGGTGCCGTTCCCTTTGGACGACCCCCCGAACTCGCTCCCGCCCCACCCCAGCGTGATCTCTCCGTTCCCGCCCGTCGCGCCGCCGCCGCCGGCGTCGGCGTCGCTGCCGGGCGTCGCGGTCCCGAGTGGGGAGGGCGAGCGGTCGAACGCGAACTCCCCCGCCGCGAGCATCGACGGGAGCGACGGCGACGGCGACGCGGACGCGGACGCGGACGGCGACGGCGACGGCGACGGTTCGGCGTGCCGTGCGTTAACCTCCACGACGGCCGCACCATCCGTTACCCGGACCCGGAGATTAAGGAGTTCGGCGGTCGAACCGTCGACTTCGCCGTCTGTCGCTTCTTCCTTCGCTGCTTCCTCTTCCTCTTCCGCCTCGTCGTCTCGTTCGCGCGATGAAGGCCCCGTGACGCGCGGGTCTTCGCCTACTAACGGCTGCTTCGCGTCCGTTTCATCCCCCCAGGACCAGCCGCAGCCGTCGACTTCCGTTTCAAAAAAGGCTTCCTCCTGCTCGCGCGGAACCGCGTGGACTTCGAACCCGACGTCGTCGTCGTCGTCGTACTCGTCCGAGAGCTCGCCATCCTGCCACGCCTCGATGATCCGCTCGTGCTCTCGCGCGATCGCGTCCGGGGTGGCCGGCGAGTCCGGGGAGGACGTCGCCGCCGTCGCCGCCGCCGCGTCGACGGCTGTCGCGGCGTCCGCCGCCGCGGCCAGGTCCACGGCGTCGAGGTCGTCCACGACCGCGTCGATCTTCGCCGCGAGCGTCGCGGGGAACGGCGTCTTCGGGAGCGGCGTCTTCTTCCGCGAGACCGCGGCGGCGGCGGCGGGTTCGATCGTCACTTCCTTCGTCGTCGCGGCATCTTCGTCTTTTCCGCGGTCGTCGTCTGGTGCGTCGTCCTCCTCGTCGTCGATCGCGGGCTCGACGACGACGCCGTTCGCCGCCGCGGCCGCGAGCGCCTCGCGCTCTGCTTCGATCCTCGCCTCGAGCTCGCCGACGAGGGCTTCTTCCGCCTGTGGACGTCGGCGATGAAGAGAAGGGAGGGTGAGCGCGAGAGGAGGACGAGAGAGGGGCGAGCGACTCGCCGGCGGGCGAAAACGGGTCGAGATTCGAAGTGGGCACCACCGCGAGTTCGAACGCGAGGGCGCGCGGGGCGTCGCGACGACGACGCACCACTCGGAACCCCTCCGCGCGCAGGTACCGCAGGATGTCCTGCAGCGTGGACGTGTCCTCGGGGAGGCGGTCGATCGCCATCCCCGCCGCTCGCCGACGCGATCTGAGCCTTGGGCGGTCGAGGCGAGCGAAAGTGTTAACTGAAGAAATCATCACCGCACCAGACGAAGAGTGATCAGAGACGCTTTCTCGAGCGCGACGCTACGGCCTACAGCACGCTATTCTATCGCTTCCTACTACCCTTCCCTTTCTTCCCGCCGCCGCCGCCGCCGCCCTTCCCGCCTTTCGTCACCCTCAGGTCCTCCAGCTCCGAGGTGAACTCCGCGAAACGATCGGCGACGAGCAAAGCCTCGCCGCGCCGCGCGCGCGCCGTCTCCGCGTCCTCCTCCGACGCCGCCGCCGCCGCCGCCGCCGCCGCCGCTCGAACGCCGCGACCAACCGATGTTGTAACGCCTTCGTTATCAGCGTTACCATCGTCGTCACCACCGCCATCGCCGCCGCCGCCGCCCGTTTCCGCGCGATCGAACGCGGCGGACCGCGCCGCCGCCGCCGCCGCCGCCGCCGCCGCCGCCGCCGCGCTCCGCGCCGTCGCTCGCCTCTCCCCGACGACGGTCAGACGCCGCGCGCGCACCTTCGCGTCTCGCTCCAGCGCGGCGAACGCCGCGGACGCCTCGGGCGTGGGCGCGACGAGAGACAGGCTCACGCCTCGAGCCGCGCACCCGGGCCTGCCGGCGCGTCCGGCGCGGTGCGCGTACGCGTCCGCGCTTCGCGGCGGATCCGCGTGAATCACGAGTTCGACACCCGGGAGGTCCAGCCCTCTCGCGGCGACATCCGTGGCGACGAGGACGTCGCACGCGCCGTCGCGCAGGGATTTGATCGCGGCATCGCGCGCGGTCTGAGGGAGGTCGCCGTGGAGGGAGGACACGACGCGGCGTTTGCGGCGGGTGTCGCCGACGTCTTCGTTCGCGAGGCGTCGTTCCTGCGGGGGGGGGGGGCGGAGGGAAGGGGGTCTTAAGACGCGAGGCGGTGAGTCATCCGTCGCCGCGAGAGGGTCGCCCCCGCGCGTCGGTGAAACCGAAACCGAAAGACCGAGACTGAAATTGCGACCGAGAGCGACCGAGTCTGAACGGAACCGAACCGGGTGGCGGCGGGCGCGAGAAGCTCAGGTTTTGGTTGGTTACATCGACCCCGTCTAAAAGGTCTCGAAAGTCTAACATGTGAAAAAAAAGGTGATCATCACCGCAACCGCGCGCGCCGCCAAGCCGGGGAGAAAAACGGAACGAAATCCGAACGAACGAACGAAAAGATAACCGAGCGTCGGAGTCCGTCTCCGCGTTCCATCATATGCAAACACGTGTGTGTAATCACCGTCGAACCTCAGGGAATGTAGGTAAGAAAACGATTTTACATTCACGCGGAACGGGAGGGAGCGGACGTAGAAACCGACAAACCGACGGACAGACGCCAAAAAAAAAAAACGAAACGAGGAAAGGAACCCGTCCACCCGTGAGGTCTCATAGAATTGTAGTCTATTGTCGTTTGCCCACATGCTTTGGTCAGGACGATGGTTTGTGTAATCATCGACCGCCGGGTGTCGTGTTCGCGTCCCCGAGCCGAGCCGAGCGAGCCGAGCGGCGGGCGAGAGGAAGAGAGTCCGAAACGAAACGGAAAAAAAAACACCCTCCACGGATCCGCGACGGACCGACGTATCAAACGCGCGACGCGCGCACCTCGTACGCGATGGCCAGCATCCCGCACAGCCGCTCCGCGTTCGCTTTTGTCTCCATGAACACGATCGCCTGCCCCGAGACGCCGCCGGGGCTAGGGCGCGCGATGCCGACGTCCTCGGAGCCGCCGCCCGCGGCGCCGGCGTCTTCGTCGCGTCCCAACGCGTACGCGTCCACGGCGTCCACGACGACGCCGACGACGTCGTCCTCCCGCGCCGCGATCGCCAAGTGCTCCACGGTCCCTCCCACGCACGACCCGCCGTATCCCGCGATCGTCACGAGCGCGTGGTCTCTCGGGAGTCGCCCCCGTAAGAACCGCGCGAGTTTCGGCGGCGACGTCGCGCTGAGGCACGCCGTCCGCGCGTCGCCCCCCGGCGGTCGCATCACGGCTTCGACGTCTGAGGAGGGCGATTCGATTCCGTCGCCGGTCGGTCAGTTGAAAGGGGGACGCGATCGATCAAACATCAAACGTCAAACGTCAAACGTCAAACGTCGCTCGCGACCGAGGGGCCCCGGGGGTGGGTGAAAGACCAAAGACGCCGCGTGACGGGACGCACCCGACTCGAACCCGCCGTCCAAGAGCCGGTCCGCCTCGTCCAACACCTGCACCAACAGCGACGTCGGGTCGATCACGCCGCGGTCGACGAGCTCTTTGACCCGTCCCGGGGTTCCGATCACGACGCTCGCGCCGGCTTTGATCGCGGCGATCTGCGGCGCGTCCGGCGCGCCGCCGACGCAGAGCGCGCATCGAAGCCCCGCCGCCGCGACGTGAAGCGCCGCGTGTTCGTACACCTGCGCCGCGAGCTCGCGCGTGGGGAGCCACACGATCGCGGCGACGTGGCCGGTTTTGATTGGTTTATTCGTTTCGTCGCGCCACGTGTCGTTTTTCGATAGGATGTGCGCCAGCGGGAGGAGGTACGCGAGCGTCTTCCCGGAGCCCGTCGGCGCCTGCACGAGGACGTCTCTGCCCTCGGTTATCATGCACCTGAGCGTGCGCTCTTGCACGGGCGTGAGGTGGGATATCCCTCGCGCCTTGACGCGCGCTTTCGCAGCCTGGGCGGAAAGCGCGGAGACGTGGGCGAGGTGGTGTCAGCGACGAGATGGGGAAGACTCGCGCGCGGCGACGACGCGAGAAGAGGCGGCGGCGCGGACGAGCGCGCTCTCGCGAGATTTTGATGCCGACCGCGCCGGAATGGCGGCCGGCGAAATTCGACAGAATCGCGACGCGCCTCCGATATCGGCGCCGCGTCCACCTCCTGCGTCGTCGACGCCAGCACGACGGACGGCGGAGGCGGCGGCGACGACGACGACGTCATCGCGACCCGTCGTCCGTCGCCGGGGGGCCACGACGAGTGACGACGACTCGGTCTCGGGGAATCGCGACGAGCGGTAGCGGTACAGTAGCGCGGAAGGGATCGATGACCGACCGCGCCGCGGCTCGGCTCGCGTCGTACTTTCCGACGTCAACTTTGAACGACTCTGATGAAACGAACGCCGGGCGCAGACGCCCCCGCGCGGCGCGGAGACCTCTCCCTCATGACGACTTCGGACGCGCGCGCGGCGGCGTCCCCGTCGGAGTGGTCGCTCACGCCAAAGTCGCTCATGGCCGCGCTGCGGACGCCGACGACGGCGCCGTCGTCGTCCTCCGCGTCCACGAACGCGACGCCGTCGCCCGCGCGGTCCGCGCTGGCGGGGGCCGACATGACGACGAGCGCGAAGACGACGACGACGACGACGGGGAAGAAATCGAGCCGCTCGCGAGGCGAGACACACAGCTGGCGCTGCTCGTACGTCATGAACAGCGAGAACGGCGTGAACCTGTACGGCCGCCTGGACGTCGACGAGAAGCGCGCGAGGTTCGTCGCCGCGTCGGGGCTATTCGGGACCGCGTATCAGTTCGTCATGCCGCGCGACCAGATACAGATCGTGCGCGTGCCGACGGCGTCGTCGCCGTACAACGCGCTCGAGCTGCACACGAAGTACCGGCAGAACATCCTGTGCGACTTCAAGGACAACGAGGCCGTGTTCAGGAGGTGTTGCGCGCTCATGAAGCTCGAGGTGCTCCCTCAGGTGCAGTTCCCCCCGACGCTCTCGGTTTTTTTTTCTTCGCCGCGTGCCTTCTTTTTCGCGTCGCGTGCCTTCTTTTCCCACCCTCGCTCCCCCGCCCACGGTACCCTTCCCCTCCCCCCCCCCCCGTCTCCCCGCAGCGATCCCCGCTGATCGCGATCAGAGCCGCGGACACGTCCAAAGCCGCGAACGAGCACCGCGCGCGAGCCGCGCGCGACGCCAAGGAACGCGACGACGCCGGCAGAGCCGCGGCGCTCGAGCGATCCATCCTCGAAGACGAGCAGCTCACCGCGCAAGTCGCGCACCTGCACTCGGGCGCGTCCCATTCGTCACACTGGTCCCCACACGACCGCGTTCGCGTGATGAACGCCGATCCTTAAGGACTTTTGCCGTCGTCTCTATCCGCCCACACCTCGCTTTCAACGCCCGCCCTCGACTCCTTTCAACTCCGCTTCTGACGCCTTTCAACCCCACCCCGACGTTCGTCGATCGCTTCGCGCCCTCGACACTCAGAAAAAGTCAAGCTCGAACGCCGCATGAAAGAGCTCGAGCACGAGAACGAGCACTTGCACGGCGAGATGGACGTGTTGTACTTGCAAGTCGACGAGCAGAGCGGGATGCTGGACGAGTCGTTGTCGAAAGCGGCGGAGGAGGCGGTCGAGATCGCGCTCGCCACCGGCCGCGAAGAGGACGCGAGACGATTCAGGCGCGTTCTATACACTGGTCCCCATACGACCCCGTTCGCGTGGTGAACGCCGTTCCTTAAGGACTTTGCCCGGCGCATCTCTCCGCCCACCCCTCGCTTTCAATCCCCGCCATCAACGCCTTTCAACTCCAACTGACGCCTTTGAACTCCACCCCGACGTCGCTTTGTATGGAACGGCCCTCAGAGAGAAGGAGGAGAAGAACCGAAGACTCGCGGAACTCGTCGCCGCGCTCGGCGCGCTGCGCGGGGAACGCAGCGATCTTCAGGAGGAAGTCAGCGCGGTGCGAAGGGAGCTGGAGCGGCGAGGCGGGTCGGACGAGAGCGTCGGCGGCGAGCTCGAGGCTGCGCTGACGAAAGAGGTGGACCTTCTGCTCGCGAGACACGCGGAGCTCGCGACGCACTTGGAGCGGGCGCGACGAGAGAAGGCGGCGCTGGAGGGGGATTTGAACGAGGCGCTGAAGACGCCGAGGGCGAGGACGCCGCTGGCGACGTCCGACGCGGAGGAGGAAGAGGAGGAAGAAGCGCGTGGGTACCGCGTCGCGTCCGCCGCGCCCGGGGAGGATTCGACGCCGGGGGACGACGCGTCGACGTCGGCGCCCGCCGCGAGCGCCGCCGCCGCCGACGACGACGACGACGACGACGAGCCGGTTCGGCGAACGTCGACGGGCTCGCCGTCGCCGTCGTCGGTCGCCTCGCCGTCCGCGCCAGGCAGCAGCGGCGGGAACGGGAACGGAAAAGTCCGACGCCGTCGACCGATGATGGAGGAGCCCGCCGGCCCCGACGGCCCCGACGCCGAGCTCGCCGCGCACCTCATCGGCCGTCTGAAGCGCGCGGGGGAATCGGACGAGGCCGCGGTGCTCACCGCGCAGGTGGACGCGTTGATCAGGCGCGTTCTCCTCACACTGGTCCCCATACGACGCCGTTCGCGTGGTGAACGCCGATCCTTAAGGACTTCGCCCGCGCGCGTTTCTCTCCGCCCAGGGTCCCTCGCTTTCAATTCCCGACGCGCCTCGACGCCTTTCAACTCCATCTGACGCCTTTGAACTCCACCCCGACGACGACGCTTTGTACGGAACGACCCTCAGGAAGCAGGCTGAGATGGGGAAGGCGATGGAGGCGTTCGCGCGCGAGAAGGCGGCGATGGAGGAGGAGATGAGCAGGATGCGCGGCGGCGGCGGCGGAGGAGGAGGCGGGGGGGGACGCGGCGCGTCGAATCCGTCGTCGCCGTCGACGGCGCAGATCGACGCCGCCGCCGTCGCGGCGGCGGCGGCGGCGCTCGCGGCGAGGGAAGCCGCGGTCGAGAGGCGCGAGCGCGAGCTCGAGGAGACGATCGCCGCGCGGGTGAAGGCTGCGGTGGACGACGCGCTGAAGCGCGCGGAGCGAGCGCCGCGGTCGGAGCGGTACGGCGCGTCGTAGGCGCGACGACGGCGAGCGGGCGGGCTCCGACGGAGACTGCGGAGCCCGAAGCGGACGGGAAATCATCAGATTCGAGAAATCATCAGATTTGAATCGTCGCGAAAGCGAAATGTCGTTCGAACCGCCGCTTTCGCTTTTCGTCTCCTCCGTCGCGCGCATCCGTCTCCCCCGCGACGCGCCAGAACGCGACCGCGCGCGACGCGGGACGCGGGACGCCCGCCGCGAGAGAGCGCGGCTCGCGACGCGCGCGGCCCGAAGCGCGTCCGCGCCGAACGGCGGGGCGTCGCGTCCGCGCGGAGCGGAGGGCGCCGTCGCGCGTCGCATCGGGAGGCCTCGCCGTCTCCCCGCCGGCAGCCAGATCTGCGCATCCCGAACCGTCGAAGCGCGATGATGGCGCCGCCCGCGGTGGCGACCCCGCCGCCGCCGCCGCCGTCGCGCGTCCCGTCGTCCGTCTTGATCGACGGGTGTCCCTCGGTCGTCCCGGACGGCGAGGTGTCCCCGGACGACGCGCCCCCGGGGACGACGTCTCGAGACGACGAAGACGAAGACGACGACGAACGCGCGCAGCCGTCTTCGCGCGCGTCCCCGCGCGCGTCCCCGCGCGCGTCCCCGCGATCTCAACCCGCCCATCGCCTCGCGCGCGAAGAAGAAGAAGAAGAAAAAGAAGAAGAAGCGCGCGACGCGCGCGCCGCCGGGAATGAAGAACCAGCGCGATCGGGGAGCCCGCCGGGCGACCACCGCGCGGCGGCGACGGCGACGAAACGCTCAGCTCCCGCGTCGTCGATCTCGCGTCAGCCGACGGCGGCGGCGGCGGCGGACGTTCGCGTCCGACGCGTCTCTCGCGCGCGCCTCGCGAAGCTCGCGAGCGCGGGGGAGCGCGCGCGGCCGCGCGCCGGCGCGCGCGACGGCGGCGGTGCGTCCGCGGTCGAAGTCGTCATCGGGACGGACGTGCGCGTGCGGACGTCGCGGTTGACGCGCGCGGACGCGGCGTCGACGCGCGCGGGGGACCGCGACGCGTTTACGTTTTCATCAATAATCTCGGAGGCGAAAACGCCGCGCGAAAACGAAACGCGCGGCGCGAGACCGGGAGCGACGTCCGCGCTGCTCGAGAGCGCGCGCGGGCTCGCGACCGGGCTGCGGAGCTGCCTCGACGCGATCGAGGAGAAGGCGGGGGTGGACGACGACGACGACGACGACGCGACGGGGAGGGGCGACGGCGGCGACCGGTCCGCGGAGCCGGAGCCGGATCGGGACCCGGATCGGGGTCCGGACCGAACCGTAACCGTAACCGGCGACGACGCGTCGAGAAGAAAACCACGGGGACGCCGCCGAGCGCCGACGTTCTGCGGCGTCCCCGTGGACGTCCCCGCGCTCGTCGCCATCGTCGCCAAAGAGGGCGGGTACGACGCGGTCACGTCCAAGCAGCTGTGGCGGGACGTCGCGAGACGGATGCGATTCCCGGAGGACGCGATGAAGAGCCACACGTCGCTCGCGTATCACCTGCGCACGTTGTACGCGCGGCACGCGGGGGATCCCGCCGCGACGCGCGCCGCGCGACCGCCGACGCGCGACCGCGTTATTCATAAAAACGGCGAGGTGTCGAGCGTTTCAGATGAGGCGATCGCCGTGGCCGCGATGCGAGAGCTCAGAGGTATCGCCGCGGAGCGCGGGGACGACGGGACCGCCGGGACGCGCTCGACGCCGAAAAGGCAACAAAAGCGACCGGCGGCGGCGGCGGCGTCCCCGCGCGCGTCCCCGCGCGCGTCCTCGAAGCGCGCGAGACGCGACGAGGAGAACGCGCGACCGCTCGTCGCTGCGAGCCGGGCCCCGTCGTTCTTCTTCCGCGACGTCGCCGCCGACGCCGACGCCGACGCCGACGCCGACGCGCGCGCCGCGGCGAACGAAAATGTCCGCGCGATTATCTCGCGATGCTACGCGTCGCTCGATCGACTCGCGGAGGCGACGCGCGCGTCGACGCCGCCGCCCTCGCGTCCGCTGCGCCCCGCGCCGCCCGCGCCGAACCCCGGGTGCGCGCGCGCGATGCCGTGGCCGTGGCCGTGGCGCGCGGCGGGGGGGATAGGCGACAGGTCCGGCGCCGGCGCCGGCGCCGGCGGCGACCCTCCGCCGCCGCTGTGGTACGCGCCCGATCCGGACGCGTACGACGCGATGATCGAGGCGGAAGAACTCAGAGCCGCGCGCGGCGAGGCGAGGCTGTGCGCGTACGAGGGAACGGTCGAGTGGGACGCGCCGCCGCGGCCGGGGGATTACGCGCATCAGGCGCGTTCTATACACTGGTTCCCATACGACCGCGTTGGCGTGGTGGACGCCGATCCTTAAGGACTTTGCCCGGCGCTTCTCTCCGCTCATCCCTCGCTTTCAATCCCCGCCCGCGACGCCTTTCAACTCCGCCTGACGCCTTTGAACTCAACCCCGACAATCGCTTGTATGGAACGACCATCAGCCCGTGCCGTCGTATCTGAGGTATCGCGAGGAAGGCGCGGGAGGGCGCTGCGCGTCGCCGCTCGTCGGCGACGGCGCGAGAACGCCCGTCGGAGGCGCGGCGGCCGCCGCCGCCGCCGCCGCCGCCGGTGGCCGGCGGTGGCGCGGGCAAACGCTCGCGTCCGTCGCGCTCGCCGCGCAGGAAGGCGCGAACGCGCGGTTCGTCCAACGAAGCGACGCCGTGCGTCGAATCTTCGCGGCGGCGACCCCGGGTCGCGTCGCGCCGACGTTCTCGCCCGCGCCCGACGCGCTTCCGTCGTCCGCGGCCGCGGCGAGCGCGCTCGCGACGCTTCAACGGCGGTTCCTCGACGGCGGCGACTCCTCGATGCAGGCGTCGTTCTCGATGCAGACGCGGCGGGGCGGCGTGCACGTCACCCCGAACAGCGGCGGTGGCGCCGGCGCGCACGCCGCCGCCGCGATGAGTTACCGCTCGCTCGCGACGCCGGCGGCGCTGGCGAGGACCCGCGCGCTCGAACCTTTCTTCCGCGTCGACCGCAGCGGCGTCCACGGGATGGGCGTGTTCACGACCGTCGCGCTCCCCGGGCGCGAGATGATCATGGAGTACAAGGGCGAGATCGTTCGCAGGCCGATCGCTGATCGAAGAGAGGCTGCGGAGAGGGCGGCCATCGCGCGACGAGCGAAGGACGCCGCCGATAGCGCGGCGCGACGCGGGGACCCGCCGCCGCCGCCGCTCTCCGAGGTGCGTTCTATCTCACACTGGTTCCCAAACGACCGCGTTGGCGTGGTGAACGCCGATCCTTAAGGACTTTTTTAGCGTGTCTCTCCGCCCACGCCTCGCTTTCAATCCCCGCCCGCGACGCCTTTCAACTTCAACTGACGCCTTTCAACTCCACCCCGACGTTCGCTCGTATGGAACGGCCCAAAGGCGGACTTGGCCGCGGCGTCGACGTACATGTTCACCGTGGACGCCGCCGCGGGTCTCATCGTGGACGCGACGAGGAAAGGGAACGTCGCGAGGTTCGTGAACCACTGCTGCGAGCCCAACTGCGTCGCGAAGAGCGTGCACGTCGAGGGCGCGAGACGCGTGGTGCTCTTCACGACGCGCGACGTCGCCGCGGGGGAGGAGCTGTTTTACGATTATCAGGCGCGTTCTGTCATGTACACTGGTCACCATACGACCGCGTTCGCGTGGTGCACGCCGTTCCTGGAGGACTTTTCCTGGCGTGTCTCTCCGCCCACTCCTCGCTTTCAATCCCCGCCCGCGACGCCTTTCAACTCCATCTGACGCCTTTCAACTCCACCCCGACCCTCGACCCTCAGTTCGCGCCGGACGCGCCCGAGTCGTGCGTTCCGTGCGCGTGCGGCGCGCCGCGGTGCCGCGGGTCGATCAACGTGCAGGTTTTGGACGAGGACGCGGTCCCGCGGGGGAGGGGGAGGAGGTGACGGACGGGGCGTGGTGGACGCGCGACGTGAACGTATGACGTGTACCGGAAGAAGAGAGGGACGAACCGACGAGCGAAGACGTTGAATGAATGAATATCACGGACGCGAGTCTAATAATCTAATAATACCTGTCGTCGTCGTCGTCGTCGTCGTCGTCGTCGTCGTCGTCGTCGCTGCTAAACTGCCCACCACCTCGTCGCCCGCCTCGTGGACTACCTCCCCGCCCTCCTCCTCGTCTCCCGCCGCCTCTGCCTCTCGCGCCGCCCGGTTTCCTCCCCGCGTCTGCCTTTTGCGCGCGCGGTTTCTTACCCCGGCCGCTCACCTTGACCATCCCCCTCGCGGCGATGACCCCGTGCGCGTCGTAATCGATCGCCGCGCCGCCGAACCCAGCCTGCTTCAACCGCGTCACGACCCCGCGCGCGACGTTCCCCGCGCTCTTCGACGCCGGGTCGCCGATGTAGTGATACAGCTTCCCGGACGGCTTCAACACTCTCAGCAGCTCGCGATAAAACGCCTCGGAGAAGAGCTCTCCGGCGAGCGCGAACGTCGGCGGATCGTGGACGATGCGATCGAACTCGCCGTCCGGCAGCGTCGGCAGAACGTCCGCGGCGTTCCCGTACAGCTGCTGGATCGACCCGTCGAACAGCTCCGCGGAGTGCGGGTTCATCCGGCACATCTCCGTCATCGACGGGTCCAACTCGATCGTCGTCACGCGGCCGCCTATGGGTCGTTCCATACGAGCGAACGTCGGGGCGGAGTTGAAAGGCGTCAGATGGAGTTGAAAGGCGTCGAGGGCGGGGATTGAAAGCGAGGGACCCTGGACGGAGAGAGACGACGGCAAAAGTCCTTAAGAATCGGCGTTCACCACGGCGACGGGGTCGTATGGGGACCAGTGTATAGAACGCGCCTTTTTTCATCGCCGCGATAGCGGTGTACGCGAGCCCGGTGCAAACGTCCAGGACGCGAGCGTTTTTTCGTATTGGCGTCACCGCGTTTATCTTCCGCATCGTGTCCTCCATCGGGTTCACGCCGACGCCGAAGCGGTGCATGGAGAACCCGGCGACGAGCGCGGTCGGCGGCGCGCGCGAATCGCCGGACGGCATCAGAGACACCGCCCTCGACGTGTCGTCCGAGAAGACTTGGAATCGGTCGACGTCCTCCCCGGCGTGGAGGACGTACACGCCCTTCTCGTCCCGCGACACCTTCGCGATCTCGTCCCATGTCGCGAGGAGGAGGCGGCGTCGCCGCGAGGACGAGGACGCGTCGTGCGCGGCTTCCGCGTCCGCGTCCGCGTCCGCCGCGACGACGATGC